TGCGTATATTAGTATTATATTTTTATCAAAAGCTTTTTAAGGTTAATTTAAATATAGTTACTTATTATTACTATTACTTACTTAACTAAAGTCTTTATTTTTAAAGTATTACTATTTAAGTATTAATAAATTACTATTTAAGTATTAGTAAAAGTACTTAAAGAATTTTTCTTAAACTACTATATTTTAAAAGCTTTTTTTTAGCTAAATAAAAATATATAAAATATATAAAAATTATAAAATATATAAAAATTATATTTTAAAAAGCAAAATAACTAAATAATAAAATATTATTTTTTAAATATTTTATTTATTTTTACTAGTAATTTATAAAAAAAACTTATAATATTTTAAACTAATTACTTATATATAAAAGCTTAATAATAATAAGTAACTTTTTATATAGCTATATAGCTTAATTTAATATATTTATAAATATATTAAGTATATACCTATATAAGCTATATAAAGGCTAAAAATAATTATTAAACTAAATATAAGTTTTTAAAATTAAAGTTATATATTAAATAGTATTTTTATTATAAAATCCTAGATTTAACTATATTAATAAGCTAAAACTAAAATTTCTTTTTTATTACTATTTTTTTAAAATTCTTTATAAAATTTTAAAATTAAAAGAGATTTTTATAAGCCTAAGAGTATAAACCCTAACTATACTTATTTAAGTTAGTTAGTGCTTAAGTAGTAATTTATTAATACTTAAATAATAATACTTTATTTTTATTATATTAATTAAGCTTTTTTTTAAAAAAAGTTAATTATATTAAAGTAATTTATATAAATATAATAGTATTTATATACTTTTTAAATTATTATTAATTATTCTTTTAATTAAAATATATTTAGTTTTAAGTTTTTTTATATTAAACTTTTATATAAATTTAATAAGTTATTACTTTAAATTTTCTTAAAAATTTTTACTTAATTTAATAATTTTTTAAAACTATTTTTAAATATTTATTTTTTAAGTTATAATATTTAATTAAAAAACTTTATATAATTCTAAATAAAGCTTAATTTTATAAAGCTATTTTTATTATTAAGTTTTATTTATTTTATTAAAAGCTTAATTTTTTATTATTAAAAAGTTATTATTATAAAATAATTTAATTTATAATTTATTATATTAATTATTTTATATATTTATTATTTTTTAATAATTTTTTATTTTTTAAAAAATAAAAAGTAAACTTTTTTATATATATAAATATAAAAAATAAATAAAAAATAATTAAAATAATAAAAAGTTAGTATATAATTATTATATATTATAAAGTAGTTTATAAGTTAAATATATAAATACTTTTAAAAGTAAGTATTTATAAGTAATTATATTTATTTTTAGAATTTTTTTAAAATTAAAAAAAGAATTTACTTTTTTTATAATTATAATAATCCTATAAAAATTTAAATATTTTTATTTTAAGGTAATAAAAAACTTTATATATATTTACTTTAACTTTATATTTATTTTTTTTTAAAAACTATATTTTTTTAAAAAGTATATATTATAATTTTAATAAATAATTCTAAAGCTTAATTTAAGTTATTTAAGTATTATAATATTATAAGTATTATATATTTAAGTTATTTTAATTTTATTTTAATTTTATTTAATTTATTATTATATTTACTTTTACTTTTCCTTTAATTAAATATTTAATTCTTAAAAAAAATATTAAATAAAAGTATTTTAAAAAATTACTTTTATATTTTATTTTATTACTTAATAAACTAAATACTAAATTTATTATTTAAATTTTATAAAATAAATTTTATTTTAAACTAATTATAAATATAATAAAATTATAATATTTATTTATTAAATAACTAAAATAATAAACTTAATTATATAAATTATAAAAATATTAATAAATAAAAAGTATAAAAAAGGTAATATATATTAGAATTATATTTAATATTATATACTTAATACTTTTAAAACTATATAATTAAAGAAAAAAATATTACTTATATATATTACTTTTATAGCTTTCTTTCTATACTAGCCCCTAACCATTTAATATTACTGCAGTCTTGCCTTTCCTTCCATTCCCTAATATGCTCCTTAACCCATCCTGATGTAAACGTGACCCATGTCTCCTGGTCATTGCTGCCCTTTTCTTTATTACGCTTCCTTCCATGCTGCAATGACCCTAGCAAGATGCATCTCTTTTGATCCCCCCCCTCCCATTTCCACTGTAGACAGCTGCGGTCCTCGGCACAGACACGGCCGCACTGCTCGGATGATTCAACGAGGAGGTCAGGTGGTGGATCAAAAGCATCAAAACGGCCGCCGTCCCAATCTTCACGCAACGGAACCGAACCAGGTTTGTGAAACTTCCATACGTCAGAGTATAGTAATGGCCGCTTATAGCCGATTAGCCATGCCCGAGGATATGTGTAGCCGATCATATTTAATAGCAGACGAAAGAGAAGGTATATAAAAGAGGCCACTTACCTGGGAACTGTGTTGGCTAAATTCCCAACGAAACAGATCTACCATATCCTTGGGAGATGTCTTGTGCAGAGTGATAAGTGGCTGGCACCAGTGCTGACTATTGAAAGGAATATCATGGAGGCCATAGTCGCTGAACATGGGCCAGTGACCATGCATAGGGATGCCAAGCTCCCATAGCACCCATCCCAGAACGCTGTCACCACAGCACTCGTCATCGTGGTTCAGGTAGCTAAATCTCACAGAGAGCGGGTCGTCGATATATTGCCCATGTGAGCCGGTGGTGCGCCGCAACAGAGTTTTCATAGCTCCTCGGCTGATGACATATCCAGGGCCTCCGTTAGCAAACAATGTGCCTTGGTCTCCCCGTTCTGGATCACGGCGTCCAGGGGATGGGGAGCCCATGTAGATATTTGCATCTGGATCGTATATTTGAAGAAACCGGAAGAGATTGTCCCAAAAGATATACCTGGAGCAAAAAGCGTCAATGCTGCAAAGTGCCAATCGGGAGGCAACATCACTTACGTGTCTGTCTCATAGAAGACATAAAAGTCCCTGTCAGGTTTCATGGCCCAAGCTCTTTCCATCATCGGTAAGAACTTGAACTTGTCAAGCGCCCATCCGTTGATGTGCTTCCCTTGTGCTCCAGTATCTAATGTACCATTACTCTGCATTTCTTTCTGGGCAAGATACTCTTCCCACATTCTGAAAGCCGTGGCATTATAGTGAGAGCTTGGTAGATGGGCTAGAACGTCGATGGCATGATGATCCCGGATGTCTTCGTCGAGGTCGGAGAAGACGATCAGTTCTTCTGGGGTAAAGCAGGCACTAGTGCTGTCCATCTGGGCGTTCAGCCTTTCCTTATCGTCGCCATGGCCCGTCTTGAGCACTGGCTGTATCCGAGACAGGACATGCTTAGGGAATGATTTGCAAAGCTCGCGAACAGAGTCTGTCTCTGGGTGTGCAGACGTGGGGAGGAATTCGGACACGGTATGGTGGGTAGAGTCGTTGGTCTGTGGGTATATTTGGTAGGGCAACGTCGGGGCCTTCTCTTGTTCTCTGAAGTTGAAAAGAAGGACAGAGACTAGTACAAGACAAAAAGCGAACAAAATGATGTTTTGTATAAGTCGGCTATGCAATGCAGGTGGTATAAAAAGCGGCCGCGACAGCTTTCTAGAAAGGGCCATTCTACTTCAGATGGGGAGGAAACACCAGATGTTGAGGCTGCACTAGAGAAGTATAAGCTCTATAAGGAAATACCCCATACTAGGTACTAGCACGTTTATTCACATAACAAATGATTACAGTGCAATATACATTCTCTATTATCGGGTACCCGGGCAATAGGTTTTGCATCAAGTACTAAATCTAGCGAACATCCAGTGTAATTGTTTGTTACAATAATAAACCGTAATAACATCGAATAATGCGGCTAATAGATGGGAACCACGAAGTCACATCTGTATTCAATCTGAGTGCCAGAGGGACCAGGTTCATACCTACTGTACTGTACTGACTGTTCGTTCGAAATGGTACTAGTAGTCGCACCTGTTGTTCTTAACCTTACCTAATCTGCACGAAGCAGCACGCGTGTCAGCTGCTTTGACTGCTAAGGTTCGATAGGTACTAAGGGATGCTGTTAATACTCAAAACTTCGTCCGCCCGCCATCTCCATCCGCAGGAGTCAAGCCTGATTATCGGGATTACCGGTCGATGACCTTTGGCCTGCTCATGATGGAGCTGGATACCTTTCAGGATCGCTTCGGCGAAATTGCCCATGTCGTCTCTTCCAATTTCCAGAAACTCCCCGGCTCAGCCATGCTGGTGCGATACATCCAATCCAGCTACCAGAACGACCCTGTCCGATCTGCCATTGAGCTGGTTCTTGTCCTATTCTTCATTCGCTACCTGATGTCACCGTCATATTCTACCCACAAGCAGAACTTTGTCAAACTACGAGAAGCTGTACGACGCCCAAGTCGCCTGAAACCCACGACCGCTGCCTTCTTACTAACCGACTGTCTGTTGTAGGAGATCGAGGAATTGATCGATGACTGGACTCCCGAGCCCCTGGTAGCGGATCAAACTCCCGCGGAAGAACTCGAGAACGAAAAGCTACCGGTTATTGTAGGGTAGGTCATGTTGCCTCGCGAGAATGTTGCGTTTTGCTGATGAAGGAATCTCTTTCCCAGGCCAACGGGTCCGAAAGTCAAGCTATCCAATGGACGCACAGCCATCAATCTTGCATCATACAATTTCTACAACTTCAACGCGAATGATCAGATTAAGGAGAAGGCAATCCAAACCCTGCGTACATACGGTGTTGGTCCCTGTGGCCCCCCTCAATTCTATGGCACCCAGGACGTCCATGAAAAGGCCGAGTCGGATATTTCCACGTTTCTCGGCACCGAAGGTTGCATCGTGTATGCGCAGACATTCTCGACGGTATCAAGCGTGATTCCCGCTTTTTGCAAGCGCGGCGATGTCATCATCGCCGATGCTGCTGCCAACTACTCCATTCGCAAGGGCCTGCAGATTTCAAGAAGCAACATCAGATGGTTCAGACACGGGGACATGGATGATCTAGAAAAAGTCATGAAGTCGGTCGCGAACGAACAGGCAAAGTCAGGCAAGTTGACTCGCCGATTTGTTGTCACGGAGGGCCTGTTCGAGACTACCGGCGATGTCACGGATCTGCCACGATTGGTCGAGCTGAAGGAGAAGTACAAGTTCCGCATCATTCTGGACGAAACGTGGTCGTTTGGAGTTTTGGGGCGAACTGGACGTGGTCTCACCGAAGCACAAAATGTCGATCCGCAACAGGTGGACATGATTATCGGATCGCTCTCCGGGCCACTGTGTGCTGGAGGTGGGTTTTGTGCGGGATCCAAAGACGTGATTGTGCACCAGCGCATCACTTCCTCCGCTTATACCTACTCGGCCGCCCTGCCCGCAATGCTGGCCATGACAGCCAGCGAGTCTGTGAAACTACTGCAGTCCAACCCTGAGGTGCTTGTTCAATGCAGAGAGAATATCCGAGCATTGAGGGCCCAGCTTGACCCACGTAGCGACTGGGTCGTCTGCACCAGCTCCCTGGACAACCCTATTTTGCTTCTAGTGCTCAAGCCCGAGGTTATCAAGGGAAAGAGATTGACGGTGGATGATCAAGAGAGACTCTTGATGGATTGCGTCGAAGAGGTACGTGCTCTTCACGCCCTGATGTTTCCGATGCCTAAACATGATGGCTAACAGTTCCCAGTGTCTCGCAAATGGTGTCCTGATCACCCGATTGAAGACTAGGCCATATGCGAATGCAATGGCGGCCAAGGATGGAGACTGGGCACTCCAGCCAGCCCTCAAAGTGTGCGTCACTTCTGCGCTCTCCAAAAAGGACATTGAAAAGGCAGGCATTACGATTCGACATGCTATCACGAAGATCATGACTCGGAAATCAACGAACAAGGCCATCTGATACACGACTTGAACATGCCCTTCCACGGGCTGTATGGCTCTTTTGCCCTTGGTTGTCTTTTACATGAAGCCACTGATCTTACGAAATAGAAAACATTCCATACCGACTATATACCTTTAACCACATAGTAATATTAATAATTCTACATATAAACACAATAGACGAAAGCGAGATGCGCATATATATGGGTGTATTGCAAACCTTGTCACCCTGTGTTTAGTTTACTGATGTCATCTAGTATAGAGATAGTCTGTAGAAGCTCTAGCTGGACTCGGAGCTTATTACCTACCTTATTGTTGTATAAATAAGATATTTAGTAGTGATATAGTACTAGTTGGTGGTTATCTAATCAGTCTAAAATGGCTGGTCCACCTCGGGAGCGTCAAGTCAGAGACAGCAGACAGCAGGTAGTATGTACCGTATAAGGCAAGGCACACCTCGTGCAGGAGCCAAGCTTCCCAGGTGCTTCTGGACCTCACCAGCCTTCATGAGACCAAATCTTTTCGTAACCTCGCAGCTCGCTGTCACCCTCTCCTGACTGAGATCGAACCACTAAGCGGTGGGTTTGTTCTTGTCTGTCGCGTCTAGCAGCTGACATGCCGCGACTGCTCTGTATGTGCTTGTCTCTCTGCAACGTAACCGGTGCACTAACTGATGCCACTCGAAGCCACAGCGCTGTCATTGCGTCGCGATCCTCGGCTGCTCAAGATCCCCCCATACGTTTCTGCGCTTTGCATCGCCATCGGTGTCGTTTGGCTCCTTCTGCTGCCCCTGGACAACTATTCGAGGCGGACATACGTGTCGGAGAACGCTCTTCTGCCTGGACAGGTGCACACATACTTTGGGGGCAGCGAACAACACATCTTCCGAGCATTCAGGCATGAAGTAGACCTGCTAGCCAGTAAAAACAACTACGAGTCGGTGGCCGAATTTCGACCTCTGGGTGACCGTGGCGCTACACATGTGCTAACGTGGCGACCAGGGTCAATGACAAGCTGGAAACCATCCTGACCGGCTTCGGAGTCAAAGTCGGCCGACAGAACTACACCTACCACTCGGCCGGGGAGACATACAGCGGCGAGAATGTATATGGCATCTTGCAAGCTCCGCGGGGCGACGCTACCGAGGCAATCGTCCTCGTGGCTGCATGGAAGAGCATAGACGAACAACTCAATCGCAATGGTGTTGCGCTCGTTCTCACCTTGGCTCGCTATTTCAAACGTTAGTCCGTGCCTCAGCTGCCGGAGCTTTGTGCCTGAAATAATGGTCCTTGTTCGCTGACAATCTGCAGGCTGGTCATTATGGTCAAAGGATATCATTCTTCTTCTACCTCCAGACAGTAAAACGGGCACGCAAGCCTGGGTGGACGCTTACCATGACGCGCATGATTCCGAATATATTGCGCCATTGCCGCTCAAGTCTGGCGCGCTTCAGGGAGCCCTCGCCATCGACTATCCACATGAGGAGCGATATCACGAGCTCCACATCATTTACGATGGTACGAACGGCCAACTGCCCAATCTTGACCTCATCAACTCGATTGTCAACATTGCAGGCGGTCAAATGGGCATTGAGACTACTGTCCAGCAAATGACTGGCCATACTGACAGTTATCACGACCGACTTCAAACGATGCTTCGCGGGATGCTCTATCAAGGCCTTGGGTACCCGACAGGCCCCCACAGCAGCTTCATCCCCTACCATGTCGACGCCGTAACTCTGCAGCCCACTGGCCAAGGATGGCACGACGAGATGGCCATGGGGAGGGTTGTGGAGGGATCTTTCAGAAGTCTCAACAATCTCTTAGAGCATCTGCATCAGAGCTTTTTCTTCTACCTTCTCATGCAGAAGAACCGCTTTGTTAGCATTGGCACGTATCTTCCTAGCGCCATGCTGCTTGCTGCCAATTTCACCATCATGGCCATCTTTCTGTGGGTGAAAAGCGGGCAGCCGATTGAGACAGGAGCCTCGGATGAGTCGAAGGGTGACAATGCGGATCGCAAAGAGATCGTCAAGCCGGCACCTTGTTCACCACCTACCGCAGAGCGGAAACTTCTCTCGCCGCTTGCCCTTGTTGCGACGTGCCACGCCATCTCTGCGATTCCATTGTTCGTCTTCAACCACCTTGACATTAAGGTAAGCCGGAACACCCACTCGTGCCGTTGACGACTGACATGACCCGGAATGCTGACCAAACTGTTGTCTATAACCAGACCCTGCCGCTGGCATTTGGGATCTTCTCTACGTTGTCAACTGCCCTTCCAGCCGTCTTCTCCTTGGCCGTTGCCTCCCTCCACAAGCCCACCCTGCAGTACTTTCAGCTTACAAAATCCTTCTCGCTGCTGATTCTTGGCGTATCCCTTGCCACGCTCAGCACACTCAACTTCTCACTCGCCTTTCTCGTCGGTCTCTTGGCTAGCCCTCTCACGTTCCTCCAACCAACCAACACCCAGGCTACCAGATGGGTTTTCGTAGCACTGTTGATCTTGACTTCACCGCCTGCTGTGATTTCAACTGCAGCATATGCCAGCGGCCTCACCATGTCGGATGTGCTGAAAGCTGCTAGCTTCGGTTGGAACGTGTGGGGAATGTATACGCCAGTCGTCATATGGTGTGTGTGGTGGCCCGCCTGGCTCATTGGCGCGACAAACACTCTGATTCCTGCTTTTCAGATGTGACGAAACCTTCCGTCTTTTTGGGCCGTGGAGCTGACATTCGGCCTTTTCCTTGGAGAATAAACCGCATGCGATGACGGGTGCTGAAAATTGCCCGGTCAGTGGATCGCGACGAGGACAAAGCGTAATCACTAGATACATAGACGCAGATGACTGCATGCTGCTCAAGAGCTCAATGGAATTGAAGATGCGTTCTTGCGGGATACTACTCTATACTGCCTCTCCAAGCCAGGCTTTTGCATGATCCACTGAGGTGCTATTGAGTGCGATGATGCTTATGCGGCCCAGACATCTTGACCAGCCGCCTCGATCCAGTTGCCGAGCTGATTGACGTTTGAGTCCCACTCGAGCAGCCGGTTGCGCATGCTCTCAATCTGTTTCATATCCAGCACCTTTGGCTGCACCCAGGTGATGTGTGCTATCTGGCTTACTTGGTCTATCGACCCGCGAAGAAGACCCAGGCTCAACGCCTTCATCACCAGATGCTCGATCTCCTGAGGCTGCACCTTTGTTTCCTGAGAGATGGTAGCAAAGGACATGGTCCTGTCGTGCGGCGGTCTGCGAAAGACAGCTTCTGTCAGTGCGGCCAGGTAGATCTTCTGTCGGAGGCTGTCCGAGTTGTCCTTTAACAGCTGGTTGGAGGCAATGTTATCTGAAAGTAGTTCGTAGGCGGCCAGATCACCCCGGTTGTAGGCGAAGAGGAGGTCGCGCAACCAGGCATTATCCTCGCTCCGGCCCAGGGTGTCCAGGATGGGATGCAGCAACAGCTCGCCGAAATTATAGATGCTGGTAGATACCAATGCGGCAACGCTTAGGTAGTAGGCTCTTCGGAGCCGTTCCTCGTCGGAGAGCGTTGACAGGTCGATACACGCCAGATAGAGAAGGGCCGTCCGGTAGTAGTTTGCAAAGTCCGCCTTGCGCTAGCAGACAGCCAAGTCAGTGACAGTGTTCAGGAAGGCCTCGCATCGCGCAACAGGCAAGAGATGAGCCTACCTGATAGTAGCTGGCACTGGCATCGTAGAACGCGGCATGGACCACCGCCTCGACAGAGTCGAATGAATCCAGCAGCTTCTCTGCGGCGTCCAGATCCTGCTTTGCGTCTTCCAGCTCGCCAAGACTCAGCTTGACCCGGGCCACTGCAACAGAAGCAAAGACGAGCGCATCTTGAGAGTCCTCCGTGTCCACCTTCTTGATCACTGACTGTAGGAAGGCCAGGCGTTCGCGATCATCTTGAAAGTCGTCAGTCCTTTAGTCACGCCGTTCCCCTGAATACCTGGAAGCCTGAGACGAACCTTTGCACTGTGTGGCGGCCTTGAGGGCCAGCATCACCAACTTCAGCTTGTTGATCTTATCGGCAAACTTGAGGATGAAGACATTGTAGAAGGCCAAGCGCTGCGGGGCGCTGCCATCGTGGTTGAAGAATTCGACGAGGGCGTCTGTGAGTTGGTGCCAGAGCTTGCGCTCCCAGTAGTCCTCGAAGTTGAGGATGAGCGGCTGAAGCTCTTCCGGAGCTGCGTCTCGTTGCTCCGCAAGGAAATCGGAGATGCTGTCGTTGCTCATGATGCAGAGATACCACGACGAGTGGCGATCGTGCGAAGCTTGTCACTTGGCTCGAGAGAAGTATGTGACTGGCGGCAGAGAACGTATCGTGGCGACGCAGTGTTGTTTGCCTGTGGAAGATGTCGGAAGAGGCACAGCGTCTTAGGATCTCAAGTCGTCGAGAGGTGGTTCAGGATGTTCAAGGTGGTGGTGATTGATAGTGCGAGGTAGGCACTCCGTACCTAGGTATGCAAGGCAGCCTTACAGCATGGGTCGCTGCAGCGAATAACGTGGCAGCTAGCTGCCTAGCGCATCGATTCGCAGCCTTGTGCAACCTGGGCGATGACGGAATTGGTCTTCAAGGGCCAGATCGGACTATTAGCGCGACACAGGAGACTCTTGAGCTTGGAGGTAGCATTCGAGATACAACAGGGAGAGATAAGGAGAACGAACTGAAGCTGCTCATCTCGCCCTGAATGAGGCAGCCTCTTGTCAGCTGCGTTCTCCGTACCTATCCGTACCTCTGACTAAGGTAATATTATCCCGCCATCGGGAAGCAGGTCAACGTGAGGGACCTCGTGCTGCATCAACTCTTTGCTGGGTGACTTGGTCGATCTAGGACCTCGGCTCAAAGTTATGTAATGCGACAAGTGAGTAAGGTATGTCTTGTATTTACCTAGGTCGGTGTGCATATTACCTAGGTAGAGCAGACTACCCCAATCGCGGACTCATGAGGTAGCTCTGAATTCATACAAAATACTAGGTACATACCATACCAACCTACTTCCGGGCACTCAACTGCATCCGTTACTGAGCACTTGGCGGCTTCCATCTGCTTTGGCGAGTCGGCGCAAACTACACTCGTCGTTCGTACCTTTGAGTGTACAAGAGCCACCTGGCAGGTATCATACAAAGACACTGAAGACTTCAAAGGACCGGCCATGGCAGCTGCCCTTGTAGCCCTTCCCACGGTCCAGCGGCTGAGCCCGCGCTGCATTCGAATCTTGGGCGGCAACCCGGGCAAATTCGCGCTGCAGGGCACCAACACCTATCTGTTGGGTTCTGGGAATGCTCGCATTTTGATTGATACCGGCGAAGGTCGCCCAGCTTGGATACAAATGCTGAAGCAGACGCTCGCTGACGAGAATGCGACGGTGAAGCTGGCACTGATAACACATTGGCATCATGACCACACCGGCGGGATCGGAGACCTGATGGCTGCTTTCCCTCAAGTGGAAGTATTCAAGAACAGCCCGGATGAAGGACAGTTGCCTATTCAGGATGGCGATGCGTTCCAAGTCGAAGATGCAACTTTAACAGCCTGCCACACGCCCGGGCATACGAAAGATCACATGGTGTTCGTGCTCGCCGAGGAAGATGCAATGTTTGCGGGCGACAATGTTCTTGGGCAAGGCACTGCCGTGTTTGAAGACTTGGCGACATATCTTCAGAGTCTGAAGGAGATGAAGACACGCTTCTCCGGACGACTTTATCCTGGACATGGCCCGGTGGTTGACAATGGGCCCGACAAGATTGCCGAGTATATCGAGCACCGCCGTCAGCGAGAGGAAGAGGTCTTACGCGCAATGAGGGGCGGCACCCCAAACAGTGACTCTAACGGCAACAGCACCGGCAACAGGAAGGCGTGGACGCCCATGGACATTGTCAAGATTGTATACAAGGATGTGCGTGAGGATCTACACATGGCGGCTTGCGGCGGGGTTGTGCAGATGCTGGCCAAACTAGAGCAGGATGGAAGGGTGAGGCAGACTGAGGACGGATGGCAGCTGCAAGATGCTAAGAGTGCGATATAAGTGCTAGGTACATGAGCTGCGTTATGAAACATTCAATACAGGTCCCCATACACCGGATCCTGGTGGTTTTTTGCATACCTTACATACTTTACTGAGGTGAACCTGAAGATTTGGAGAGCAAGGCAATACCCCCAGCGTTGGATGGAGACAAGCGCAGTTTTAGTGCAAGAACTGTATCAAGGTGTGAGATTGCATGTGATTGTCCCAAACATCACTATTACTTGCACTAATCAAGATCCCGCCCATTAGTACTTCATATGAAGTCCGTCACCCAAGAGCGTCTACATCAATCTCAGTTCTTCGTGAGGTTGGCTTTCCACCGCCATGTCGGCCGACTTTTGGGCGGGCTATCTCAGCGGCATCGTCGGCATCATAGTGGGCAACCCCCTAGACATTGAGAAAGTACGCCGGCAAACCAGAAGCCATGTGGCCGAGAAGCTCCACAGCCAGAGCTCTGTGGCCTTCCTGAAGGGTACCGCTGCTCCCATCTTTGGCTACGGGGCTCTGAATGCGCTGCTGTTCTTTTCCTACAACCGGTCAGAAGCAATGCTGAAAGGCTCGGCGGCGTCGACACCGACTGCCGGATGGGTCACCTGGACGGCCGGGGCAGTGAGCGGCCTCGCGGTATGGGTCGTAAGCGCTCCGACCGAACTGATCAAATGCCGGGCTCAGATGTCCACGCCCGCCATGTCGAGCTGGGCGATATTCAAGCAGACGCTGCAGCGAGACGGTGTAAGGGGTCTCTATTATGGCGGCGTTGTAACGGCGCTCCGAGACAGCATCGGCTATGGCTTCTACTTCTGGGCGTATGAGTTGGCTCACCGTCACTGGCCTGCTCCCCGAGAGCACGACGACGCTGCCTCTGGGAGACGAGACACGTCAAAGGTACTGCTGTGCGGTGGCATTGCCGGCATTGTGACCTGGGCCAGCGTGTTCCCTCTCGACGTCATCAAATCGCGCCTCCAGACACAGCAACAGCAGCATTCCTACAAGGCAACAACGAATAGGGCGGGCAACAGGCGGCATGGAGCGTGGCAGATGGCCAAGGACATCTATAGAGACGGCGGGATTCGTCCCTTTTTCAGAGGCCTAACTGTCTGCAGCGTCAGAGCCTTTGTTGTCAACTCCATACAATGGGCTGTGTATGAGTGGATCATGAGCGAGGTAATAACGGGCAATGAACGTCAAATGAATCTGCTTTCAGAGGCCGATTCTTAGACAAGGAGATACGAAACCGAGCATCTGAAGAGCATATAGCAAACAGTCGTGAAAATTATCGTACCTTATGTACATACATAGCAGACCATTTTCTTTGTCTCCTCACATCGCGAGCTCTCAAGCCGCGGAGCGCCTCTACCACTTTGATGGCAGGGCTCTTTGAGTTCTCACTCCCATGCCCGAGTTGACCAAGCTCCTCATCAGACGTAAGTTTAGCCGGACCTAGGTGCTCAGATTCTTTCTCCGTGACCTTGCAATTAGTATACTGATGGGAAAAGCTTCAGGAGAAGCCAAGTGACCTGTGGTGTCGAGCGCAATGACTCAAGCACTACCTCTATCTCGAGCCCAATGGCAGTAATGCAGGTAGAAAGCTTGGGCTACGGACCTCAAGGGCGTTGTTGTGTTGTAATACTTCGATGCTCACAATGTTAACCTTCTCACAGGTACCGTAGACGATGCTTTGTAAGCCAGCAGCTGGTGTTTACATCGGTCACGTGAGACCGCGTATCGTCTCGTGCGGCGAACCACGACCCAATCGCATCTGGACGCGTCAACTCAATCATTTCCCCGTGTACTCTATGATTTTGCTTTGAAACGTCAGCGTGTTGTCTTGTCCCTTTGTCCCTTTGCTCTGATACCACCAAGCTTGTGAGGGCTGCCTGCGTTTATCATGACGGCCATGTAGGTGGTTCCGACCTCCAGCTCACTGGACGTGCAGCTTCGTTGACCAACTTAGTCCGCCCTCAGTCTCAGCGCTGAAAGATGGAACACCCGGCAGGTTGAATCGACAGGCGTCGAGACCTCAGAATCTGGACACGCTTCGCAAACCGTTCAAATGCCCCTCGTCGGCCACCGCAGCATCCACGTCGGATCGCCCTGCTAGAAAGAAGAGAAAGGTTGATTACAGGGGCGCCGATGAAAACGGACCATCGAGTATTGATGCAGCATATGATGGCAGTGGTCGCCAAATACAGCCACCGCCCAAATTCCCAGTCTTCCAAGCGAAGGATAAAAGTGTTGTCTTTCGGAAGGCCTTCTCCGTCCCCCTAAAGGACAAGTCCCAGGCCACATACGATGCATCCAGACCGCCGCCGACGCTTGGACTCCGACGCGGCGTTGTTTTTGTCCCCAAGCCTTTGCACGATCCATCCGGAGAATTTGCCATAGTTTTATACGACCCAACTGTTGATGCGAAGCCAGTGGTGGCCAAAGAGAACCCGGTGCAGACACAGGCTGAACCCTCCAAGATTGACAGCCCAATCGTGCATAAAAGCCTGGCCGAGATTCTCGGAATCAAGAAACAAGTGGAAGAAGATCACCCAAAAGTGCCGGTTGTCATCGATCCCAAGATTGCAAAATGTCTTCGTCCTCATCAGATTGAAGGAGTCAAGTTCATGTACAAGTGTGTCACGGGGCTAGTTGACGAGAAGGCCCATGGATGCATCATGGCCGACGAGATGGGACTCGGCAAGACGCTGCAATGCATCACCCTCATGTGGACTCTGCTGAAGCAGTCTCCCAATGCCGGAAAATCCACCATACAAAAGGCCATTGTGGTCTGCCCCGCGAGTTTGGTGAAAAACTGGGCAAACGAGCTGACGAAATGGCTTGGCCCGAACGCCATCAACCCATTTGCCATTGATGGCAAGGCGCCCAAGGAAGAGTTGAAAAGACAGCTTCGCCAATGGGCGATTGCCTCTGGCCGATCCATCACTCGACCGGTCATCATTGTCTCGTACGAGACTCTGCGTCTCAATGTGGAGGAGCTCAAGCATACCAAGATCGGCCTGCTGTTTTGTGATGAAGGCCATCGCTTGAAGAACGCGGACAGCAACACCTTCAACGCGCTGAACGACCTGAACGTGTCCAGACGAGTCATCCTGACAGGCACACCTATTCAAAACGATCTGACAGAGTACTTCGCCCTGACTAGTTTCGCCAACCCAGATCTACTTGGATCGCGACTAGAATTTCGAAAACGTTTTGAGATTCCTATCCTGCGCGGTCGTGATGCAGATGCGACGGAAGAAGAACGCAGACGCGGAGACGAATGCACCGGCGAGCTGCTCAGTGTTGTCAACAAGTTTCTGATCCGCCGAACCAACGATATCCTGTCCAAGTACCTGCCGGTCAAGTATGAACACGTCGTCTTTTGCAACTTGGCTCCGTTCCAGATCGACCTCTACAACTATTTCATCACGAGCCCGGATATCCAAGCACTTCTCCGCGGCAAGGGCAGTCAGCCTCTGAAAGCCATCAACATCCTCAAGAAGCTCTGCAACCACCCCGATCTTCTGAATCTCTCGGATGACCTTCCTGGCTCGGAGAAATGCTTCCCGGATGACTATGTTCCCAAGGAAGCTCGCGGGAGGGATCGGGATATCAAGCCCTGGTACTCGGGGAAGATGCAAGTACTCGACCGAATGCTTGCCAAGATTCGGGAAGACACCAATGACAAGATTGTCCTCATCAGCAACTACACGTCGACGTTGGATCTTTTTGAACGCCTCTGCAGGGATCGCCAATACGGATGCTTACGCCTTGACGGTACCATGAACGTCAACAAACGTCAAAAGTTGGTTGACCGGTTCAACGATCCAAACGGAGACGAGTTCATCTTCTTGTTGAGCAGCAAGGCGGGAGGCTGCGGCATCAACCTCATCGGAGCGAATCGCCTTGTCCTCTTTGACCCGGACTGGAACCCTGCCGCCGATCAGCAAGCCCTCGCTCGAGTCTGGCGAGACGGCCAGAAGAAGGACTGCTTCGTTTACCGCTTCATCGCCACCGGCACCATTGAGGAGAAAATCTTCCAGAGGCAGTCTCATAAGCAGAGTTTATCATCATGCGTGGTAGATTCTGCCGAAGACGTGGAGCGTCATTTCTCCCTCGACAGCCTCAGAGAGCTCTTCCAATATCGGCCGGATACGACCAGCGACACTCACGATACCTTCAAATGCAAAAGATGCAAGCCGGACGGCAGACAGTTCGTCAAGTCTCCTGCCATGTTATATGGCGATACGAGCACATGGAACCATTTTGTGAATGCTGGGCTGCAGCCCATACAAGATTTGTTGCTTCGGCAAGAACACGGAGGAAGCGAGGTCTCTGCTGTCTTCCAATACATATCGCATTAGAACTAGATTTAGCTGGGCGTTGTCTGCAATGCTATCGATTGGGATGCCTTCTTTGGTAATGCCACGAACGAGCCGCTCGACAGGTAGAACGAAACGAATTGACGAGACACGAATATGAGCCACTATTAATTACTACCCGTGCTTTGCACTGCCTGGTGCTGGTGCTGCCGGTAAAGGCTGACAAAAAACATCCGTTGCTCCGTCGTATCGTAGGGCAAACAACTCCGTGTGGCGCTACCAAGGGCCGGAGCTCCGTCTAAAGCCACGTCGGGTTCCGAGAAGTATTGCCGAGAAGTTCGCAAAAGCGAGCTTTGCAACGGCGACCGATGATTCGGCTGCCTCGTGCCGAGGTCAAGGCGCGGCTACTCGTGCTCCCCTCCACGGGGCAAGCATCATTACATGCGGTTTGCCGCTTTGATACGGGGCATCTGTCCAGTTGATGCTATTCTGCATTCCAGTGAAGGCGCGGGGTTGATTGGCGCACGGCGATGCCGCTGTGTCCTTTTAATGAGGCCGGCCACTCACGCATCGCCGATTTGTCCGCCTGGCAATGCACTTCAAAGTTTGCTTGCTTGCTTGCTTGCATGCTCGGGCGGCGAAGCTGGTTGTTGCGACGTCACATGCCTGGAGAGTACGAGTACCTTATTACCTAGCAAGATACCTTAGGTAGTTGGGTAGAGGTGGTGTAGCGTTTCGCGCACATTCTACAAGCCCGGAAGGCTAGTAGGGGTAGCATCTGATGATGCACCACACGTTTCGCCTTAGCGCTGCAAAGATGGAGGGCACGCTGGAATTACGCAGCTTTGTGGTCAACCGCGGCAATCGACGATGCATGAGGCTCTCATTACTTCATCGTGCTTCCATTGTACGTTGCTTTGATCTACGACGAACCATCACAATCTACGAGTACAGTACGTGCCTACAGTACCTACTAGGAGGTAGGAAGGTATAGGTAGTCACTCAGCCACACCCCAGTTTCCGCGATCGATGCTTCGTAATACCAAATGGAGAGTACACGACTGGTACCAACCGAACGGTTTAGTTCAGTACTGCCACGTTGTAGCGCCACGAAACCGCCCAGGTAACGGGGCAGCCCGTACGGAGGGCTTGGGAGGAGTACAAAGTATGTAATATTACCACTAGCTTATCGCGAATAGCAAGAGGAGATACCTAGAGAGAGAGAGGACAACAGGAGAAAAGAAGGAAGGAAAAAAAAAAAATTCCATGTCTTCAGCGGAAGGCCAGTTTGAGCTCGGCTGGACAAGGCAAGGCCTAGCTCGGCTCAACTGACACGACGGACCAAGGGATTATGTTTAGACGGCCTGTGAGTGGCCAGCCGGGCTAGGGCCATGCCAGCTCCCAGACGCACATTCTGTCATTGTCCTGCTATCCCGGCCGCGGGGGCTCCATCTATTGCCCCTCTGGGCCTAGCGACTGGTGCCCAGAAGCCGCCGGAAAACACCTCTCCCCCACCCAGGCAAAGCCGGCTCTCCACCCTGCCTTCTTTATAACAGTCCCCCCCCCTCGACGGTGATTTTTCTTGTTCCTGATGTTGTCTGATTTCCGCTGCCTCGCCAGCATCACAGCTATTCCAATTGACTGCAGTCGCTAGACCCTCCGCAATTGGCCGAGTCTGCACCATGCTTGCTTCCAGACAGGTTCTGGGCAGTATTGCTCGGAGCCGCGCCCTGGGTGGCGCGGCCAGCAGCGTCCGCCGTCTGGCCACCGTCTCCGATTCTGCCCTCGACAGAAAGGTACAGTAGAGAAAGCCCTCGTTTTCACATGGGCAGCCCGTCTGCCTGTGTGGTGTAGTGTTTGTTCGTTTGTTTGTTGTTGTCGTTGGGTGTTCGGGGGCGCTGTGCTGACAACCGTTTCTGCGTGCAGGTCCGCCAGAACAACTGGGAGGAGAACAACTTCATCAACTACAAGAAGATGTCCGAGAACCTCTCTATTGTTCGCAGCCGGCTCAACCGACCCTTGACCTTTGCCGAGAAGATCCTGTACTCTCACTTGGACGACCCCCATGGCCAGGAGATCGAGCGAGGCAAGTCCTACCTGAAGCTGCGACCCGATCGTGTGGCTTGCCAGGACGCCACTGCTCAGATGGCCATCCTGCAGTTCATGTCTGCTGGCATGGACTCCGTTGCGAACCCTACCACTGTCCACTGCGACCATCTGATTGAGGCCCAGGTCGGCGGCGCCAAGGATCTTGAGCGCGCCATCGGCATCAACAAGGAGGTCTACGACTTCTTGTCCACTGCTTGTGCCAAGTACAACATTGGTTTCTGGCGTCCCGGCTCTGGTATCATCCACCAGATCATCCTTGAAAACTATGCTTTCCCCGGTGGTCTCCTCATCGGTACCGACTCGCACACTCCCAACGGTGGTGGTCTTGGTATGGCCGCCATTGGTGTTGGTGGTGCTGACGCTGTTGACGTCATGGCCAACCTCCCTTGGGAACTCAAGGCCCCCAAGGTCCTCGGTGTCAAGTTGACTGGTCATCTCTCCGGCTGGACTGCGCCAAAGGGTAGGTTGAACCCCTGCTGAGCTCAGGAGTCCACATTTTTACTGACGTCCGACGTGCAGACATCATCCTCAAGGTCGCTGATATCCTGACTGTCAAGGGTGGTACCGGCTACATTGTCGAGTACCACGGCCCTGGTGTTGAAGGCATCTCCGCCACTGGCATGGGTACCATCTGCAACATGGGTGCCGAGATTGGTGCCACCACCTCTCTCTTCCCCTTCAACGACCGCATGTATGACTACCTTGCCGCCACCAAGCGCAAGGACATCGGAGATTTTGCCCGCTCTTATGCTTCTGAGCTTCGCGAGGACGAGGGTGCCGAGTATGATCAGCTCATCGAGATCAACCTGTCTGAGCTCGAGCCTCACATCAACGGTCCCTTCACCCCCGATCTGGCCACCCCCATCTCCAAGTTCAGCCAGGCCGTCAAGGAGAACAACTGGCCTGAGGAGCTCAAGGTCGGCTTGATCGGCTCTTGCACCAACTCCTCCTACGAGGACATGTCCCGCGCCGCCTCCATTGCTCGTGACGCTCTCGACCACGGCCTCAAGTCCAAGGCTGTTTTCACCGTCACCCCCGGCTCTGAGCAGATTCGCGCTACCATTGAGCGTGACGGCCAGCTCAAGACCTTTGAGGAGTTCGGCGGCATTGTTCTCGCCAACGCCTGCGGTCCTTGCATTGGTCAGTGGGATCGTCGGGACGTGAAGAAGGGTGAGGCCAACTCCATCCTGTCCTCATACAACCGAAACTTCACTGGACGTAACGACGGCAACCCCGCCACCCACTCTTTCGTCACCTCTCCTGACCTGGTTGTTGCCCTTTCCATCGCCGGCACCCTGCACTTCAACCCCCTCAAGGACAAGCTGGTTGGCAAGGATGGCAAGGAGTTCATGCTCAAGCCTCCTACCGGCGACGGCCTCCCCGTCAGGGGTTACGATGCCGGCCAGAACACGTACCAGGCCCCGCCCAAGGAGCGTGCCGACGTCCAGGTCCAGGTCAGCCCCACCTCTGACCGTCTCCAGATCCTGCAGCCTTTCGCTCCCTGGGATGGCAAGGACGCCAAGGATGTGCCCATCCTCATCAAGGCCAAGGGCAAGACCACCACCGACCACATCTCCATGGCTGGTCCCTGGCTGAAGTACCGTGGCCACCTTGACAACATCTCCAACAACATGCTGATTGGCGCCATCAACGAGGCCAACAACGAGGCCAACAAGGTCCAGAACTTCACCACTGGCGAGTGGGATGCCGTCCCGGCTGTTGCTCGTGACTACAAGAAGAAGGGCGTCAAGTGGGTCGTCGTTGGTGACTGGAACTACGGCGAGGGCAGCTCCCGTGAGCATGCTGCTCTGGAGCCTCGTCACCTGGGCGGCCTGGCTATCATCACCCGAAGCTTCGCTCGTATCCACGAGACCAACCTGAAGAAGCAGGGCATGCTTCCTCTGACCTTTGCTGACCCTGCCGACTATGACAAGATCAAGCCTGATGACCGGGTAAGTTTCCCCAAAATCTACCTACGACTCCCTATGAAAATGATATTGTGTGAATACTAATGGATTGTATTAGATTGACCTTCCCTGCACCAAGCTTGCTGTTGGCGAGCCCCTCATCATGACTGTCCACCCCAAGGAGGGCAAGCCTTTCGATGTCAAGCTGCTGCACACCTTTAACGAGGCCCAGATTGAGTGGTTCAAGAACGGTAGCGCCTTGAACACCATGGCCAAGAAGGCCCAGAAATAAAAGAAGAGAAAAGAATGGGGTGTGGAAGATGGCGGCGTGAAAGTCATGGCATTGAAAGCCCGCAATCTCGTGAGCTCTCGCGAGTTATGAAGAAGTTGTCCCGGGGCGGTATTATCGGCTCGATGCGTCTGGAGTCATTATATGCTTTTGAGTGTACTATGTATGTAACTTGTGATTCCCATGTCTAGTATATATATAATGAAGGGCAAAATAAAAATGAAAAAAATTATAAACAACAAATCATGTGCCTTATTGGGATGTGTCTTGTTTACACAGGGAGAGAGGTACGACATGTCGCCATTGCTTGCAAGCTGGGGTGAAGAGACGATGGGAACTTCATGTTCATGTCAGATGTGAGGTGTTGAGACTGCCCGAGGTAAGGTTAAGGTAAGCTACCTAAGGTACCTAAGGACCTACCTGTGTAATGAGGGGTAAGTACCTACGGTAGATTTGGTACCTAGATACAGAGCGTAGATACGGAGGTCGCTTCTTTCATGACTTCTGTTTCATTGGGTGCACTGCGCTTCTCTGGTCGGCAAGGCGCCTACAACACATGGGGGGCTCCTCCTAGTATAGCACCTTTTTAAGGTTTCCCTCGCTTTGCAGCGGGCGCCTTATGTAAACAGCACTTGGACGCCATGCCTCCACAACCTACCTATAGTGGGTAGTACCTTAGCTCCTCTCCATTAAACACATCCATTACCTACCTACCTACCTTACCCACCGACTTGGAGCTCTCAACTCCCGCGCCGAGAGACTCGACCATCATCATCGTCCACAGCCTCGACCGCCGCTCGTCCTGTCCGACCGAATCAAGCATGAAACAGTTAGGAATATGGATGCCAATATCCAGCGAGCGCTGAATGACAAGCTATACGATAAGCGTAAAGTTGGGGCACTCGAGTACGGCACAGGTCCAGCCCAGCTGTCCATGCACTGGCATATATACGTTGCTTACCGTTGTTGTACGCCCCTAGACTTGAGAAGATAATACGAGATCTTGTTGCTTCTGGCCAGTTCCAACGCGTGGAAGAAATACTCGAGCAGTTATGTAATGACTATGCTTATGCTGTTCACCAACCACATGCTCGGAATGGGGGCTTGATCGGTCTCGCCGCGGCGGCGATTGCGCTCGGCACGGTACGTTCAGCTTCCTGTATAGCTTGGATGCCGACCATGGGGCGATTCACGACCATCACGAATGATTTTGTCCTGCCTACCGCTCCTATGTATTCTCCATCGTGTCATGCTCTGTCAAAGCCCGTTTCTCGTCTGGATCTGTGAAGACGTCTGCGCTGGAATCGTGGTTGTTGCTGACGCTCGTTGCAGGAGTTACCTCGCTATCTTGTAAACATCGTCCCTCCTGTGCTTGCATGCTTCACCGATCAGGATGCGAGAGTTCGGTACTATGCCTGCGAGGCAATGTACAATATTGCCAAGGTGGCCAAGGGGGAGATCCTGGCTTATTTCAATAGCATCTTCGATCAGCTATGCAAGGTATGCTCGCCAATTCATCCCTACTGCATGCACGAAGGGTTGAGAAGCATGGGGATACGAGTTCTGCTGTGTTGACCGAATATCTTGTCTAGCTTGGGGCAGATTCCGAACTGTCAGTCAAGAACGGAGCTGAACTGTTGGATCGGCTCATCAAAGACATCGTCGCAGAGTCGGCCGCATCCTACGTTTCAGTATTAGAAACCTCTTCGCTCGAGGATAGTGCCACCACCGGTGAACAGCAGCAAAACTTGCCCACGGCCTTCTCATTACAGCGCTTCATTCCACTGCTTAAGGAACGCATTCATGTTATCAACCCGTTCACTCGACAATTTCTCGTTGGTTGGATCACCCTTCTGGACTCAATCCCAGACCTGGAATTGGTGACTTACCTCCCGGAGTTCCTTGGCGGCCTTCTCAAGTTCCTCAGTGATCAAAACGTCGACGTTCGAGTGGCCACGCAAAACTGCCTCGACAAATTTCTCAACGAAATCAAGCGAATCTCCCAAGTGAAAAGAGGGCTGGTCGAGAATAGAAAGTTCAAAGAAGGCGGCAAACGGAAGCGCCAAGAATCCATAGACAGTATTGGCGGTCGCCCTAACTTGGAAGAAGGAGACGAGCTCGATTCTGAGGCTTTGAACGACGATGACGAAGACAGCCTGGAGGATGACTGGATCCCCGGCCAGGACGTGGAGATCAACTACAAAGAAATCCTAGATATTCTAACCGCCACTCTCGATTCCCCATTAGGTTCGTTATGACTTACATGACTCTCCAGCTGCCATGCTTACGACTGATGCTGACAATGATCAAGAGGAGGACTGTCTCCTCGAATCACTCAGGTGGATCGTGGAATTCCTCGACATCTGCCCCGAAGAAGTGCTGCCTTTTACGCCCAAGATCCTGGCGCATATGCTCCCTGCAATGGCTAGCACCAAGGAGACGATCCGCCTTGCAGCGACACGAGTCAACACCTGCCTGATGGACTACGTCGTCTCTCTATCAGACGAGTCCGATGTCAATGCAGGCCAGGGATCACGCCTCCCGTGGGGACAAGAAAAGCAAGAGAACAGTAGCCTCGGTCGGACATCGATGTCCAACTCAAGGGACACCGAAATCCGTAGCGCAACGCCGGGCAGTGGTCGAATGTCTTCCGCTGCCAATGCTACACCCGATGCGACCCAGGTCCAAGCCAATCTCGACTATACCGCTGCTGTGAACTCCCTTACTCTACTCTTCCTAAACGACCACGAAGCTACCCGTGTAGCTGCCCTAACCTGGCTCATCATGCTACATAGAAAAGCGCCGCGCAAGGTACTGGCTTTCAACGACGGCACGTTTCCGGCGCTTCTCAAGACGCTCTCCGACCCTTCTGATGCTGTTGTGACGAGAGATTTACAGCTCCTGTCCCAAATATCTCGCAACAGCGAGGATGATTACTTTGCCAGTTTCATGGTAAACTTGCTGCAGCTGTTCTCTACGGATCGTAAGTTGCTGGAGACCAGAGGCAACTTGATCATACGGCAGCTTTGTATCAGTCTCAGTCCAGAACGCATATATCGGACGCTAGCCGAATGCATTGAAAAAGAGGAGGATGTCGAGTTCGCCAGCATCATGGTGCAGAACCTGAATAACAATCTGATTACGGCACCCCAGTTAGCGGAAGTGCGCAAGCGGTTGAGAAATCTGGAAACAAAGGTAGTCGGATGCCGTCTCCCTTTCCCTCATGGCTCAATGGACAAGCTTCGACTTACACAATGTGCAGGATGGCCAGACTCTGTTTGTGGCTCTCTTCAGGTCGTGGTGCTACAACGCGGTTGCGACATTTTCTCTGTGCTTGCTCTCTCAAGCTTACGAACAGGCATATCATCTATTGCAGATATTGTAAGTCTGATTCTCGGGTTGTCTCCGAAGATTGTGGTCAAGACGCTGATGGCTGCTGGATAGTGGCGAACTGGACATGACAGTAAACATGCTGATTCAGGTCGACAAGCTGGTTCAGCTTATTGAATCACCCGTTTTCACATGTAAGTCCCCGACCTGAGCCGTATGAGGAAACGAGGTGTGGTAACCTGACGGCCCCTTGCTAATGTACAAAACCTCTGCCTAAACAGACTTGCGCCTACAACTACTGGAACCCGAAAAGTATCCCTACTTGTACAAGTGCATGTATGGGATCCTCATGCTTTTGCCCCAGTCCTCGGCATTTGCTGCGTTGAAGAATCGGCTCAACAGCGTCAGCTCGATTGGGTTCTTGCAAGTGGTGCCGCGAAGGTAAGTCTTGCCAACAGCCTTGTTTCTTTGAGCTTGAAGTCGTGGCATCTCGGATAATAACAAGCGGCGCCGAATATAGCATGGCAGCAGCGCCAGCCTCGTCGAATTATGACCGACCAAACCGACTGAAGGGGCGGGATGATGGGGCAATACGATGGGTTGAGCTCCTGGAGAAGTTCCGCAGTGTCCAGGAAAGAGCAAGGAGAAGCCAACGACACAGCATGGAAATTGAGGACACGCTGTCGGCTGGAGTCGGCGACTTTCGGATGGGAGGGGACGCAGAACCGGAGAGCAAGCCTAGAGACGGCATCCGAGGCGGCCCTGTTGGTCCAGCTGTGCCATTGAAAGACCAGGCACCAGTCGTAGCTACGCCACCGGTTAAGAAGTCGTCCGGGCTGGGGAGGCAGTTTGGACGATTGGGGGGCGCCGTTTCGGGGAAGAGCCGCCGAAATCAGTAGATACCATAACAATACCCTGAGAGAATAATAGGAGACAGTAACAAGGTCAGAGTTGCAACGGCGATGTTAGATCCGGCAGTGTGCCGCACCCAGCTTTGGTGCTCTTGACCACGGAGACCCTGCATTTTCTCGATGCCCGTCTGGATTGAGACTTGCCACATGCTGCTGCCTTCATAGATGAGGTTTGACCTCTGATGAATCCAACAGCTGGGATGCAAACGGCTACCGCGCCCCCTGCTGGGAAAGAGCAGCGAGCTGTTCGCTGAGCTCCCTCACGTGGAAGAGCAATGCTTGATACTGCTGCTCCAGCTCAATGACATCGCCAATTGCGGGGTGCGGCGTGGCGACGGACGCCGCAAGGGCCGTGACGCGGTCGTGGAGATCGGGCAGCTGGGCAGAGACGGTCTTGATCCTCCGCTGAACATCCAGGTTCTGCTTGGCCAGGTCCGAGGGCGGCTTGTAGCCGTCGCTCTGCAGCGTGTGGAGCAGCTCCTCTGCCGCCTCCGTTTCCCGCTGGAGGTGGCGCTCGAGGGCATCGACCCGGGCGGCCGTCTGCTCGGCGCCGTAGATTCTGCCCTGGAGACGCAGCATCAGGCGGCCAATGTGATCCGGGTCCGGGCTCGCGGTGGCGGCCGCCTCCGAGGCCACGGCCGTGAGGACGTTGAGCGCGTTGGCGCCGTCCTTGGGCAGGCTGTGCTCTATGGCATCGAGCAAGTGGCCCTTTGTGAGTGCCGTGTTGCCGCCGCTGTTGCTGCTACTACTGTTGTTATTGTTGTTGTTGTTGCTGCTGCTGCTGCTGGAGGGCATCTCGGCCCGGTCGTGGGCGCTGAGCCCCTGGAGCGCCGTGGCGTCGACCCGCGCCAGCAGGCGGCGCTGGTCATCGGCCGCTTCGTTGATGGAGACGAGGGCCAGCAGCGCCTTGAGCGTGTCCTGGTTCCGCTCAAAGGGCGGCAGCGAGCTCTTCCATGCAGGGGACTTGGATGCCAGCCAGGCGTCGACGTAGGACCAGTCCCGGGCGGTGGACGCGGCGATGCGGGCGACGGACGGCGAGAAGATGGCTGCCGAGTTGTCGGCAAGCCGGTGAGCCATTGTGCTGTGGCTGGTGGAAGTTTGCCGACTGCTCTTGAGTGATGGCTGGGGGGGTGACGTAGCTGTGTTGTGCCCGACCGAGATGTGATGGTAGGCAGATGAGATTTGGAGTATTGAGATGTTTGCTGAACGGTGACAATCTCGAATTCTGCTTTCCAAGTAGGCATTTGGTGTATCAGGCAGTATGTACTAATGCATGCATGCCAGCTCACAGCGGCTCATCTTTTTGGTCAACAGAGGGGGGTCGACGGGATGCAGGACAAGAGCAAGTACATGTAAAATGCAATTCCATGTGGCATGTTGTCTACGGATAATTCGATGTTATACCATATATACCAGATATACCTAATGTTAAAGCGACCATCGTTAAGTCATATAGAATACTACTATGTAGACAGACATTGCCTTCTCACAACCGGGCAATAGCCTACCACGTATCCGATCAACTCTCACATCTTGGGTATCCACTCATCAACAATCAGCTCTTCGCCTTGGCCCATTTCTCTGCAATGATGCCCATGATTTCCTTCTGTGGAATGCTTGGATTCTCCATCTTCACAACCTTCATCTGCTCCTTGACAAACAACTGATATCCGCTCAGTTGGCCCGTCGACGGTGTCTGGCGCGGCGTTGGCTTTGTCTGCTCAAGCGCCGCCTTGCAAGCGCCGCATCGATGCCTCTTGGGATCGATGCTCTTCGAGTGCCGCTTATACTCGCACCCACAGGCTGTGCAAGCCCACACGTACTTGAAGTCGATCTCGTAGCTGTGCTTGGTGGTCACATTGATGCCCTGCGAAGCAAACGACTGGGAGCATTTTGCCGCCCATGCCTTGAACTCCTTGCCATGGGGATTATCCGTGATGCCATTGATCATGAAGTTGGCCAAATGGCAGAATTCGTGAGCTATGACATTCAACAGGCGCTGCTCGTCGTCAATGACCTTTTCAGAAAGCTCAATAGAAGAGTGGTGTCGATACTGCTTCACGCCCGCAGTCCCACTGTCGCCTGTTTGCTTCGAGACGATGGTCTCTCGCTTCCAGTTTGCTCGGCCGGCTGTAGTCTTGAGGGTGTTGCTCCAAACAATCTTGATACCGCCAGTTGACTCTGTCAGTTCTCCAATCTTGCCATGAGTGATTCGGGTATCGAGTTGGCAAAGAAAATCCGTTGCCAGTTGAGTTTTCTTGGCCTCAAAAGACTTCTTGGCCTGCTTGTTCGCAGCGGTCGTTTTCGAGGCTGTTCGTCGTGTAGGGCTGGTTTCGGAGATGATAGGCGGCTCATCCCACTCGTCATCTGAATCCAGTTGCCTAAGGATATCGGCGATATGGTTGTTTGCTCTTGGTAGAGCAGGCTTTGTCTCCTTGCTTCTATTGGGAGACAGTATGGGACAACTGGGTGTAGGATCGTCTACGTGTAAATCGTCCTCCCCTAGCAAAATATGCTGATCAATCGAGAGCCGTAAGAATGGTCGAATCACATCTTTCCCGGTCTTGGGCCGAGGAGACTGCGACCGCTGACTGTATCCCGTATTTCGACTCCCTTTGGATGGTACGTTGCGAGGCTGTTGCGCTACTGGTTCCTCTTGGTCACTGCTGTCTGAAATTTCGATTATGAGAAGCTGCGACTCGCGCACTTTCAGTGACTTGTCTCCGGAACTTGGGAGTGGAGTGGTTGAGGCTTCGCCGGCTTTCTTCAAAGGCTTTTGGGGGCGTGCTGTTGATGCTTGGGGCTCCTTTGTCGGACTTGTGCTGCTCCTATTCTTCTCAGTCGTGCGTGGCCGAGGCCTGGATTCCTGACCATGTACATTCCGATAGTGAGCTCGAGGTGTACCCTCTACTTGGTCTTTAACATCATTCCCGAGCTTGCTTGATGAGGGCCACCATCTCCTTTGTATGCCTTCTTTCGCCAAAGATGTAATGCTTTCTTTGCGTACCGTACGACTCAAGCGCAAGGAGGGGTCGGATTTTCTGTTGGCTAGCGCCTCTCTAGAGTCATCTTCATCTTCTTTTAGATTGATGGCTGTGATATCTCTCGAATTCGCATTCAGGATTGCCCTTGATCGCGAAGGCTGTAGCTGGGTGGTGCGGCCGGGAAGACGCGCCAGAAGCACGTCTAATTCAGGAAGTTCGTCATCGTCGCTGCTATAATAAGAGCTGCTTGGTTGAAACTCTGCCATAGTAAAGATGCAGTGCCATACATAACAGTACCATGGAGTTCAAAATAAGTGTCAAGTCTGCAAGCCGGTCGTGCTGCCGCTCGACGAACAAGCGTTTGTTTACTTTGCACGTGGATTGATGCCGGGCAACCGGCGCAACGGCGAGTGGAGCGGTGACACACTGGCCCGACGCTAGCGGAAAGGGAAAGTCAAAACGTGAGCCAAGCCTTCCTGGAATTAAAGCTGCCCGCTGCTCAACTTGCGGCAGGTTCGAGGCACTGGCGCAGTGTTCCTGCCGCATTCGTAGCGTGCATGCATACTGTGACATTCGGTTTCAGAGTGAGATCGACGTCTCACAAAAAAGAAATCCGGATTCAAGATCCCGATACTATTCTGAATACCTACTACTAGGTAGTAGAACATAATCACAAGTCAGCAAACGAAACTGCGTGATCCACGACAGGACGCGCGCGCTCACTCTTCCTGATCATTTGACGCTCAATAGCTTCGACCTCATGGCCTTTCTGTTCTCGCTAACCGCCGCTAGCAATACGTATGTACCTCGCCTGCGCTGAACCGTGTGCGGCTCGCCTAAAAAGCGCCGGGTTCTGTCGGCGTCGCCTTTTTTCTCCTTTGGCCTTGAACAGATCAGGATGATTCAACAACCGTGACCGGTTTTTTTCTCCACTTGGCCAGGCGACGGATATCATTGCTGCTAAACTAATTCGAAACCACACCCTGCGGTCTTCAACCTCTTGTTGCTCCAGAAATGGTCCGCTGGCAACCTTCTGTATCTTAGCAGGACAACACACATGTTCATGTTCGTAACATGAGGACCAGATGCCATGAAATTTGCCCATGAGCTTAAACAGTCGCTGGCCACTCAAGGTACCGTCACAGTCACCCCTGCCCTTTTGTCTCCTGAACGCCGTTGTGACGGCTTTGCGACTCCGCCATACAATCTGCTTACCGGAATCAAACTGCAGGCTTCCCGCCTCATTGGGTCGCCCATGCGATTCCCTACGGCCAGCTGAAGAAATGCCTCAAGAAAGTCCAGCGCGAGCTGCAAGAGCTGGGACTCGATGCCGAAACCTTGCGGGCGCTCCTCGATCCCAAGACGGACTCTCCAGTTGCCTTGAACTACAGCCTTAATCGTATGGTTCCCCTTTGCGATAGAAACCTTGGAGGGGCCCCCTCCTTCACAGCAGGCAGAATTCTCAACTAACTGCTGTCTGACTTTGAAGCATCCTCAAACTCCCAGATCGTCCGACCGAAATTGACAGTGGAAATTCATTTGCACGATGGCAACATTGTCGATGCGTCGCTTACGCCAGCCACTCGCCAATTCTTCGAGAAGATTTCTTCGAAACTCCCCCTCGACGGTTCTGACGCTGCCAAAGAGTCCAAACCGGCCGACAGCACGCCCACCGAGACGGTCGAGGAGGCGACGCCAGCCCCATCGCAAGCTCTTACGATTGCAAACCGCGCGGGGAAAGGCTATGATACCATCGAGGTGCCTCTCGTGTCCGATGGCGTCTTCTTCGACATCCTTCAAAACGATGTCAGTAGCCTAGACGCCCTCCAAGCCACCGAACGGGACCAGTTGAAGGAAGAGGTCAAGGACCTAGGGAAACAGGTGTCGCATGTGGCGCGGCCGGGTCGCTTCTCTAAAAGCGATCTCGATCGCTGGAGGCGGATATTCGAACTGTATCTTGATGCGGAGGTATTCTTTGCGACGCACGAGCGCGATCACGGAGCGCGATCCAGCCAGAAAGCTCTTCAACAGCTGCAGTGGTTTCAGAATCAGGTCCAGAAGCAGGAGCTTGTCAAGTCATTCAAACGACCAGAAAGCCGGGCCGCGTTTTCGAAGTTCTTGGAATTGAATCTCAATCTATTGAAACATCTGCAGTTCCAGGAACTAAATCTGCTAGCGATCACAAAGATATTGAAGAGTAAGAATGCGCTCCCCTTTTTTTTCGCCCCCTGGCTGGAATCTGAAGCTGATGAGTGTTGCACAGAGTTCGATAAACGAACGGCATTGGGCGTTTCGCGTGCGTTCCCGAGCGCAATCAGCTCCCGAAAGCTGTTGTCCGGAGATATCGCCAAAGAAGTGTGCGCGAGGATCTCAGACGAGCTGGTTTCTATTATACCCCAAGTCAACGACTACCTCTGCCCGATATGTTACGCGATTGCATATCAGCCAGTTCGTCTAGATTGCCAACACGTCTTTTGCATCCGCTGTTCAGTAAAGCTTCAGCGACGCCATGAGGAATACTGTCCCTTGTGCCGAGCTCGTGTCGTCATGGACGCTTCTGCTAGTGAGTTTGTCCTGTAGCCTACCGTGTATCTTTGATTGCTAACGGCGTCATGTAGAAAACATTGATTCTGAATTAGAAAAGTTTATGAGGAAGAACTTCCCCGCGGAAGTGAAGGAGAAGGAACGTGCTGATCAAATAGAACGGGGGATAGAGGAGTTTGGCCCGAGCTACAAACCGGCCGAATGCGCTGTAATGTGAGTAATGCTGAGCGACACATTTGGAGACACTTTAGAACTGTCTTTTAGAAGACGATAATGTTTACGATGTTACGACTCCAATGATTCTTTGGCATCTCTGCTCTGCATGTGTATGACCCTTAAAACAGGAGAACAACGAGTATCTCAACTCCTAGATGTATCCTTTGCAGCTACGCCTCCGTCACAGCTACCACTATCAAGGGCCCAGCATCGATTACCTGGTTTTGTCTTTGTCTATGAAAACTAACATCTGGCTTTGAATTGTTTTATGCAATTGTTACCGATTCGGCTGCTGCCAGAGCTTTCTTGAACAGGTGCTGCAGCTCCTCCGGCTCCTCCAAGCCCACACTAACACGAACCAGATTTGCGTCTACACCATACTGAGCCGCCCAGTCCAGCTCCTTGTAATGCGCCAACAAGACGTAGGGCGAGCAGAGTGTAAAGTTGCTCCCCAAGCTGGGTCCCTTTGCGGTATCCAAATTGTTATAGAAAACTTGCGCATACTGCGGGTGGGTGAAGACGACGGAGAGCAGCCCTCCATATCCGCCATCGGGCAGGCGACAAGCCTCGTAATTGGGTCTCGATGGGTTGTACTTGGGGTAGTAGACGGTCTTGACGAGCGGGTGGGTTCGCAGGATGTCGCAGATTGCTTCCGCGTTGGCATTGATGCGCTTCACTCGGCTCGAGAAGTCGCGGCTGTTCCTCTCCATGAAGAGGATATCCTCGACCCAGTACGTGTCTTCGTAGATTTGCTCCTCAAAGACCTTCTTGAGCACCCGGTAGTGTTTGCCTTCCGGGTTCAGGACTGTGCATCCGCCCATGACGTTTGAGTCGCCCGAGAAGATCTTGGTCAGGCTGCTGACGACGATGTCGGCGTACGGGAGGACGTTGACGTTGGCAAACGTGCCAATCGTCTCATCGACGACCACGGCAAAGTCATATTGGTCCGCCAGCTTGCGGATCCGCTTCAGATCCGGACAGGCGAGAAGGGGGTTCCCTGGGAACTCGCAAAAGAGGGCGAGGAAGCGCTGCCCGTCCTTGAGCGCGCCCTCGAGCTGGTCAAGTTCCTCCGACGAGGCGTGGCCATAGAGGACAGCGCCTGGACCAAACTTCTCGAGGACCTTGAGCGTGTCAATGTAGGGGAAGCCAAAGTTGATGCTCTTGCGCGAGCCCAGGGCGGCCAGGAGAGCACGGTGGGCGTTGAAGATGGCGTTCATGCCGCAGGGATACAGCAGGACGTCGGTCTCGTCGAGAGCCTCGATGCCTCGAGCGTTTGCCTCGCTGTTGGCCTTGGTGGGGTCGTCGTTCATGTCTGCATCGCCCGCGAGAGACCCGGCGATTCTCCTACGAATGGCGGACTTTGCGCGCGCGACTTGCGAAAGGTCGAGATTCCTTCCAAAACGCTCTTCGAGGAAATGGAAGCTCTCGCGTGCCTCTTCCGGATTCTCGGAAGACGAGGCGGGCCCCTTGTTTTCGGCGCCGGCTGAATTGATGCCGGCGGAGGAATTGGCTCGTGAATATCGCTTCGGGCCACGCAGGGGCTTCTCTTGGGGGGTTCGAGGAGGCTGTTGGGGTTGCTGTTCGCTGACGGGAACCAGTTGGCCGTGCTTGAACAGTTCATGGGAGAATTCAGCCCGTCGACTTGAAACCCCATCGCCAGTGTGTTGCCAGTACTCCTTTGCTACGGGAAAGGACTCCTGCGGGAAGATGATGCCGGAGATGGTGGGTGAAAGCTGCTTCAAGAGCGGAGAGACGTCCTTGGAAGCGTCGAGCGCAAGATCAACCACATGGATCTGGCTGGCGATTTCTGGAGTCACTCGCGGGCGCATAAAGTCCAGGCATCTTCGAGCAGCGGCCGCCGTAGGGAACAACAGGATGCGCTGGCCGGGCTGTCCGTAAGCTGCGAGAAGGTCTTTGGAGAGGGCCTCGATGCTCTTGTGGATGAAGAATCTAGGGGATGGATCAACTTGTGAGCGAACGGCTGTCACTAAGACACATTCTTGTCTCGTGGCTGTTACTCACCGAGGATAACCAGTAACCATTCGGCTGACGACTCGCGGTTCGCCTTCTTCATAGTCGACGTTGGCCTGCCATGTTGGCAGAGACACACTCACGGCCTAGAACAGAGACAAGATGCTTCAGTAAGTCAGTTGCCAACAAGTGAGGGCTGAGAGAGGCAACTTACATGAGCCGTATCTGGAGGTATAGATTCTCCCAGTGAGATTACAGGCATTGTGAGAAAAAAAATTCGAAACGCCTTCTTTTTGTATTCTCCGAACGCTAGGTACCTCTTTATATGTCTATAGGTAGTTATGGGGAGTAGATGGTCGAAATTGAGCAGAGCAAGCAATTGACTATATAGTAATGTTCTCACTTGGAGTGAGAGACCAGGAAATTGATTGTTTGGTTATAAAATGAGTCATTAGATTGACGCTCCCGCTACCCACTTTACATAGATGCATATCGGAGGCTGTCAAATGCTACTTTAATAAACCATCAATAGATACAGCAGACTCTTACTCAATTCCTGGAGGGCTCCTTTCAGTGACACTTTTAAGCGAATACCGTTATCCGCAAAGTCGTTGAACCCCAATTCTTGCGAGCATAAAGCTGTTGATTGTACAAGCGTGACACGTGCAACGTTCTGTACTATATGCAAGGCATTCGCTAAGGCTGAACTCGCATACAATGCGCATCGAGTCCGGTGATGTCATTTGATTACCCCACCGTTGTATCAAAGTAGGTACCTAGTAGTAGTACAGAGCGATAGTCGCAAGGCGTCTCGAATAATAAATCAGTCTCCAGCTGCGCGCAACCGATCTGCCGCCTAAGCGCATGTTTACAACTACTATCTATCGTCCCAGCTCCCTTTATAACATAAACATAACAAAGGACCAGACAATAACGATACACACCACCATCGCCATGTCAAGTTATCGCAACATTCCCCTCTACGGCGGCGCAGTCACCTGCGACCTGCCCAAACGCTTCGCAGACGTCAGGTCAGCAGCAGCAGCTACAACTCGCGGCGCATCTCTCTCCATACTGACTTACAGCTAACGCTCCCTTCTCGCAGCAAGCTGAGACAAGTCCCCGACCACCAGGAAGTCTGGATCGACAAGGACGGCTTCACGAGCATCATCTTTGACATCACAGAGCGCGTCGGCGAGCCCGGCTCCGGGCCCGAGATTGACGGCCGGGCCATGACGACGCACCTCGAGGACATGGTCGGCTCCGACATCAACACGGTCAAGATCTGGAACACGGCCGAGACGGAGTTTACACGCATGCAAGAGTAATTTTTCCAACCCCATCTAAGCACCCTTCCAAGGCCCTTTTGCGCACACACTGACAAACCGGGGGGAGGCGAAACCCCAAAAACAGCCTGAAACTCCCCGCATACACCCTCATCGCGACGCAGACCCCCCACGCCGCCAGCGACCAGGCCTCGGCGCCCGACTTCACAGCCATCACCATGACCCTGCTGCGCCTCGAGAAGGAAGACACCGACATCCTCATCACCATCAACGTGCCCCACATCAAGGGCGAGTACGACGCCGACGAGGTCGACCTCGAACTCGGCAAGCAGGGCAAGCTCATCGGCGACGCCGTCGAGATTGCGGCGCGCATCTGGGAGACGTTTGAGATTAAGGACTGGGGGCTTTTCGGCGAGACGGCGAGACACCATTAGAGCCAAAAGGGAGGGGGGACTTTTAATCGAAAATAAAAGAGGTGGGATAACCTGAGGATGGAGGAGGGCCCTCTCTGTGGTATATCTATACACTACGTGATTTGGTTCATCTACTCAAAGGGAATAACGCTCCCCCATACTTTATGATAATAAGGAATATGCCATGACCATCTATAGCGGCAGAATATAAAGCGATAAATATGCAAGCATCATTCAACTCCCTTTTATACCAGACCAAAAGGCCTACTTACACACATTGGGGGACTTTATACAACTACTAAATGCTCACTTGAGGCTGCTACCTACAGTGCTGCTAATCGATAAGACTTCCCTCGGCACTAGACGACCTCTGATTGGGTCCCACGCCGGATTAACTCCGGCAACGACCTCCTCGGCACATGGCGATACGGCTTAGTGTCTGCAGATAACCTCCCGCCCAAAGGAAAATCAAGGCTTGGAACATGTATTGCTCCGGCTTGCTGGTATCTATCTAGTAGTAGTAGTCGCAAACTTTTAGTATGACGACGAGGTTGTTTGCGATCCACAGGGCAATGAATCGTCTCCGGGGGCAGCGATAATCACTGAGCAATTGTTGAAACATTGTTCGTTCTCATCTTGAAAGATATATACAGCCCATATATATATATCACAAAGGGAAAAAAAAAAAATGTCCTCACAAGTGGCCAAGGCCGCCCGGCGCGTGACCCACGAGCTTCACGGCGTCGTCGTGTCTGCAGGCCTGATGCAAAAGACCGTCAAGGTCCGAGTCGGCGGTCAGAAATGGAACAAGGTCATCAACAAGGTGTGTAGACGCCGCGACAATTGGCTCTCGAGCCGCCCTCGCTCTGGCTGACAAGGATTCGAACAGTGGTTCGCAGACCCCAAGCACTACCTCGTACACGATCCCAACTCCTCCCTCCGCACCGGCGACGTCGTCTCCATCGTCCCCGGCTGGCCGACCTCCAAGCACAAGCGCCACGTCATCAAGAACATCATTGCGCCATTCGGCACTCCCGTCGAAGAGCGACCACCAATTCCCACATTAGAAGAGCGCATCGCCGAGCGAGAGGCCAAGCGGGCCACCAAGGCCGAGCGCAGGATGAAGGCCAAAGAAGAGCAGAAGCAGTAAATGTCCAAGTCTCATGGCAGAGAAACAGAGCAGGAAAAGAGGACATCGAAAAATCACAATCCCCAGTTGGCAAGCGCAACAGGGCTGTATGAATAGATCGGGTGGCATGTACCCATGTTGGATTTATTAGCGAAGGAATGCTCATTAGTTTGCTTCCAATCAACAGCCAAGAGGATAGCAATATAGCGCCTCTTGAATCAACTCCCGCACATATCCGCTGTGGAATCAAGTCATCAAGATTCGCGACGCACGCCGTATACGCTCGCCAAACGTCTATCAAGTCCCGCTCTATTTTGTAAACATACCTGCCGACCGTCAGGTCAAGGTAGCCCTGACTGAACATGAACCAGGTGCTGTCTCCTGTTGCCAGCTCAGGTTCGTTTAGCCACCACGCTCGCCAAACTTCTCGGCCCATTCTTCGTACTCCCTCAAGCCTTCCTTGTCAACACTGGGTCGGATCGACTTCAAGCTCTGCTCAAAGTCCGACAGGTCCATGGGTCGGATTTCGTCCTTTGTCATGTATAGCAGAGCCTCGCCTAAAGATCTTAACGGCCCCATGGCTGCGTCCTTGGCAAGAGCTGTGATATCGGAGCCTGAGAATCCTATCACGCAACCGGTGTTAGCTAAACATGGCGCCAAGCAAAGGTCACAACAGGACAGAAAAGAAATGCTTACCATCGGTCAACTGTACAAGCTTTGATATATCTTCTTCTGTTAGGCTGTGGTTCTGCTGACGTAGCAATGTCCTGAGGTGAGTCTCTCGTGTCTGCGGCTCGGGCAGTGGAATATACTGGCGGCGCACAAATCGTCGCCGTGCGGCCTCGTCAATTGCCCATGGCAAATTTGTAGCAGCCAACACCAAGACCCTTTGAGCTTCATTCCGCGGATTTGCACTGCTGCTCGTCTCTCGACCAGCAGCTGCTCGCTGAAGCTCACTCCACTGTATGAGAAACTCCGTCTTGATCCTTCTGGTCGCCTCATGCTCGCCAGCATCTGATCGATGGGACAAGAGTGAGTCGATCTCGTCAACAAAAATGATACTGGGAGCAAGCGCCTTGGCGAGACCGAAAAGCGCCCTGACCAGCTTCTCAGACTCTCCCAGATACTTGCTTGTCAAGCTGCTGGCAGAAATGGAGAAGAAGGTGGACTTGGATTCGGTGGCAACAGCGCGTGCCAGCATCGTCTTGCCAGTTCCTGGTGGTCCAAACAAGAGCATCCCGCGAGCTGGCTCGCGTAGGCCCATGAACAGATCTGGCCGTAGAAACGGGTAGACTACTGTCTCTCGCAAGGAATTCTTCGCAACCTCCAGGCCAGCAATGTCGCTCCAGTGGACTTCATCTCCTTGGACAACGATATCGTTGAGAATCTGTTTTGCGGCGCTTTCGTCTATCCCTGGGGGCAGATTCTTGAGAATAGCCGCCGTCGATGTCTTCTTGTCATTTTTATCAGTTTGCTTTTCCCTCGCCGTACTCTCGACAACGTCTTCAGTTGAGCGGCGCCCACTATATCTCCGTTTCAAGGGCTCAGGCTTTGTTCGAGGCGTCTCGGCACCATAGCTCGACGTGTACAAGTATGATTGCCTGGGATCCTCTCGGAGCCCATCTCCTGGTTCGGTGACGTATTTGTATAATAGTGGACTGTCCTCATCGAATCGTTTGCTCCTTGTGGTACTACTGGAACCTTTCTGACCAGCGGATGTTCCAAAATAGCTGCCAGCACCAGCTTTGGTGCTCCCTCTCCTGCTTTGACTTGGTGTTTCCTCGAAACCAAACGACCTTCGAGGCGTTTGATATTGCTCTGACTTACTGGGCGTTCGATACAGCGTCGAGGTTTCTGGGTTGTTTGAGGACGTTAAGGCGCTTGACGCTGCACTAATAGACAGAACCGAAGGTTGTGGGAGGCGAGTCTCGTCGGTCACGGTCACCATGTTCCATTTCTGAGGCGACGTGCGTGAAGATCTTGGCTCGTAAACTTGCGTCGGCCGTTGTGAACTGGGCGAGCCGCGTTCCATCGACGGGCGCGGTGCGGGACTTGATTTCGGCGACCGCCCTTCAGGAGCAAAGGGCCTCAAAAAGGTGTTTTGGGCTGCCGAAGAGTTCCATGCCAACGTGGCGGCCTTGCTTGGCCCATCCGCCGCAGGCCTGCTCGATTTGCGAATAACCGACGGCCGATCGCTGGTCTTCTTGGACCGCAGTGTTGTCCTCATTGTGTGCCTCTCCGGGCTCGAAGGACGGGCTAGGTTGTCGCTCTGCGAGCCGGGCAGATCAGGCGTCCGCGAGCTGGGACGCGAGTAGGACCGCTGCGTCGATGAATCGGCAGGGGTGCTACGGACCCTCCTGATCGTGTCTTCAGATGACGTCATTGCGTCGAGTGAAGCCCTGGGGGAGAAGACAGGACGTGAGAGTTCCGAGTATTTGACGGCAGGAATCGTGCCTTGTCCTATCGTCCCCGAGGCCTGGTTGGTGCTGCTGCCTGAGGCCTGCGTGGTGGTCGGGGTGGCGTAGTCGCGGCTCGCCGAGGCGGCACAGCTGTCCTCGCGAGACAGCCTAAGCGCTTCGAGAAGATCAAGCCTTTCCTTGCATTGTAGTTCCAGCTCTTTCAGCGCGTCTATCAGGGCGGCGTCCGTGTCGGTGTAGGATACGGAGAGTCGCGGTGCGTTTGGCGATGCGTAGTATTCATTTATTCGTCGAAGCGCGGCTCTCCAGTGTCGAGTCGCCTCGGCTTCATCGCCCTACGCCGTGGTCAGTGCGAGCCGATGGACAAAATGCAGTGGGAAAGAAGTTCTGCGAGGAGGAAGAAAACACGGTCCATCGTCGCTTTGTACCTGGTCTTCGTAATACACAGCCTTTGAGCAGCTGAGGTAACTGTGATCGTAGATCTTCTGGAGGGCGACGATGTCTCTGTTGCTGAGCATTGCATGGAGCCAGAGCCAGAGCCAGAGCCAGAGTCCGAGGCGGGCAGTTGATCAAGTCTTCGTCGCGTTCTGTCCAACCACCTTGTGCAGCGCGATGATATCGATATCACGGGGGGAGAGAGCAGTCGCAGCTTATTGCCTTTTGATGGCCCAGTGTTAATCCATGTGCGGCTTTCAGAGCAGTTGAAAGGAGTGACATGCGACAGCGGACTCAGCCAGCAGGTACTATACTTGAGCAGATGGCGCACTGGGGCTTTCCTCCCGGTCTGCAAGCGTCGGCTACTTTTTTTTAGTAGATCTACCAGCTTGAAGTCGTCCGTCTGAAGTACTTCGTAATCGTTCACACGTAAGGTAACCATATCCAGATGCACAGCCCCACCTCGCCGACTCTCGCAACTTGAGACACGGCACCTGATTTCAGAAGTCACGACGTTTGTCACATGCCAGCAATTGAATGATTGTGTTCTTTACTCATATGTGTACCTAGTTCTTCGGCCACAGTATATGTCTGCAGCAGCATCAAGTTACTCGCTAGGGTGAAATCAAGTGTCAACAACGCCAGAAATCGTGGTTTACTTCAAGCTGTTACTCCGTGCTTTAATCCATATAGATACTCCTTTCTCAAGGTGACGGTTGGATCAGCAAAGGTGGTTAACCCAACGTCGATCTGGTTTGATACACATCCAAATGGCTGGCTTTCATGAAGCCGCTCCTATATCAAGAACTCCCTCCGACGAGCTCTACTGGAGCGCTCGCAACGGGGCGGTTGGTGGTCGGCAATACTCCGAATCGGCCATACGTCTTCTGGTCAACGCTGATATAGTGCGGCAATATGGCGAGGAGGTTTAAACGAGATTCGATCCAGCGAAGCGCCCACTCTGGAGGCGCAAGCAGCTTCACGTAACCAAGGCCAGCTATGAATAAGCAACGTGTTAGTGATGAGAACAGCGGCGAATGTGCGAATTCCGTGACCATACCAACGTAGCCAACGGCAACGCCGCAGAGATGCCCCAGCAGGCTTGTGTTTGGTACCAGCGCGGCAACAACCACAATCATGAGAAGGGGCGTCGTCCAGGTGGGAAGGTGATATGTCCCAATCACCAGATACGGGTTCGATTTATACGTTCGGATCGCTTCCATGCCTAACAGCAAAAACACCCACATGCTGACCACCGTGCGTTAATATCAGGAATACATGAAGCTGTTCAGACACGTGGTAAGGGGGGTGGGGGATTCTACCTGGCACCCATAACGGCATGGTTGGCACGGAGAATGGCAATCTCAATGAAGAGATACAGAACGGCGGGAATCGTAGTCAATGCTGCTTCCGTTAGACCATCGGCATAACGACTGGGTCCGAAGATGCTGGATATCCTTACGCCCAAAGAAGAGTGCCAGCGTAGTCAGGGTTCCATATTCGCTTTCGAACCGTTCCATCAACGGCGCCAACGCAACGGCGTTGAGGACGGCATGGAAGAAGTTGAGATGCACGAGAGGGAAAGTGTTCAATCGGTAGCCTAGGTAGGGTCCAGTCAGAAGCAAGCTCCCTCCAAGTGTGTCAGGGCATGACGGCTTCACCTGTAGCAAAGGAGATCTTGTCGGGGATCAGAGAGCCCCAGAGCCGGACATCCCAGTAGCCGGGCAAGCTAAGCAGCCAGAACGCCGCGATGCTCAGCAGGATGGCGCGGGTGAAGAGAGGCAAGCGAAGGACGTATGACCGTGCCCGCAGGGTATTGAAGCCTTGGATACTCGGCATCGCTGCTCGTGCGCCAGTCAAACTCGGTCCCCCAAGTATCCGGCACTTGGTCGACGGCACAACTACTGCGCCTAGGGAGTTGGGTGATGGGTATGGAACAGACCAAGTCGATCTTGATGCAAGGCTGTCTGTCCGATCCAACAAGCGCTAGGCGATTAAGTAATATTGTAGATTTATGGAGACGGCTACTTCAACATCACTTGGAAGTCTTGACAGGAACTTTGATGTCGATACGTGGATCAATCAGTTCATGATCGGAACCACTCTCCATAGCTAGGCAAAGAACAATTGCTGTTCATCTTGTAAACCAAACCAAGGTTGATGCAAATGAACCACTTTCTTTGTTGGTCAAGTACCTAGGGGTCAATTCTCTGTTGTGGTGACTTCTCATGCTAGGTCCCTTTTCGGCCATGGTGGGCTACCTAGGTACATACCTATAGTACTCGTACAGAACAAGCAGTTCGCGTTGGTGCCTTAGAACTTGTCGCCCAGCGTAAGGCAGCCAATTTCACATCCGTGTGCCGACCATCAACCTTGCCGATAGACGCACCTCAAACTCCACGGTCTTCTACCCAGGACCACCATCTAGCCAACATGACGACGCGACAAGCCGCTCTGTCAGTACCACGACCAGAATCACTCCTCCCGCCCGCTTGACGTGCTCGCTTCTAACCGACAGCCTGCCCCCCGGTTTCTAGGTCGCTATACCGTCGCTCATTGAAGCTTGCGCTGGACTGGGCCGTCCACCGTCACCTATGGCGAGGCCAGGCGCTCTACATCCGATCCCTCTTTGAAGCCAACAGGAAGGTCACCGACCCTCGCCAGCAGAGAGTCAGTCAACAGCATCAGTTCCAAGAAACGAAGAGGGGGTTCCGAGACACTAATCCGCCCATTCCCAGGCTCTGTTAGCGGAGACGGAAAAGTTGCTCGAAAGCTGGAAGCACCCCGACCCATACGTTCCGCCATGCGCGCCCGGAGGTCAGACACCGCAAAGCGATTGCCTATATAGGACGTTTTCAATGGCTAATTGAAAGCAACAGGATCCAAATTTGAGCGGAATCTGCCATCTCCGATTTTAGACCGTAAGAGCCAATGCCCTCCCTTACGCCCTCGCTGCGCCTTTGTTTCGCCTGCTAATTGCCTTTGGTAGCCCCTCCTCACCACGCAAACCAAAACCATCATTGAAGGCTGCGCGTGCGACGAAAATTAGATTCCGAGTATATATCAATCAAAAAAATATCAATACATTTCTTCAAAACTTCAAGCGCATATCATTGGCTTCTGTAGAGCTGCAAGAATGTCAATTCCAGAAGTACATGTATTACGTGATGTACTAGAAGGGGAGTGCAAGCTGAGATGTGAAGCGTGCCTTGTCCGCCGAGAAGTGGCATACCATCCATGTAGTGAGCTGCAATGCAGCAAGTGATGCACTTTTCTCCCAATACTAGAGGGCTATTATATGATATTACTCGATAGTAGTAATATACGGGATCCAATGGCTGCAGTGATGTAATAAGCAAGCAGGAAGCCCCTCTTTATATGCCTTGCTCCAATATCAATTGCCGCCCGTTTTAGGCTCATACCTTAGGTACTCAACTCTAGCTTCTCAACTCTCTTCAGCTCAACTCATACCTACCTGCTTGTGTGCTTTCTCCCACTTCAAAAGCAAAATCATAATTTAGAGCCATGGCTGCTTGTATCTTCTGCCGCATCATCAAGGGTAAGAACAGCTAAGGGCAACTTCATCCAGCAACGCCAGCAACAACAGCACACACAGCTACCCCTCCCACTTCGGCATCGCTAACAGCTTCTACACACAGGCGAGATCCCGGCCCTGAAGCTCTTTGAGAGCGAAAAGACTCTCGCATTCCTCGACATCGGGCCTCTCAGCAAGGGCCATGCTGTAAAGATCCATCCCGCTCGCCCAGAGCCACACTCCTTCTGAACTGCCTCAACTAACGTTGCCCTCCTCGTCCAGCTCGTCATCCCCAAGTTTCACGGCGCAAAGCTCCACGATATCCCCGACGACCAGCTGTCCGAGATTCTGGTATTGCATCCACGCAACCATTCAACTCTGCTTGCCACGGAATTTTGCTAACCATGTTTGCGTCATCCAGCCTACCATCAAGAAGCTAGTCGCAGCTACTGGAGCCAGCGACTACAATGTCCTCCAGAACAACGGCACCATTGCCCACCAGCAGGTGCATCACGTAAGTTTCTTGCCACTTTCAAGGCACTGTAAATCACAAGCTGACGTTTACCTGCACAGGTTCATTTCCACATGGTGAGCCTCATCAAGCCTTTGATAATAAGGAAATCCCTGCCTTTTGATGTAGCTAATCTTCTCCGACTAGATCCCGAAGCCCAATGAGACCGAGGGCCTGGGCATCTCCTGGCCTTCCCAATCTGGAGACATGGAGCAGCTCAAACAGCTGTGTGAGGACATCAAGTCCAAGATGTAGATATCTCTGTGTTGAACCACAGATGTGCACCACAAGTAGTATATGAGAAATGAGAAAGAAGCATCAGATATGTCTATTTATCACCAAGTGAATGCGTAGAAACCTAAGTCTATCCAGAATTATATTGACGCACACGGCTCTTTCTCTAATCCAAGTCATCGATTGATGTGTTTTGATTCCCATTCTCGCCGGCAGCCGCTGGCTTCTTCGCCGGCTCATACCATTTCGGTCCGGCAATGCCCTGTAATATTCCCTGTCTGTCGTAGAGAGAGCGTGCGCGCAGATAGGGGTCGAGTCTCCAATAGTCCTCTTTGAGCTGTGTCGCCAGCTTGTTCCGCTTGGCCAAGACGTCTTTGCTTCCTTCGGGCTGGTTTATCCACTGCAGAGTCGCCTCCTCGTACTCTTTGACAAGCTTCTGCTTCTCCGTCAGCAGCTTCTCCCTGGTCTCGGTGTCCTTCATCAGGTCATTCTCGCCAGGGACGGGCTCGACATATTGGTATTCCCAGTCCTCGTCGCCTCCAAGCTCCTTGATAATGCGCGTAGGCTCGATGAACTCTTGCAGCTCGTTTTTGTTGTTTGTAAAGTGAACTTTAGCCGCCACGACCGGGTCCAGCCAGCCCCGAATGATCTTCCAAATTCCTGATGCCAGTGTCAGTTGCCGTGTCTTTTTTCACGTGTCGCTGTCAAACATCACTGCATTCACTTACCTTGGAATATCCATGGTGCGTTGTGGACAAGCACAGCTCCCAGGGATTCGGGGTAGTTGGCCTCAAAGCACTTGATCATGAATTTGACAGGGGTATAGTCCATGTTTGCCATGGAGAAGTTCGTCATGTCGAAGATGATTGTCTGCACGATACCATCAGCAAAGCATTCAACGGGTGTCCCACACGACATGTTGTTCCAGCAGAGAGTAACATACCGCCGTATCCACGGGTGGTCTCAGCATCATTCTCGCCGTCTCAATCAAGTAGACAGTATACCGCTCCAGACTCTCTTCACACTGCTCTCCCTGCCGATGGAGGCGGACTCTCACCACGCACAGCGGCCGGCCCTGCTTATCCTCACCATGCAGAAAGCTCTTGCCCATGCGGAGCTGCGCCATGAAGTCTTCCCCAACCTTCTTAGCGTCGCCTGTGCCCTCCTGCGCATTCACCAGAGCGCCGCCCTCACCATTCGCCATGATGTCGCTGTCCACCTTCATGTCAGTGTGTCGCCAGCTCATGGTAGACACCAGCATGACGAGGGCCTTGTCCACATCCCACTTGCGGGCGCGGAGGAAGCGCAGGGCGAGGGCATCTGGGTGGTCATGCTTCACCATGCTCCAGAACGTCTCGCGGATGGATTCGGGGCTTTGGCTGGCAAGAACCTCTTGGAAGTGCTTGTTCTGGCCGTACTTGTCGTCTTCCACGGTGTCGGTTGACGAACTGGACTTATCGTTGCCCTTCCTCTTAAAGACACCGAAGCGCCTCTTCTTCTGGCCGTCAGCCTCCGCCGCTTCCGCCTTTTCGCGAGCCGCAGCATCCGCACTGGCGGCGCCATTGTCGTCGAGAACGCCGCAGAGCTGGAAGAAGGCCTGCCACAACTGGCGCAGCTTCTCTTCCTGCTCTGGGGTGAGGTTGCCCACGCGCCCGGGTGCCATTTGCTCCGGCATGTCGTCAGAAAGCGATGCTGCGATTGCGACTTCTTCTGCGGTTGCAGTGTCTGCTGTAGGCTTCCGGAAGTCTACTGCCGCTGCGTAGGAGATGGCGACTACGGCAAAGAGAACTACGGCGCCGGCAGTGAATGTGAGACTGCTGTGAAGGTCGAGGTTGTTGCGGCCAGTCCGGGTTGGCTTGCGACAACGTGAATATGATGCGCTCTGCCGGGCTGCGAGGGTTGTCGCTGCGGAAGAATCGCAGGTGTAAGTGCTCGTGATGCCTTGCTTATTGCCTTGCTTATTGACCTCACGTGCTCGCAAATTGGAGGCACGAGAGTCGACCGGAGCGGACGAGGCGAAAGTCGATCGGCGCGGCGTGGGGAAGCGCAAAAGCCCGGGCAATCCAGTGACTACTAGTAGTAGTGCAGAAGGCCGCGGTGCCCTGGGGGTCGTCTTGGTCACTTGCAAGCACAGGCACAATGGTCTTGCTGGAGGCCTCATGTGCAATTCGGAGACTCGGGCGCAGTTTGTGCTGCGGTTGGAAGAGGTGAGGCGTGTGACGACGGAGAGTTTTTGGCAACCAACGCGGGCAGCCAAGTAATAGATTAAGAGTCGCGGGTGGTATTATGGAGGCACTACGTAATTTTTAATAAGATTGTGCCTTGTACCTTGACGCCAACACATGGCCGCGCCAGGAACAAAGTTACCTTGAAGGCTTGGGCAGGTTTTAGCATGTTTTTTGCGCCAAGGCGCCTCCTGGAAGTTCAGCTTCCTCTTGAGAGGCTGTGCTCTGCAGGATTCAATATCACGGATTGGGTATTACTATAGTGACAGACCCAACATGCATAACACAGGTATTGGAGGTTCCAGTAGAGCCTGAGTAATTGCTTTGCCTTTTTTTTTTTTGTTCTTCTTCTTCTTCCTCGTTTTGTATCCCCTTCTTCAAGAATCCGAATGTTGTTTTTGTAAGAATAAAGGAACCAATGTACGCAACATCCAGAGCACTTGTTCTCTCCTTGGTTTTAGTAGTAATAATATTGTATATACTCCCTCGTAGATGTACAGATGCGTCTTTCTTACAGCTCATCCAACACATGGATGTACTTCTTGTCCTCCCTCTTCTCCTTCTCTGTCGCAGGGGGCAGGTCGTAGTAGTTGGAGCTTCGGAATCCTTGCTATAGGATCAAATTAGCCGTCTGACCACCGCATCAAGTTTCAGGAAACACGGCACTTACCAGGTAGTGGTACGTAAAGTTAGCAATGTCGCCCGGCTCGACACCGAGGTCGGCGAATGTGCTTGCTTCAGGGTCAATGACCTGGTCGATGAACTCTCGCTCCACCTCGTCCGCAGACAGGGTGTGCCACCACAGGTACTTGTTGAGGAGCCCAGCCACTGGCTTCAAAATGGCCTTGGGCACGTTGATGTGTCGTCGCTTCTTGAAGATTTCCTTGTCCACCAAAGCCGCAACCTCTGCCAAGCTGTACTGCTTGGGTCCGTACAGCTCGAAAGTCTTGCCGGCCGTGGAGTCGTCATACAGCATCTTCTCCAGAGCAGCACCGACGTCAATGGACTACGAAGCTCGTCAGCATGAATGCAGAAACACCTTATAGCTCAAGGCTCGGGGGGTGCTTACGTGGACTGGCCAGAACTTTTGCTGCATGTTGTTGGCGGTAAAGAGGTTCAGAACGGAGGCGAGCTTCAGCAGAAGGTTGTCCTCAAATCCGAAGACAGGGGCTGGTCGCACGATGGTGGTCTCTGGGAAGATGCTTCTGGCAACGAGCTCTCCTCGTCCCTGAGATGGTGTAGGTCAGCTCCGTCTTTCCCTAGCTATACACGAGGAGCGTACCTTTGTCGCAAAGAACTCAGAGGTCGAGTTGGGGTTGGCGTTGTGAGACGAGACGTGGATATAACGATCAACGTCATACTTGGCAACAGCCTCGGCGATGCGCTCGGTTCCTTCGACGTGCACGTCCTCCAGCGTAAAGTTCCTGTCGCGGTTTAGCATGCCGTTGAGGTCGAGATATTGTTCGATGGTGGTTCGTACTTGGTAGGATAGTCTCGGCCAACCAGGTTGTACACAACGTCCGAGTGCCTGACGCTTGCTTCGATGGAAGCCGTGTTTCGAAGATCATATTCCTGCCAGCGCATCAGAATCGAGCCGTCCAAGGCGTCGGGGACAGACATACAATGAAAATAACGCGGCCGAGGTCTCCAGTGAGCTTCAAGTGTCGCTTTGTCATTTCTTCGCGGAAAGGGACAACAACGGTACATCCTTGACGGGCTATGACAGAGTAGTCAGCGACAGCACAAGCACGGAGTGAGCGCCAATTCTCTCATCCAGAAACATACCAAGGCGGTTTACGATATACCGGCCCAATTGACCCGTCGCGCCGAACACCGTCGCAGTGTGACCTACACCGGCCGTTAGCCTCCTATCCTCGATCGTGGAATGCGTCGACCGTACCTCCAAGAGATGATCTAAGACAGCATGTTAATTGACTTCCTCTCCCAGCATCAGTTGCGTGGCGTGGCTTACCGGCCGCCCTGGACTCGCAGAATGGTTTTGCCAGTGCGTGTGATGGCAACATCGGATAGGGATCGCTTGCCGCTGGCGCCGGCGGCGACGGAGCTGCGAAGAGCCCCTCGAGAGAGCGTAGAGAGCACCATGGTGGCCGAATTCACAGCAGGGAGCGACTGGTGAGGTCCTTGAGCTGGCCAATTCGGGATCGTTGGTGAGGCTGCCGATTTGTCCCTGCCCACCAAAGATCATACAAGCCGTGAGGTTCGAAATAAGTTGGAGGTGCGCCACATTGGGGCGGTGCGCTAGTCCTGCTTGAGTAGCAAAATTGATGCTAGTTAAAAATTCCGACAAATGGGCTTCACCGAATTAATAAATATGAAGCAAGCCGCGGTATCTTGATGCTTGTCATCTACCTACCTGTTACCAATATCTACTCAGCTCTACCTTGAGGATATTTATGATACGGCCCAAATACGTAGGAGTACTACAAGGGCATTTATGTCCAGTTCGCGTATTTGCATTGCAATGACAAACTTACCTTGAGACTTTTGAGGCTTGCAGGCAGAGTTTGGGTTGACGAGGCTTTATTAGGTAATCAGAGCTCAACGAGCTTGATGTCGCCCCTTATATAAGCAGAATGGCAGGCCATTAATACGCGGTTATACCTGGAATTCGTGCCCGGTAGTCACTCCCAAGCCTTCACTAGTCCATCTACCTACCAGGGTATCGCTTCAGCCAGGATCACGAATTCTAGGGAATCCGTCGTCACGAACTCTTGCCATCGGATCACTGCAGTTAATCAGCTTTCAGGCGGTATGGGGGGACGCAATCGTGCTTTTCAAAAGCAGCGTAACGGCTGGAACCAGTCGCCTCGTCGGGGCCAAAACTTTAGCAGCCCCAGCCCAAGGAACGACGTCACATTTCGCGGTACTGCTCCCAGCGATATCTTGTTGGGTCTTTTCTTCGAATATATATAACTGACTACCAAATACTCTCTATCATCAGGCTTCACGTTGGAGGAAGAAGCTCGTCAAACTTCATCACAACACGACTGGAGTAGTACTGTGCAGCTTCGAAAGAGGCCCGTCGTCTTCGTCAGCTCCGGCTCTCATGATCCACTGCAGTCGCTCTCGCCGCAGGACGACAAGGCGAAGGATGCATCGAGCACCGTTGAAATAGCCGAAGAAGCAGCACCTAGAAGAGAAACGCCCCGAGAAGCAGCGCCCGAAGAGGCGGCACCAGTTGCAGCAACGTCACAAGACGCAACTGAAGAGACAAAGCCCATTGATGTGACATCTATTGGAACACAACCTGTCGGACCAGCATCTGGAGAAGGGAAGCCTGTTGAGCCTACGTCTGAACAATCAACTCTCGCTGAATCAACATTCGAAGAGCCCAAACCTGTTGATTTAACGTCTGAAGAAGCCAACCCTGTGGATCTGACAGCTGAACGAGCATCATTTGTGGAAGCAGAGAATGGCGAGGAAGCGGATGAAGAAGCGACACTGGAGCAAACAACTCTTCGAGAAACAGCCCCAGAGAAAGATGAACATGAAGGACTAGCACCTGGAAGAACGGAATCTGAAGAACGAGTACCAACAGAAGCAACCCCCGAAGAAAGCATTGAGGGCCATCACGAAACAGATAATACCGGTTCCAGCGATGAGGTCATCGTTTTTAAGGGTCGAAACGCCAGGAAGGCCAAGACGCAGGGGCCCAACATCACACTCACGACCATAGAGACCGAGATAAGGGCGGTGGAAAAGCAAATCTCGGCTACTTCCGAAGCATCTCCCAAACGGCTACCCATCCGTCCTGCAAAGGGTGATGACGACGATTCTGACCATCTGTTGTGGCCAACAAGGAAACGGGGAAAGGCACGTGGGCGGCGGAGTCGGGGCAAGGATTCGGAAGAAGACGCTATGCTCGCTGACTATATCGCCAACATGCGCGAGAATGGCGAGATGTTTGAAGGTCTTGGGGATGACGATGAGGAGGAAGAAAGCAGCGAAGACGGCGAAGGAAATCCATCAGCTACTGCGGGCCCAAAGGCCGTGGATGATGATGATGAAGAAGAAGAAGATGATGATGATACTAGCGACGATGACGCTATCGACCCGGACGTGTACGATGGACTTCTTGACGCTTCTCCCCCTAGTGAGCTGGAGGACGACGATATCCTTGAGGAGCACAATGGGTTTGATGTGATGGACTGGGAAAGGCCCAGCGTGAGGCGCAGAAAGGGCAAGGGAGGCCGCCTGCCCTTCAGTACCGAAGGTCTTGATTCGGATACCGAGGAAGCTCTCCGAACTGCATACAATAATGATCGGCACAAGAAGGCCGAGCGCAAGAAGGAGAGGGAAGAGTTGCGGGCAATGGGACTGCTTGGCAAGAGGGGACAGGTGGACCTGCGAGCGAAGTATTCGACAGGCATCACCATGAGCCAGGTTATCGAAGAGGTCAAGGCCTTCCTCGCAGGATCCCAAGAAACGTACGTATACCCTGCCCCCCATCAAAATGACACTCTTGTCCATCCAAACTCACCGTTGTCCAGCTTGAGTCTGCCACCTATGGACCCACACACGAGAAAGGGCGTCCATGAGTTGTCGCACAAGCTCGGTATCAAGTCCAAGTCGATCGGAGGCGGCGATCAGCGTAGACCAGTGCTGTACAGGACGAAAAAGACGTCATACAACGAACGGGAATTCGAGCAGGTCATTGTGATGATCAAGAGAAGATTCGGCCGCCAACCATCGTTCAAGGCGGATAGCAGGAAAAACAGGCAAGGCCAAAAGGGACCGAAGGGACCAAAGGGCTCAAAGCCGCTAGGTCGATCCGGCGGCGGCGCTTTTAGCTATCACGAAGGCGAAGTCATTGGCGCGTCGGCGCCAGAGCTGGGGACTGAGAATCGAGGCCGAGCCATGATGGAGAAGATGGGCTGGAGCACCGGGACGCCTCTTGGCGCCAGCGACAATCAGGGTATCCTGCATCCTGTGAGCCAAACGATGAAAAAATCCCGGGCGGGCCTCGGACAGGAGTAATGAACAGAGCGAGCATGGACAAGGCGAAGTTTTAGAAGATTCTGTGATTGTTGATGCAGAGGAAAATAAAATAGCATAATGTGCAGAAACCATTGCTTCGAGATATCCTCGATAGCTATTGTACAACCGCGAACCCCATTGACCGTGAAGACATTGCCCCCATAAAGCAAACCATCCGTAACGCATTAAGAGATCCCAAAGGCGAAACACAGTCACCCATCGTCTCGAGTAAAGACACTAAAGTCACGCAAACAAAACCCAAGTTTTCAGATGTGAAATCAGAACCCAGTCGTCATGAACCCCTCTTATTTCGTGGATGAGGAGTACTTGGTGACGGCCTTGGTGCCCTCAGAGACGGCGTGCTTGGCCAGCTCACCCGGCAGGATCAGTCGGACGGATGTCTGGATCTCTCGGGAAGAGATTGTGGACTTCTTGTTGTAGGCGGCCAGCTTGGAAGCCTCGGTGGCAACGCGCTCGAAGATGTCTAAATTCACAGTCAGAATAAACCGGGCGGAAAACAAGAAATGCTAGACGCGATCAAAGCTTACCGTTGACGAAGGAGTTCAGGATGGACATGGCACGGTTGGAGATACCAGTGTCGGGGTGGACCTGCTTGAGGACTGCATATCAAAGTCAGAATCGAGTGCACAATAAAAGCCAAAGTATGGAATGGGTAAAAGAGGTTGAGGGAGGAAAAGGAAGATTGGAACTCCATGTTGCTTTTTTGACTCACCCTTGTAGATGTAGGAGCTGTAGGTCTCCTTGCGAGTCTTTGACCGCTTCTTCTTGTCGCCAGAGGCGGCAGTCTTCTTGCCGGCATCCTTCTTCTCGGGAGCCTTGCTGGCAGTTGAGGGAGCCTTGGCGGCGGGCTTCTTGTCGGCGGCTTTGGGAGGCATTTTGAAAATAACGTTGATTTCAAATAGATTTCAGAGACTGAAAAGGTTGAGTGTTGATGATGCAAGATGTCAGAAGGGCGGACTGGCAGCGGGTGATGATGGGAAAAGTGAATGGGTGCGGGAACGACGTTCTTGGGGACGAGCTGGGCTTTTGTAGCTGGCACGCGTTGGCGGCCGGTGGATTACTGATTTGGCCTGGAGCAGGAAGGGGTGGCGCGAGCGAGGCCAGGCGCGTGCACGCCCTCGCGGGTACGGGCCTTGCGCTGCGAAAATGTGCGGTAAGGCTAGGTACCGCTCGCTGGACCACTCAGAATTGAGCGCCACAGGCAAGAGGGGGGGGGGGGGAGGGCAAAAACATGAGAGGGAAAAAATGTGGTGGAATTCACTGCTGCCGCTAGCGCTGGTATTTGCAATGTACCCAGAAAATGCTACTGCTTGTGTTGCAGCTCTGCTCACGCTAGGCATTTCTCGGCAAGGCGCAACACTGCCTTTTTTTTTTTTTTTCTCACGCATTTCTTCTGGTGACTGGGGGCGGTGGTCCAGGTGAATTGACGGCCTGCACCGAATGATGTGATGCGATTGCCTTGCCCGCTCCATAGCTTCTAGTCGCGTCGAGCTCTTTTGTTGTTTTTTTCTCCCGCCTTTTTTTTTGTACCTCTGCTCGGTATTACTAGCCTTTTCCTCTCGCAGGCAGAGAGCCACGTGATTGGCTGACGCCAAGTCTCTCTTTGTTGCATCATTTTCTCCCCACGAGCCCGCCTTGCAGCTGAGGGCCAATGTACCTTTTTCTGCCGTGATCTCAGCGGCACATGTACCTCCCGCCTTGCGTCTGCGCGCTACTGATGTTTTGACGGAGCGCGCCTGGATACTAGCCTCATCTTGATGCTTCGGCCTGCTTACCCTGTAATGTGAATAGAACTGCTTTGTGCGCAATTGTAGCTTCAGTCTACTACGCATCATATGAAATTCTGTTTATTCGCTTCTCTGGTCTATTTGGATTATATGTATGCTCGTGATGTGATAGTGAGACGGCTTTGGTGAGGTAAATACTCTTAGGCCAAATGCTCACCAGTGGTGTTGTTGGATAACCTAAAGGCAACGAAGGGATTCCATAGTAACTGAACCCATCTCCTTACGTATAACCCACCATTTGGAGCAGACATTGCATGGACAAAGAGAAACCGGGCACAGACCAGTTGCCTGATCAAGATCAAAGTCACGATGAGAGTCCGCAAAATGATATCCATCTGTATAACGGGGCATATCTGCGCGTATACTGCAAGCACATGAAGCGGCCGGGTTCACGCAAGATCTCATGGCATCAAGATTGACCCAGTCTGGCCCAGATTGGACCCCATTTAGATCTCGTTATTGGTTCCGTCGTCTTCGAGACTGCAATCGTAATTTTCACTGTTGTCTACCATCTAAACGTGGAGTTGCCGCTGTCTTCTGTTTACAGTACAATACGCTACCATACCAGCACGCGTGTCACCAAGGAAGAGCTTTGCTGCCGCGTAGGAGGAGTCAACGAGTGCCAAAGGGCCCAGCCAGGAGTCCTGGTGCCATCATCAGATGGCAAATCACTCCCAGCCATCGGGGGACTCGTATCGTCTAACAAAGGAATTTGCGCAACACTCGTGCATGCGCCGTTGAAGCTCATCCCAGCCGTGTCAATACATGGTGCAGCCCTGAGACGGGGCGGAGATCACGACGAGAGCCTGCTGAGGGCCGCGATATCGAGCATGTACCGTCAAGGTACCCGGAGCGAGCATTAGCCGCATCATTCTCGGGACCCTTACCTTCTGGAGGTACTCCCTGCGTGTACCTTTTTTTGCGCACGCCCCCCCGCACCCTCAAATTGTCGCAATTGTTTTGCTGGAACACGTCCATTTCCCCAACAGGCCTAGCGCCGCAACAGCTGCGAGAGGGAGGGTGATTGCTGATCTCGCGCGGCGAGCACCAAAAAGTACTTAACTTTGGAGCCCCCCGCCAAATCCAAACCTCTGCATTTACACTGTTTCTCTCAACTCTCCACGCTGCACGATTACCATTCTGACATTTGCCGCATCTCGCGCATCTCGCATCAACACTTTACGTTACTTTTTCCACGTTAACCAAAAACCCCCAACTTCAAAATGACTGGCGGCGGCAAATCTGGCGGCAAGGCCTCTGGCTCCAAGAACGCTCAATCGTAAGTCGAAGCTTGAGACGCGGTCATACGCGTTCCAAATCCATCACAACACAACCAAAACAAAACGAAATCAATCCAAGGATGCAATTCTGACTCCATTCCAGCCGTTCCTCCAAGGCCGGTCTCGCGTTCCCCGTTGGTCGTGTCCACCGTCTTCTCCGCAAGGGCAACTACGCTCAGCGTGTTGGTGCCGGTGCTCCCGTCTACCTCGCCGCTGTCCTCGAGTACCTCGCTGCCGAAATCCTCGAGCTGGCTGGCAACGCCGCTCGTGACAACAAGAAGACCCGTATCATCCCCCGTCACCTTCAGCTCGCCATCCGAAACGATGAGGAGTTGAACAAGCTGCTGGGACACGTCACCATCGCCCAGGGTGGTGTTCTGCCAAACATCCACCAGAGTAAGACATCCGAAATCCCAAGCCGAATTCAAATGGTTACTAACACATCGCGTCTCAGACCTCCTGCCCAAGAAGACAACTGGCAAGGCCGGCAAGGGCTCCAGCCAAGAATTGTAATTTTACCGTTGGTCTTTCTGCGCTTTCTTTCGAGGTCGTTTTGGTTGTCATAAAGGGGTCAAGGGATAAGGTTTACGGTTGCTTTTGTACGTCTGGGTTGTACATTAATCCCCCACGGCTATGATCATGAATCAGTTAGGGTTTTTTTCAAATGCACTTCAGTAAAAACATTTTACCACCTACACCACGTCTCCCCAGTTGTTGAGTGACATGCCGATTCATTGCGCGTCGTCTACCAATGTCTTTGTTGCGCATACCCGCTCTGGTCTCAAGCCTTTCAATCTGTGGCTTTCATTAATATGGTTGCAAATCGGTCTCAGATTGCCTCTTCATTTTCTCACTGAAATGTGCGAAATAATTTGATCAAATCATGCGCTTTATATCTCTTCAGATCCAGATCCAAATGCCAACTTCGCTCTCTGCTTGTCTTTCTAGAAATGGCAGCTTGATTACGTCTTATAGAACGTCTCGCCCCCCCCCCGCAACGCCGTATTACACATCTTGGCTGCATTTGAGCCGTGTTTCCCAACAGCTAATGCCCGTTTGGGCCATGGCTAGAGCTTTAGTACCCGTTCAAGTTTAACGGGCGCCTCGTGCGGGTACCTGGCATGCTATGTATGTTCCTGGACGTGCGAAGTGCCTCACAAATCGTTCTACTTGCACCACCAAGTCAGTCGATGTCTGCCGCCTCTCAATCTGAAGCGGTGAATTGATGGCGGCCTCGTTCCTTGCCTTGGTCTTCCCTTGCTCATAGCACTTGGCCGGTGTTTCATTTTTTGTTCCCTTTTTTCTTCCGTGCTTTCATCTATCCGCACCATGGCGACGACCTCTTCTCCTCGTCAACCGGTCGACGGTGCTGGCGGAACCAAAGTCCTACCTCTCATGTCCCGTGATGAAATCGAAGACTTGATTGCCAAGGGACGACAAATTATCATCCACCGCGGCTATGTCTTGAAGCTGGATGGATGGCTGCAGTATCACCCTGGAGGTGACAAAGCCATCATGCACTTGGTGGGCAGAGATGCTACCGATTGGGTCGACGTGTACGTGGAACCGCTTCTCTAGGACGGCTCATGCACTCAACACATTGCTAATGACCTCCTTTGCCTGTTTCTAGTATCCATTCCGACGAGGCAAAAGAGAGAATGCCACGGTACCGGATTGGCCGGATCGAGGGTTCTTGGCTCAACTTCAGGCCACCTATTCAAGGCGGTGTGTTCCGGACTATGGAAGAGATCGAATCGGACCGCCGCAAAGGCATCAACGCCGTCTCAACCGGGGAGGACAATAGCTCCTCCAGCTCCCGCGCGCCCTCGCCCGTCTTCGATGTCGACACAAGCGAGTTGCGGGATCGAAAGAGTGCGTTGTCGGGATCTGGAGCAGCGAGGTCGGAGTCGGTCTCATCGGCATCGACGGCAGATAAGGTGCCGCTGGACGGCATGTCCTATCTGGACATTGTCACTCGCGAGTATATCCAGCTCGACCTGGAAAAGTATCCCGCTGTTGACGAGGCGACGCAAGCCCACATCATTGCCAAATACCGCGAGCTGCACCAGAAGATCATCGATGCTGGCCTCTACAAGACGAATTACGCGGCATACGGCTGGGAGTGCTTCCGCTACTTTTCGCTGTTTGCCTCGATGCTGATTACGCTTTCCTATGGCTACTACGTGATCAGCGCCTTGTGCCTTGGCTTCCTATGGCATCAGCTCGTCTTCTCTGCCCACGACGCCGGCCACATGGGCATCACGCACAACTACTACATTGACACATTTATTGGCATCTTCATCGCCGACTTTGTGGGTGGCCTCTCCCTCGGCTGGTGGAAGCACAACCACAACGTCCACCACATTGTGACGAATGCTCCCGAGCACGATCCCGACATTGAGCATATGCCCATATTCGCTGTTTCCCATCGCCTGCTGGGATCTTTGCGGTCTACTTTCTACGACCGAGTCATGGAGTACGACGCTGTTGCCAAGGTGCTCTTGCGTATCCAGCCGTGGACCTACTACCCTTTCCTGGCATTCGGCCGCTTCAACCTCTATGTCCTCTCATGGGACTACATCATCAACGGACGAGGACCGCGAAAGGGCCAGGCCGCGTCCCTCCGTTGGCTTGAGCTGGCAGGACAGATCTTTTTCTGGTGCTGGTTCGGCTACGGAATCCTGTACAAGTCGATACCCGACAACTGGTCGCGATTTGTCTATGTGATGGTGAGCCACATTGCATCATCTCCTCTGCACGTCCAGATTGTGCTGTCGCACTTTGCCATGAGCACCACGGATCTGGGGCCGCAGGAGTCGTTCCCGCAGATGATGCTGCGGACCACCATGGACGTGGACTGCCCTCGCTGGCTGGACTTTATCCACGGAGGCCTGCAGTTCCAGGCGGTCCACCACCTGTTCCCGCGTCTGCCGCGCCACAACTTCCGCGATGCGCAGAAGCTGGTCATTGAGTTTTGCAAGGAGGTCGGCATTCCCTATGCGTACTATGGCTTCTCAACGGCCAACGGGCAGGTCATTGGCAGGCTGGCCGAGGTTGCCCGACAAGCCGCCATCTTTTCAAAGTGCCAGGAAACAATTGCCAAGTCAAAGGATTTCTCCATTTAGATGCCATAGAATTGCCGTAGAAGCGGGATGCACTAGGATAGAGGCTCATTGCATGTAGAGAATGTATGGATGACTTGACATTGATATGCCAAGTTACACTGCTGGTGTTTATAGATTGCAGCAGCTTGCCAATTTCTCAAAATTTCCCGACAAGTAATTAATTACCTAAGCATCAAAGTTCAATTGAAGTCAAGGGCAATGAACATCTTCAGACTTTGCTTCCAGCAGATGATGTTATCTCCTGGGTTGTGCTTCCATAGGTAATGGCACCTAACCTGTAATCACAAGCATTCAGCTGTACCTATGCGACAATGTGCTATACCTTGTCCTAGCTTTCGTGCCAAGTAGTGTTGACGCACAAATACATCGTGCCTATACTTGCGCCTTAGCCGTTAGCATGTACTCTCTGTGGACAAACCGGTACCTGCTAGTAGATTCCGTGCATTTCGAACTCTCACAACGCCGCGAGTAATTTTTCTCTGAATCCCCCCCCCCCCCAATCAACTTTGATATCCAGCGAAACCACCCCTGACAATTTCAAAGCACTACCTCATATACAAATTCGACAAAAAATGTCCGATAGCGACGACGAGCCCATGTAAGCAAATACTACTCCTCCCAGCCCCCAAACCCCATCTCAACTCCAATTCAAGGTGAAAGGAAAAAAAAAAAAAGAGACGAAAATGTTAGGAGGTATGGAGAAAGACTGACATGAGCTCACCACACAAAAAAAACAACAACAGCACCCTCTCCTCCCACGCCCTCGAGGCCCTCCGCGCCTTCGAGGCTGAACGCGAAGAGCACCAGGCCAAGTTCCAGAAGCTCCAGGCCGAGGCGGAGAGCAACAACAGCCTGCTCTCCATCGACACCTTTGCCGAGGACTGGAACGAGTCTCAGTTCTGGGTATGCCACTCATGAACAAACGCCCCCGCCCCCCCATGTATTCTTTGCTTGAGATTTGATGATACTGACATGTGAGACTGGGGAAAAAAATAATAGTATTCAGATGAAACTGCAAATACCCTCGCCACGGAGCTGCTCAGAGATGCAACGAGTGACATGACCATCGGCGTCGTCTCTGCGCCGAGCGTCTTTGTCGCTCTCAAGAATATACTGGTGAGTAGCACAATTATTACTACACTTATACTGTCAATCACGATAGCCATCTCTTCCGTTCATTGGAGCCTGTCCGCATAGATACGCTAATGGTTCCCCTGTTCTCTCTGCAGCGGAGTAAAAGCGACCATGAGAAACCAAAGCTGGTCCTGTTGGAGCACGACAACCGCTTCGGCGTGTTCCCAGAGTTTTCGTTCTATGACTTTCAACAGCCAGTTAAATTGCCAGGTAAGACGAGGCCAATAGCTCTCTTGAGTTATTTGACAAATCCCACCGTCTCATGGACCCTGCAGTAACCTGACATGTGCACCAGGCCATCTGAAAGGGTCCATCGACAGAATCATCTGTGACCCCCCATTCCTGAGCGAAGATTGCCAGACCAAAGGTAAAGACCTCTCACACCTCAACATCTGATTCCTCTCCCCGAGGTCAGCAAGCTGATGACCGCCTCCTCTGCCGTAGCCGCCCTGACCGTTCGCTGGCTTCTCAAACCAACCGGTGCCGGGCCGCCACCTCGTCTCATTGTCTGTACCGGAGAGAGAATGGAGTCTCTCATCCTCAAGTTATACAAGGCTCTGGGTGTCCAGACGACTGCTTTCGAGCCCAAACACACAAGGGGCCTAAGCAACGAGTTTTACTGCTATGCCAACTTCGAGTGTCCCAGCTGGAAGTGGCGTTGAAAATAGAATGCCACCGGGTTATTGTTAAAAAAGTCTGTCATCTGACGAGATTTGTGGACGGGAAAGTTAGGACGAATACCGATTCTACGGTGCCGCATGGGGTCTAATGATGAGTTGCGGGATACTCCAATACGTGCCGACTCACCCTGACCTCGCGGAGATGGTTATAATGCCGTTATCTGATGGCTAGATGATGGTGCCTATTCAGGCAAGAGATCGGATGATATAGAACAACAAGTAGGCCTGAGCGCCGAGTACATCGGACACCCGGGCCAGCTCTACCTTGTGGTCGTTGAATTTGAACCACTGACAGTGTTAGCCACAGTAGCCTATAGCGGAATGAGATGAGAGCCATACCTGATCCCCAACACGGCAGTATGACACGTAGTGACCCGTTTCAATCTCGCCGACGTGAACGACGACGCTCAGGAGGTCATACGTGCAGGATCTCTCCAGTTCCAAGTTCTCTCGACTGTCGCGGTTGCGGGCCCGATTGGTGTAAGGGAGCATGTTGAGTTGGAGAGGAAACGAGACGGGATTGTCAATCTTGGATGCCGCCCGGTCGTGTTTTCCCTGCTTGAATTCAAATCTCTGCAGCTCTGTGTCAGTCACGGGGCCACCACGGCGTCTTTTTCCCAGATCATGGGGATGGGCAAAGCGTACCTTGAGTTGTATGGATAGTACGTTGGGCAAACGCTTGATGCTGGTGTGCCGCCGTGCTTGCTGTATCGACGCGCATTTGTGGCACCTGTACTCGCACTTATCCGACTTGACGTACTCCTCATCTAAGCAGTCGCCCAACGTGAGCGCAGGCAGCTTCTGCCCAGTCTTCTTGGCCCGTCTCTGCGCCAGGGTGTCGACGCCGAGACTGAGATCCAGGAATGACTGGACCGCATGGGTCGAGTTGTGGCAGTTCTGGCAGGTTGTGGTTGTCTGCATCTTGCCGTAAAACGTCTGGTGGATAATGCAGTTGCACGTATGCTCGCTGCCGCTTTGCGGCCTCTTGCCATCGCCATTTCGCTCGTGAAGCTCCTCTGCCAAAAACTGGAAAAACTCATGGGCATCCTGTTCCTTTGTTGTCACGAGATTCTCAAAGGCCTTCTTCTCAGAGATCCAGAAGCCAGACAGGATGTTGGCGGCTGTATAACCGTTAGTGCTTTCCAGTGCGTAGAAATCCTGAAACATGTCGTCCATGGCGCAGCTCAAGCAGTGCGAGATGCTACACTCGCTGCTCTGGTGCCCGTCGCTGAGGTAAAAGTTGCGCAGGAGGGGATTGTGGAGGAAGCTCTGGAGAACGACATTCTGGTAGCAAGTCGCCCCTGCGTTGTAGATGCCGCGAAGACCGCTCGCGCGGCACGAGGCGACGGTTGTGTTGGCTGAGATGATGCGAGGGTCCTCCTTGGATGACTCGGCAAAGAGCTCGTCATGCTTTCGTTTTCGGTTTGCTGTTAAGGAGAGGTTAGCGGCGAGCCGAGAGGAAGAAGGCCAACTAAGGGCCTTGATGCAAAAGGGAAGAGAGGAGAGAAAGGGGGCGCAAATGCGGAGGACCACCTCGTCAAAGAGGCTGAACGGGGGTGTTGCATACTTGAGAATGTGCCGGTCCCTATCTTCCGCACTCGAAGCTCCTCCAACGTAGGGTCCCAGACCAAGTCGTCGCATATCTGACAATAGAGGGCGCCCGTGCGGGAATCGACGTCTGCAATTGTGATTGTAAGCGCAACTGTCAAGTCAGGGCGGTATCTCGGCGGTAGCATCGGAGCTGCCACGTACAGAAGCGATGCAGTTTCTCCGTCCCATGTTTCAATCGGTCCTCCTCGCTCAGGGTAACCGGGCACTGCAGGCACAGATAATTCGAGGTAAGGGAAGTGACGGGGCGGCCTTCCTGGTTGGTCGACGTCTGAGAAAGGATCGGGGTCGTATCGAAGATGCCGCGGAGGATCATCTTGTAGTGCGCGATGGAGCTATTCATGACCTCTTGGCTCTGGCACAGGAGGATCTGGACATGCTCTGGGAGGCAGTCAGTCAGTAAGCAGTTTGGATGATTTATAATGATTGGGCTGGTTGCAGCTTCAGCACCCACCGCAGCCAAAGACTGGGCATCCCGGCGAAGGGGACTTGATTTTGGCATTCTTGGGGGATGCCGGCGTCGTCGGTCGTGTGGCCATGGCTGCTGTGGGATGGGAGTGGAAATGGAAGTGGAAATGGTTGGTGATGGTGACGATTCTGTCCGGCTTCGACGCGCCTCTCGGCCAAGGGCTTGGATTGCCGCCCCCCCGGGGAATAATCGTCGAGAAGTAGTAGCGACCGATGCAGTATGCACTGTGAAGAAAGGAATGTAGTAGGAGAGATGCGGTGAAGTTGAATTGGGAAGGGACCAAAGTATGAGGCTGAGGAGAAGATTCGCAGTGAAGGTGATGATCAAATAAATAATAATTGTTTGAGGATGCAGGTCGCCAAGTCGGCAGTAGGTCAGGTAGTTGGAACAATCGGATTGCTTGGAGCACGCGCATTAACTCGGCTGAAGGGTAAAGTACAGTTCACTTTCAGCCAGTGGGGGGACAGAAGACATGTGCCGATCTCGTCGATGCGCTAATACTCCGTATAGTACAACTACTACTATACTCAACATCGATTGCCTTTTCAGCAGGCTGACAGACAAGTTAGCAGTGTTTGTTATAGCGGCGCTATTGAACAGGTAAAAGTGATATTCTAGGATAATAACATATGTACCACTTCAGAATATCTCGCGTACAAGGTAGATTTGTTCTTTCCTATTCATTCGGATGCATCAATTGAGCCTTGCGGCGACGGCCATTGAGGCGCTACCTACCTAGCCACACATCCGAAAGCGCTAACAAATTCGGTAGCCGTTTTCTCACCATCCCGGATATCAGATAAGAGACTTTCTCACTCTTTACTCTCTTCACCTTCTTTACCTTATACTACCTACACTGCAGTTCGTCCTTTTACATCACATCCCGATTCTGAATACTACACTCTATCTCAAAGAATCCAAGGCCAACACCAACATCCGCAATGCCCCAAGACGCAAACCCCCCCAAACCCGCCTTCTCCTCCCTCTACCTCCAGAAACTCACCCAGGAACTCGCCGAAGATCTCGACAAGGTCCGCAACGCAGACGACTTCAAGGCCGACTCGGTGCCCTTCCTCGTCCACGCGCTGCAGCAGGGCGCCGCCCAGTTCTCCCCCGCCCAGCAGGACGCCGTGCTCAAGGCTGCAGAGGGCCGCCGGGGCTGAAAGTAAGAAGGGAGAAGGAGGGAAAAGAAAGAAAGAAACAAAAAAATTGTTGGTTCATCGTCACGGTAAGCTTGCTTCTTCTTCCCCCCCTCCTTACCACCATAGTCTCCTTCTTGCCGGCGGACAAAAATCTCATGCAAAGATTAGTGCCAGTGACATTTGCGCGTAAGACACGCCATAGAGGCTGAGGTCGCTCATCAACCCGCCCATGGCATAGAACTCTGTGTGCGCCCTTCCACAGAACTCTACAATGACATGACTATGGAGTACCGGCCTGGGCCATCGAGTCTTTCTCTGGCCTGTGTTGGAGCAGCTGCTCCCAGGTTTCACGTCTCAAAGACAAGCAGGCTATCCCGGAATCGCAAAAGCTGTTAACTAAAAGGGCTGAAGAAGCAGCATGGAAGGATTCCTCAATGGCAATGAAGGAAAAAAGTCGATTGTCACTATGCTTCGAGGTTCAGATTCAGTGCATCCTTCATCCATTATATTATGGTGGCCTTCATGAAAAGGCCTTCGTCTCCATCCTAAGACTACTCTCCTGAGCATACTCTCCAAACACTGCCTATAGCGATACTCATAGCACTACTTATAGCACTACTTATAGCACTAATCTCCATTGCAAAGGAAAAATGAACGTGTGGTATCATAATGGCCAAGGGTATCCTATCCACCTCCCGGTTTATCATGATGGGTATCTTTGTAAGAGAGAATTGCGTCAAAGGTCGTATAGAAAAAAAAAAAAAAAAAGGGAAAACCATAGGAAACGCCGCCTAGGTCAAAAGCCGGACCTAAAGCACGCATCGTCCCAAATGCTGAAGTCGTGTCAAGCCTCTTTCCACGGACAGGGACTTGAATATAATGTCTTGAGTGTTTCAAGCATAAGTGGAAGCCTGAGAGTTGCGCTCCTTGCGGGTCGCCCACCCCTTGAGAGCCAACACGAGCAGCTCCCAAGACATGAACAAGCCGGCAAAGCCCAGCGTGATGGTGTAGAGTGACATTGGCTCCAGGTTATAGTGGATCATGCCCTTAATGGTATCGGCAGCGCTATACATGAAGATGATGCCACCCGCGACGAGGCCGAACGATGCCAGGAGCTCGGTGGGCGGCCGCGAGGGGTAGACAGACTTGGGCGGCTTCAGGTACAAGGTGACGTATGTGAGCATTCTGGCCAGCGAAGCGCCGAGCAGCAGGTTGCCCCATTGCTTGTGTACCATGGTCCCGGTCATGGTCTCTTGCGAGTGGCCGCCCATCATCTTGCCCAGCAGGAGGATGACGAGTGCCGGGATGGGATTGATGGAAAACTCATACGTCTCCGGAGGCTCGAGGGTCGCGCTCTCGTCGGCGGAAGTGGGCTGGCTGCTGGTCACCAGCGTATTGAGCAGACTTCTCAACCAAGTAGATTCGACAAGCATGCCGATCTGTCGCAGTGTAAAGTCAGTAACACGGTATTGACGAAGATGAAAGTTTTTCAGTGATTGCGCGTCAGAACGTACCGAGCCGCCGCCGAGGAACAGGACGGTGATGGAAAAGTGCTCGAGGTCGCTGGGGGTCCAGACGCCATCCCTGCTGCCCAGGTGCTCGAGGAAGATGTTGGTAGAGCCGTAGATGAAGATGAGGGCGCTCTCGACAAACTCTGCCGACGGAGTCCATCGCTTGCCGGCCTTGCGCTGGGGGCGCAGGTTCCACGCCCAGCCGGCCTCGTGGAAGCTTCCGGACCAGCGGCCGAGGGTGAGGAGGCCCATCCAGAAGAAGATGCCGCCCTTGATCCAGTGAGCAAGTCCGCTGTAGATGGCAGTGCCCTCCTGATTGTATGTTGTCAGCAAAAAGGATTCCTTGTGTGCGGGCAGGTGATGGAATAGTTCCCGCCAATGGGGGAAGAGACAGGACAGGACAGCAGGCAGGCAGGCACTTACAAAGAGTCGACCCATGGTCGCAATGCCGGTAATGTAGGCAATGAATCCGAAGGGCAGGATGATGCGGTCCACCGTCTTGTAGCCGAAATCAATGTACTTCCAGACGCGCGAAGACACGACCTTGAGGGCCATGAGCGCCGTCCTGCTGCGCGGCGCGGGCGACGCCTGCATGGGCATGGGCATGGCGGGGCCGTCGAGCTCGTCGTCATCGTCGTGCAGCTCCTTGTCGGGGTGAGGCTCCTGGGCATCGCGGTCGGCCAGCGTCGAGAAGGAGTTGCTGCGCAGCGACTCCGTCGTCGGCTCGGAGCCCTGGCCGCTGTCGTTGGACAGGCGGTAGTGGCCGAAGTAGCTGGCGGCCCTACCGCTAGGGAGCGGGATGAAGGCGCGGCGCTCCTCGGCTAGCTGATCGGCGGCGGTGTTAGTGGGAGCGGCACCCGTCAGGGCCCCGCCGACGCGCCGGAGCAGGCTGACAACCACCTGCGCAGACACGACCCAGGTCACGATCCAGCCGATGGGGTGGTGCGCATTGTGAGGGTACAGGTCGGGCGTCTGCGCGTTGTACGCCGTGCCCACGATGAGGCCGAGCGCATTGACGGCGAGGAAGACGAACTGCGAGGCGAGGACGTAGCGCGACCTGGCCAGCGACAGGGCGACGGCTGTTGATTCCGGGCGGGCTTCTGGTTAGCCAAAACGCCTTCCAAGATCTTGCTGACGATTCATGGCGGCACTTTGTGCGACCAGTGTGCGACTTACCGATGGGGAGCAGAACCACCCAGGCCACCGTCATGAGCGCAATGTGCGCGTACAGCACGTGGGCATGCTCGGGATGCGCAAAGTAAGTGGGAGGGTATTCCGAGTCCTGCTGGTCCGGCGCCATGTCCGCCATGCCCTCCATGCCCTCCATGCCTTCGTCACCGTGCCGGCGGCTGTTGTCTGCGAGGACGGGCAGCACCAAGCTCAAGCCGAGCACAGCAATGCTGGCGAGCAGTCTGCCGGGCGCCGCTGACTTCATGGAGCTTGCTTGTGCAGCCAGCGGTCTCTGGGAAATCACAAGAGGTCGAAGGGAAACGTCGAAGGGCGTTCAATGGGCGTTGGGGCGTGCCGGGGAAAGCTCTGCTATAGAATATACAAGCTCCGGGAGTGCGCAGGTTCAACGGATCAAGGTCGATACATGCAGAGACGCCTTGGGAACCAGGAAAGAGGAGGACGAGGGAGAGAGATGGACGGGGAAGGAGAGGGAAGGCTTGCTCGACCAGGTCAAATACGCAAAGGCTACTGCAAACAACGAGAGAACCATCGGAATCTTCAAGAGTCATGGGCGGGTGGGTGGCTTGTCTTTTAAGGGAAGAGGCAAAGGCAGCAAAACGACGGCAGCTTGTCGAAGCCGCTCCATCCCGCCGGCGGGCCCTGAGCGGCACATTGAAGCCAGGGCTGCGATGGTCATCGTCATGCGAGAATTGGGAAGCCAGGCCAAGGGTACGAAGTACATTCAAAGCCGATAGCACGCTGGCTGGCTGGATGGGAAAGATGAAGCTTGAGCTCCGAGGGTTCCGAGCCTCGCGCCTCGTTAGTCGTGCCCAGAAGACGGTCTGTAGGCGTACCCGAAGCTTGCCAAGGGGAGGTACGTAGCAGGCAGAACACCAAAGAAGCACGAGTGGGAATAGTAGAAGCATAAGAAAAAAAAAAAACGAACACCTCATCTCCACCCTCGGACGAGCCAGGTGGGGGTGCTGCGTTTCCTCATGCAGCGACTTCGGGAGCGGATGGTAAGGTGAGGATGGAACGGTGCCGGGGCTCGCGTCTCGGAGAGAGAGCATGGCATCCATTCCACGCCCGGGATGGCTTCTCGTTAGTACGAAGTACCGGCAAAAGCACAAAAGCTCGAGCACGACTACCTAGGTAAGGTAGGTAAGGTAATGTAGTAGGTTTGCCGTAAGGTGCTAGCAAATCGAACCATGAACAGATCCGGAGCGTTGCAGAACGTGTTAGACGGCGCCTCCAAGCCTCGTCCTCCTCATCCTATCTCCATCGCCATCTTGCAGCCAAAAGTGGCGCAAGGCGAGGCGTTCCGTCACATGCGAAGCTGAAGGTGCCAAACAGAGCCGCGAGCAAGCGGAAATAGGCAATAGCAGCACCCAAGAGAGAGAGCTTCAGACGAGTGTGATGTACCGGGGCACGCCAAACGCAGTGCCATGACGCAACAACTCGCTCGTCTGGAGAACCCTTGCTTGCCTATTCAGAGGGGGGGAGGGGGGAGGAGACCCGGCAAGTGATGCTTCTTAGCGTTTCCGCAGGAATACGCTCCTGCGGCATCTCGGCTGTCAGTCAGTCTGACAAACCCGGCTGCTCCTATCGTAGAGATTGCTTGCTACTACTATGTACTACGAGTACTACCTAGTACCTACCTACAACAACTACTACAGTACTCGTACCCATATCTAGGTAAGGTAGGTAGGGCAAGGTGTTTAGATTGGCGGATACGGATACCTTTGCCTTACATGCCTTACCTTGCATGGGACTCACTCGGAGGCAAGGCGCATCTGTCAATGGGGAGGCTGCGACTTACACATCATTTACCGAGGACCTAAGACAAATGACAATCCTCAACCTCCTCCTCCGGGCATGAACGCAGGCAGACACACGCCTGCAGGCAGTGCATTGGATGCGACCTCGCCCCTCGTTACTTACACGTCGGCTTTGCTGATCGGGGGTTACGAGGCAAGGCAAGGTACATGTATAACTGTGGAAAAGCGTCGTCGTCGACGGCAGGGCGTTGCGCGTTATCGTGCGTTGCGGCTTGCGTATTGAAGCTGCTACCGTACCCAAGCGAAGGGCGAGCGAGTAAGGCAAGTTAAGGTAATAAGAGTTGATACCGGGATGGGCCTTCTTTCCAGCCACGCGGGCATGAATCAGGCAATCCATGAGGCCATTTGTACCTTTTGCTGTTGAAGACTGATCTGTATCTCGATCCCTCTCCTCCTCTCCCCCCACACCAAGTTGCTGCTCTCTGCCGGCGCCCGTGCGAATTTTTTTTTCTTCTCTTTCTCCCCATCCATTTCTTCCTTCCTTCTCATGCCCCGGTGATTCCGGAGGAGGGAATCGGACATCGGAGCGCGAAGCCATCGGCTGCTGTTGCGCGCTGCTTCCAGCGCTCCACCGACAAGCGCTGTGACGAAATGGCTGGGCCGGGATTCAGACAGCTGGAGCTCCCCACTTGAGGCCATCTTGGCGCACCTTTTGGCTGCTCGTGAGGGAGCGACCCATGCTTGCGACTGGGGTCATCTGATGGATTTGGTGTTGCTGTACTTTTTTTTTTTCTTTGCTTATTTTTTCCTTCTTCTTATGCTTCTTCTTTTTGTTTCCATTCCGAGGCTGACATGACGGTGCCTACAGTCATACCTAGGCGTTCATGATAAGAAACTGGTGATGTTATGATGTTACTCAGAAAGAGCAGAGCAAATAAGGTACAGAGGCGGCCTTTACACATGGATCTCACGTCTGTCCACATACCTTACCTCTCTCTCCCAGCACCAAACAACAACCTCATGCCGCCTCACTCCAATTTCGTTGACATCACCGTTTCCCGACAAGTCTGCTTCAAAGTCCTACAGTACGGACCGCACTACAAGTTTGTAATAATGTATGCGCTGCTACCCTTTCATTCCGTAGATGTAGCCGAATCACTCGTCCACTGCCGGGATGGTGGCGTGACCCCAATCAACGTGGAAAGCTGCCTCTGCATCGATTGGTCCGGTCGAAGAAGCAAGCCCAGCCTTCTCCCCACAGCCCTGCAGCCACGATTGGGCGTTTCCTCCCACCCACTCTCAAGGCTCTCTTCAACAAGCCCAGGGTGGTAGCTTATTATTGACCACTCAGGTAATTCGAAATTCTGCATCTCGGACACGGCCAGTGGCTGCTTCGTAACAAGAACAAGGAAGCAACACCAAGCAATCCAAAGGTAGTACCAGCAGTAATTCAGTCAGTTATGTATGGCAATCTTAAAAGGCTCCAGGGCTGCGTTAGGTAGGCTGCAGAACCTCTCGTCCGATATCCCGTGCGCTTGTGCCCGTGTAAGTACTTCCAAGTAAGGTAAGGTAATAGTAGCAACAACTTTCTGCAAGGCGCGGAGGATGCAGTCCGCGGATTATTGTCACCAAATGGCCCGGCAAATCCCACGAGGTCCCGCCTCGATCGCGATCACCTGCCGGATCCTGGTTGCTTCCTGTCATCGGGTCATCTGGTGGATTATTAATAATAATAATGTCCGTGTCTAGTTCCGAGACGGCTTTTGAGTCACCCGCCGGTGGTTTTCGACAGCTTGCCTACGGTTGATGAGTTGGAAGAAACTGTTATGTTTGTGGCGATGTGAGTTCAGGATGTGATCTTATTCGCTGCGGTCTTTTTCTTATTGAATCTGCCTATGTTCGACATGGTAGTTGTTTTGTCTACTCCGTAAGGTACAGTAGGTAGTAATAATAGTATATCAGTCCTACGGTGAAGGAATACCCAAGCCACACACACACACGCATACTTTACACGTTGGCATCCAAAGCGGGCTGGAGATTGCGTTGCTTAATCGCCGACCGCCTTAGTATTACATGGGAAGTGCCTGTAGATCCCAGCAGCGCCCAAACACACACCCATCTGCCTCCAAATCCTTCAAAAGGGCTGGGGAGGGTGCAAGGACTCGCGCTGTCCAATCGCATCTAGTTGCCCTCCTACCTGGGTTGGTTGTCATGTCCAGCTAACCTCATGGAGTTGCTGATAGTATGTACAAGTACGTGAAAACTGTTCGGCTTCGCTTACTTTTCGCATGGATCCTGGTCCTATCATTGCATTTTGGGATGAAAGACACCTTGATGAGCATGGGCTTCCACTCAAAGTCATCGACTTAGCAAACGAAGCTCACCCAGGGTCTTGTGTATGCAGTTGTCTGGTATGTGTCACCAACCTAGGTATCAGTGAACTCCGAATCACCTCCTCTGCGGAGTGAGAGTGACAGTGGTAATGACTGCCGCTGTATTAATATCGGTGACAAGTCACTTCGTCTTGCATGCCGCCTTTTTGAAAAAAGCACGCTTTGTTCACCACCTTGCAGCCATACGTTGTGTCTCAGGCTCTTTATTAACAGCTACTACTACTTCGTACATTCTAATCATCAAGCTTACAGCCATCTGCAGGTGAGGCTCATCGAAGCTCCTACAGCAGCATTTTCCTGGGGTCCTCAATGTACTCCTTGATCTTGACCAGGAACTGGACAGCTTCCCTTCCATCCAGCAGACGGTGGTCGTACGTCAGGGCCAGGTACATCATGGGCCGGACCTCAACCTTTCCGTTGACGACCACGGCGCGATCCTTGACGGCGTGGAGACCTAGGACGGCGCTCTGGGGCAAGTTGATGATGGGGGTGCCCATCAGGGAACCGAAGACGCCGCCGTTGCTGATGGTGAAGGTGCCGCCGGCCATATCCTCAATCGTGAGCTTGCCGTCACGAGCCTGGAAATGCGTTAGCAATGCCGCCATGACTGTCACGGTTATGCACACAGTGATTGAAACTACTACTGACCTTCTTGCCCATCTCGGCAATAGCCTTCTCAATGCTGATCATGTCCAGCGACTCAACATTGCGCACAACGGGGGTGACCAGACCCTTCTCCGTGGCGACGGCAACGCTGATGTCGACGTAATCGCGGTACACAATGGTGTCTCCGCCGTTGGGGCCCTCAATGGACGCATTGACGGCGGGGATGTCGCGCATCGCCAGCACCGCAGCGCGCGAGAAGGCGCTCATGAAGCCCAGCTTCACTCCAGTCTTCTTGAGAATCTCCTCCTTGTAGAGCTTTCGGAACTCCATGATGTTAGACATGTCCACCTCGTTGAACGTCGTCAGTGACGCAGCCGTGTTCTGGGACTGCTTGAGACGCTCGGCGATACGAAGTCGCATACGGTTCATTTTGACCTGAGTTTTGCAATCGAGTTAGACGGCCGAAAAAAAGAAAAAGTGCAAGACCATGAGGATCACGCCAAAGGGGCCGGAAACACCTACCCGACGCTCTTCGCGGTTACCAGGTGTCGGCGCAGGTCCCGATGCCGCAGCAGACTCGGGCTCGCTCTTCTTCTGGGGCTTCTCCGCGGGCTGCTCCTTGGGCTGAGGAGGAGCAGGCTTCTCGCTCTTGGTCGGCTCGGGCTGTGACTTTGACTGCTCTGGTTCCGCCGGTTTTGACTCGGATTGGACGGGGGGTTTAGACTCCTCCTTGGGCTTCTCCTGCTCTCCTGATGACGCGGGCTTCTCGCCGCCAGTCTCGACACGGACCAAGTCCTGGCCAACGGTCACGGTGTCCTCCTCCTTGACGAAAAACTCCTTGATGACTCCGGCTTCTGTTGCGTTGACGGCGACATCGATCTGTAGGCGCAGGAAAATGAGCAATAGCTCGAGACACCGCGGGTCAATGGGAAACGCACCTTGTCCGTCTCAATGGTGGCAATCTCCTCATCCTGCTCGACGTAGTCGCCAACGGATTTGGAGAACTGCTTGAGAGTTCCCTCGGATATGGACTCGGCCATGGGCGGGACCTGGATGATCTTGTCCGCATAGTACCGTACCAAGCTCGGGAGGCCCTGGCGGAAGACGGGGGACGGGCGCAAATGGCGCATCGGCGCCATGCGGGAGACGGCAACTATGCTTCGAGACAGCATGATGGGCGAGCGTGATGGTGCGCAAGAACGAGTGAGTGGTCGAGGGGATTCAAGGAGAGAGGTCGAGGTCGGTTATACTGCGTAATTAAAAAAATGTATCCTCGGCAGATGCATATCGGAAAAAGAAGGACTGTGCGCAACGAAGCGTCATAGTGTAGGCATAAAACGGCAATAGCCGACTAAGGGGGATTATACGCCTACTAAGTACCGTACCTTAGGTAGGTAGGTACAGGTAAGGGAATCACGAAGAAGCCGCCATGAGCCTTGGAAAAAACGCAGTACAAGATTGATTTGACACTGAAGGCCTCAAGCTATCCATTCTATTTGACTTCTAGCAGATACAAATACCAAATGCCTCGTTGATTTGATTTGTAAAATCTCTCTCTCAACTGGCTCGAGATTCAACAAGCCATGCGTCTCTTCTATATAAGTGAATTTTTTCGGACCAGCGGCCGACCCCTGGGCTAGTACGTCATTCAAGAATTTTTGACAGCCGGGTCCTTGTTGCGACGCTGGTACAGTACAACTTTTTGCTTTTTTTTTTTTTTGCTTTTTTTTTTGGCCATCATTTTCTTCGGTCAACTCCATCCAGCCTCTTCCCACGCCATGCCGATATAACACATAGTCTTTGATTCCGTTCCCAGTGGGTTGGAACTTTTCTCGATCGCCATGCCGTCTACAGATGTTGCCGAGCTCCAGAAAAAGCTCTTCAAGCGCATGGGCTTGAGCGTGCCTGAAGAGAAACCGCAGTCGCAAAGGCGCCCGTTCAAGCAGACCAAGGAAAGTTACAGCCAAGTCTCGCGTCGAAAAGCGCAGAGGGCGCAGAAGAGGGCGCAGAGCCACGCGAGACACCCTGCTCCTGTCAAGAAAAGTGCTGTTGGAGTCGCAACCCCTCGGCAAGAGAGGAAACCTGAACGACGACCGGCTGCCCCAGCGAAACCAGCATCCAGCGATGACGATGCGACGCCAGATGAACAAGATGACGACTTGTCCCAGGAGTCAGACGAGGACCTCGGCAGTGATCTCGGCAGTGACCTCGGCAGCGATGACGAACTGGAGGACGGAGGTGATTCCGACTTAGAGGACGAGAGCCTTTCTGAGAGTGACGAGGCGCAGACGTCAGGGAAAGGATCATCACGATACGAAGGCCTCCCCTCGACTGTCCGTGACAAGCTGGCCCAAGACGATAAAGAGATTGAAGAATACGAAAAGAAACTACGCATCAAGAAGGGTTCCTCCTCGCTGCCGAAAGCTTTCAGAGACGATGGGCTCGACGAGATTTTGGGGGATGTCGGATCGGACCATGAGGCGGCAGAAGACGATGATTCGCTCAAACGAAAACGGCAATTCGATGAGTGGTTGGCGTCAAAAAGAAGGAAAGCAATGCCCGAGGCTGCTTCGGCGCATGAGGGTGGTTCCGATGACTCTGATGGCTCAGGGGATGAAGATGACTTTGGATTTTCGGACGACGAAGATGATATCGACGACCACGATGGGGACGCGCCGCATGATGCCAAACCCAAAGTCAAGGAGAATCCGTACGTGGCACCTACGACAGGGGCAGTGGTCGGCAAATATGTCCCTCCTTCATTGCGGAAAGCCGCCAACTCAGAGTCGGAAGCGAGGATGCGGCTACAGAAACAGACCCAAGGTCTGATCAACCGTCTTACCGAAGCGAATATTCTTGGCATTGTAAAATCTGTCGAGGATCTCTACCAGAACAACGCCCGCGGTGATGTTACCGAAATCCTCACGAGCACGGTGCTGGCGCAGATGTACAAGTCTTCAAGCGTTCCAGATCAGTTTCTGGTCCTCACAGGCGGCTTTTCCGCTGCAGTCTACAAGGTGATTGGGTCCAGCTTTGGCTCACATCTCATACAGCAGATTGTGGTCAGCTTTGGGGAATCTTACAAGAATGCTACGCAAGAAGGGAGTAGTTTCGCGGAGATTCCCAAGGAGTCGTCGAATATTCTCGGATTTCTCACGCAGCTCTATCTGTTTGAGGTTGTCAGCTGCAAAATCATGTTTGACTACATGGAAAGATTCCTTGCCGACTTGAACGAGCTGAACGTCGAGCTTCTTCTGCGCATCTGCCGCATGGCCGGTCGTCTCCTACGAAGAGACGACCCCAATGCGCTCAAGCATGTGGCGTCGATTCTCAACAAAGCAGTCAACGAAGCTGGGTCTACCGAGCTATCTGTACGAACAAAGTTTATGGTTGAGACGATCAATGATCTTGGCAAGAGCAAGCCCAAGGCGCGAGGACTGGATTCCTCCATCGTGTCGGATCACGTTCTTCGCATTCGAAAGAAGCTCGGTGAGCTCAAGTCCCAGTCTCGCAGACTCGATGGCCTCGCACCAATGGGCCTGAACCTGCAGGATATCGAAAAGGCAGACACAAGGGGCAAATGGTGGCTGGTGGGAGCAAGTGTTCCAGCCAAAGAGACGTACCAAGAGGCGGAGGCCAAATTGACACCCGCCGCGAAGAATAGTCATCATGATGACCTGTCCGAGGACAATGAGGACATGGATATCGTGCTCCCAGACTTTCCCAAGAAGGCCCGCGGCCAGGGCTTTCACACCTCGGCACAAATAGCCATCTTCACAGCCATCATGTCCGCGTCGGACTATGACCATGGCTATCGCCAATACACCAATCTCAAGCTCAGAAAGGATGATCAGGGCGAGATTGCGCGCGTCCTTGTGCAATGCGTCGGGAGCGAGGCAAACTACAATGAATACTACGCACTCGTGGCAAAACAAGCCTGCGCAAACAACAGAATACGATTTGCTTTTCAAGACAGGCTATGGAAAATCTTCCGGAATCTCGGCGAGCTCATGTTTGGCGAAGAGCCAGAGGACGAGGAGAGTGCCGAAAGCGAGCAGATGAAGGATGAGCGCCGCCTTCGCCACGTGGCTCGCTTCTATGCAGACTTGATATCCGACGGAGCGATGAATGTCACCATCTTGAAGCCTCTCAACCTCCCCAGGCTGAATAAGTGGACTCTCTTGTTTGTCGAGCAGCTCATGATCAGTCTGCTACAGGCCTGCCGGGGGAGCGAGGCAAAGGAGAACGCCAGGGTCTCCAAGATCTTTGGCGCAGTGGCGGAAGTGCCAGCGCTTGTAGCAGGCATGGATTGGTTTCTTCGGAAGAAGATACGGAAAAGCAAGCTGCTGACGTCAAAGGAGATGAAGAAATTGGAGAGGGTAAGGACGAAGGCTGAAGCTACCGTCCAAGCTCAGGCGGCGAGGGAATGATTCTTGGATAGGGGGGGCCCCCTTCCTCCCCCCTTTTGTCCTGCATTCTCCTACCGAGCATCATAGATCAAATACAAGGCAAAGAGGAAAAAAAAAAGATAAACATCTACAACTAGGCGCTGTTTCCATCGTCCGAGTCTTGAAAGGAGATATATCAACTTTCGAGCGGTGTATTGGGATATACAAACTCAAAGGGACTCGAAGACCCGATTGCCGAGGATCTGAGGCGCAACGAAAACCACCAGGAACACAGTTGACAGTGTTATGAATTGGTCATCAGCTTTCGCCTCGTGAAGCCGACTTGTTCTCTTCCAGTAGTGGCAAGTCGCCCCCGACTAACAAAAGATATGTCATGCAGATAGCCTACATACAGTATAATCCAGCCTGTTGTTAAGCCGACTTTGATCGTCCTGAGATGGCTAGCATCTGCGTCGATATAGTACCTAGTAATCGAGCCCGAGATCTATCAGAGCAGTGAGCGTCCCGTATCTAAGCGAGGATAACCCAGGCCGAATTGCGCCGCTGGACCGGAGAGTACCTGAAACTACTTTACCGCAACCTGTCGAGGGGCAAAAGGAGCGAGCGGCCGACGTCGCAGGGCGCGCAAACCACCCCACCACAGCTCTGACACGCGAGGTAGCGCTGGAGTAGCTGCTGCGTACCCGCCAAGTTGCCGAGTTCTGCCACTGAAAGCGCTCTGAGGTTCCAGTTGGTTCAGGCTGTTGAGGTAATCACAAAACAGCGCCTGTGCGCCCAGCCGTCAAGGAGAAGGCCAGCGGAGCTTCCCTAAAACCGGCGGCCCCAATTGCTATAGTAGTGGTAGTCGGCCCCAAAAGGCTGGGCTGCTTGATACTTGACCCGTGCTGTACAAGTTCTTCTCGAACCTCTCCCCCCAAACCCGTGCCAAACTTCTGCCTCTCCCCTCCACCAATCCATCACATCGCAACCTGCACAACGGCTGCCCAGCATGCTTGTTAGCCGCCTGATACCCCGAAGTGCCGTCCGCACGCTGCCGACCAGGCAATTGACGTGAGCGCCCCCGGTTTTATGTCTTGGAGCAGGCCGATGGTCTGTGATAGTGGAAAATCTCTCGCAATGGCTTTGCTAACCCGCGTCTTTGTCCAGTCTGTCACGATGGAGTCGAGGATTCGCCTCTGCCTCTGGTTAGTCGCCCTGCCGAGAAGAAGAACGCAACGGAGAGGGGGATATTGTTGGTTGGTGTGCGCGAAAACCAAGTGCTGACTCATGGGATAGAGGAGAAGGACCTGATCATCATCGGAGGTGGTGTTGCCGGATATGTCGCGGCTATCAAGGCCGGCCAGGAGGGCATGAAGGTAAGGGCACAAGGCTGGCTCCTTTTGCGGATGCTTTGCTACCGGGAGCACCAAAGGCTGACTCTGTCATCTGCGCATAGGTGGCCTGTATTGAGAAGCGAGGCACCCTCGGTGGTACCTGTCTCAACGTTGGCTGCATTCCCTCAAAATCTCTGCTCAACAACTCCCACCTGTACCACCAGATCCTCCATGACTCAAAACACCGCGGTATCGAGGTCGGTGAGGTCAAGCTCAACCTCGAGAACTTCATGAAGGCAAAGGAGACCGCCGTCACCGGCCTGACCAAGGGCGTCGAGTTCCTGCTCAAGAAGAACGGTGCCGAGTATATCAAGGGTACCGGCTCCTTCATCAACGAGAACGAGATCAAGGTCCAGCTCAACGACGGCGGCGAGTCCGTCCTCCGCGGCAAGAACATCCTCATCGCCACCGGCTCCGAGGCCACCCCCTTCCCCGGCCTCCAGATCGATGAGAAGCGCGTCATCACCAGCACCGGTGCCATTGCGCTGCAGAAGGTCCCCGAGACCATGACTGTCATTGGCGGTGGTATCATTGGTCTTGAGATGGCTTCTGTTTGGTCGCGACTGGGAACCAAGGTCACCGTTGTTGAGTTCCTCGGCCAGATCGGAGGACCCGGCATGGACACTGAGATCTCCAAGGCTACCCAGCGAATCCTCAAGAAACAGGGTATCGAGTTCAAGCTCAACACCAAGGTCGTTAGCGGCGACACCACCAGCGAGCTTGTCAAGCTTGACATTGATGCTGCCAAGGGTGGCAAGCCCGAGAGCGTAAGTAGCGAGTTCCAACGATAGCCAGACAAGTTTCGTAGACTTTCCTTATGGCTGGGTGCTAATCCGCGTCAACAGATTGATTCCGAGGTTGTCCTGGTCGCCATCGGCCGCCGTCCCTACACTCAGGGCCTGGGCCTGGAGAACATTGGCCTCGAGCTGGACGAGCGCGGCCGCGTCATCATCGACTCCGAGTACCGAACCAAGATCCCTCACATCCGCTGCATTGGTGACGTGACCTTTGGCCCCATGCTTGCCCACAAGGCCGAGGAGGAGGCTGTTGCCGTCGTCGAGTACATTGCCAAGGGCCACGGCCACGTCAACTACGGCTGCATCCCGTCCGTCATGTACACACACCCCGAGGTCGCCTGGGTCGGCCAGTCCGAGCAGGACCTCAAGAGCCAGAACATCCCCTACAAGATCGGCACCTTCCCCTTCAGCGCCAACTCCCGAGCCAAGACCAACCTCGACACGGACGGCCTCGTCAAGATCCTTGCCGACCCCGAGACGGACCGCCTGCTGGGCGCCCACATTGTCGGCCCCGGCGCCGGCGAGATGATTGCCGAGGCTACCCTGGCCCTCGAGTACGGCGCCTCGAGCGAGGACATTGCGCGAACCTGCCACGCTCACCCCACGCTTTCCGAGGCCTTCAAGGAGGCTGCCATGGCCACCTACGCCAAGGCCATTCACTTCTAAAGCTGTGAGGCTGTAATTAGTATGGTACTGGCGTGATTCCCCAGTTCCGTGGCAGGAAGGGGGGGTCTGAGAGGCTGAGTCAAAACATTCGTTGGCCTAGCGTTGGAGATGGGATCTCCCAAAGCCAATAAATAGGTCAAGTGTAGCGAGGAAAAGTACAAAAAATATATAGATATGGGGGATGCACTGAAGCAGGTCTGCTGCATACCCAGGGCTGCCCCGAGGAGGAGGACAAAGGTCGGGGAACTGAGGAGGCTGGAATCTATCTTGTAGAATCAGGTCTTCTTCAAGGGTTGTATAACTATTACCACAAATAATAAAAGCAAAAAAGAAGCAAGCATTGTTTACCATGTCTTATCAAGCAGTAATGCCTTGTGTGTAGAGAAGAGAAACCATGTATACAAGGGACTCTCCACCATCTGTGTCAAAGTCCAGAACCTAATATTATGATGTCGTCGCAAAGGACAGGTCTTCCTAATACAACAACCACCCCTGAACTTGAGTTGGCTGTAAGTGTAACAATTCCTAGCAATCGCTAAACGCTCAGCTCACAAGAGCTGGCAACGCTGGTCGCTATCAAGGTAATCCTCTCATGTGTCAAGGCGACAGGAAGCAAGCAAAACTGATCTAATATATCTGTCTGGTCGTCCGCCCACAATGCCCCGTGTATTCCCTTACTAACAACCATCCAAAACTCCCTTGAAATTTCAACCTACGCCAAAAAAGAGCAAATGGTCCACAATCAAAAGACTCCTCCCCCACGACGGTGATGCGTCTGCCGAAACTGGTTGATGAGCCCGAGAACACCACCCTCTGGCTCATTGGAATTGGCCATGCTGTTTTCCTTGCTGAGGTTCCTGCCTGGCGATGTTTGCCACATGGATTCCCCGAGCATAGCTCCGGCCTCGGTGCTGTCACCTCCTGCCCCTGTAACACTTGCGTCTGTCTCAAAGGGCTCTTCAGGAATCTGAACGTCGGCACGATGGGCTCCCCTAGACGGACGCGGCTTATACGGTCCTCGACCGGCCACGCTTGTGATGGACGGTTGGTGACGGGCATCCAGCAGCATGGACGCCATGGGTGATGGCTGTGTGATGCTGTGCCCGCCTCTAGGTAATGGCCCCAAACCTGCTGTGCGGCTCCTGTTTCTACCTGTTTCTGCAATCCCTACTTGAGAGGTCTGCATGTCAGCTGCGAGAGTGGGCGAGTTCAGGTTCGGAAACGCAGGCGGAGGATGGAATGGCTGATGCGCTCCCGGCGGCAAGTGCCCCGGGATGCCCGTCTTCGGGTTGATAACGTAGTTGTCGAGGAATCCATAATAGGACGCTGCCATCTTGCCGTGTTTTGTCGAGTAATAATCCTCGCGGACGTCGTTTGTCGCCCCTCGTCGATCCACGCCTTGCCCTGGCCCCTTCTTGAAGTCGAATACGGCAAACGAGCAGACGTAGCCCAACCCATCCACATGCACCGTAAACTCTCGGAAAAAGTCCACGATCTGGTCACTGCACTTCGGCAGCGATAGCAGGAGCAGCAAGGGAGTGGTGATGATGCCCAAAACTTCTTCCAGGAAGATGACTACTTTCATCTTGTACAGCTCCGAAAACTCCTGCTTGACTTCAAAGCTGTGCAGCCTTCCCTGCCAGTGATCAGGCATGTAATGGGTATACTCGATGACGTTCCTCAGCGCATACTCGGGATTGAACACCGACGCCTCTTCAGACACCATTCCCCTGGTGATGGCCCAGATGCCTCCAAAGATTCCCAGATAGAACAAGGCAGTCCTATCTTGAGTGATTTCAAACGACAGGAACAGTTCAGAGTCCAGGAGAGTGCAGACTGCCAGGATGGCAGTGAGTGCGCCGGACATGAAGGAGATACTTCTCGCAATCTCTTCCGTCATGCGCTTGGGAAACTGGTCGATGTATCGGGTTGCAAACGGAAACGACATATGGAGTCGTTCGTAAAAGATGTGAGGCAGCTCGTTGAACTCGCGGAACTTCCACTCAGCAAGAGAAGTGTACTTGCGTGTTGCCGCGAGCTTTGGGTCCTTTTGATACTCCTGTAGGTGCGCGGCGTTTAGCATAAGTCACTCGAGCTCTTCGGCGATTGGGGTAGAACGTACATTGTAGTAAGTGAAAAAGTAGACAATGATCACGTATGCAAGCACAATGGGCGCAAACAAGAGGTTCAGCAACCCAGCAAAGTAGAATCGCTGCTTCAGTTTCTGGCTCAGGATGCCCCTCCGCTCGGCGCGCAGGAAGTCTTGCTGCACTTGGCCCAGTTCGTTAAATGCCATATCAAGGATACAGTAATGGAGATACCATTCCATGGTCTTTGAAAACAATTGACGACCGCGGAGGAAGGGAAATGGGAGCGACAGGTCGAGAATATCCTTGTTGATCATGGCGATGAGGTAGTTCTCCTTGCGCATCAGCCGGTTGGCAATGTCGTGAGCGTCGAGCCGCTCCTTGGATTGGCTGCCGATGAAGCGTCGTAGGTTCTGCGGTATATCGGTTGCCGTTCTGGGGTTCTGATCTCGCAGAGCCATGATCCTAGCTACGACATCCTGCCATGAAATCGTCTGCATATCCTGTTCCGGAATCTCAAGAAGAACGATGAAGAACTCGCGAATAAAGTGCAGGCGGCGGATCTCAAAGAAGTACTGCACAGACTTCCAGATGAAGAAGAACGAGTAGAGCCAGATGCCAAAGCTCCAGAGGCTCGACATCCTCTGGGTGCATCGGGGCACGATGACGTCTTTCAATGCGTGGCTATGCGGCACCTTGGAGTATTCGACACACTGGGTCAGAAAGGTCAACAGGATAGCCACGAACAAAGTTTCCCTGCCCCTTTACGTTAGCTATGACGACTTCTGACGGGGCTAAACAGAGACGAAAGAAACGTAAGCTGCACTTACAAGAGCCACAGGGCATTTGAACACATAATACACCACATCCCACCGCCTTCGTAGTAGTCGTAGACATCCCTCATGAAACTATCGAGGTTCGTAATGTTCACCCATCTCCACAGGGCAGCGTTCTTGCGATCAAAGGTCCTCCCCGTGTTGAGCAGAGATGTAAAGGGCGCCGACGTCGGTGGAGGATGCGGGTTGGGAGGCTCCATCCTCGCCTCCTCGGCATGTGGCCGCCAGTGACCCCGACCATGACCGTGGTTCGACGAGGGGTCGCCGCCATGATAATGCTGTGCTTCTGCATGGTCTGTCGCCGGGTTCGGGTTCGATGTGGCCTTGTTCGACTCCACGAGGAGCGATGCGGGCACGTCGTCGTCGCCTTCGTCATCGTGGTGCGGCCATCGTATGGGAGGCCCCCGATTGCCGCTCGAGCCTCCCCGAGCATCCTGGTGTAGGCTGTTTGATCCCGGGGACAGCATGCTGTCGGCGTTGTTGCGTCGTGCTGCGGCGGCAAGCGTCGGTGCAGGGATGGTGCCAAAGACCCGGCTGGCGTTGTCACCGCGAGCCCCGGCCTCGATGTCGTCGTCGTCGAAGGCTCGCAGCTGTTCGTAAAACGACCGACCGCCGTGCGTCGACGATGTGAGTTGCGAGAATATCTTGGGAGCCATCTCGAGGGTGGCTCAATCACAGAGCTGCGTCGTTGGGTTTCCAGCTCCAGGCTACCATGTTCATGTGGAATCGCCCGCGAGATGGAGAGGGAGAACGGGCCCGGGTCCGTCAATCTGCAGTGTGCTAGCGATGCACATATCAATGCCCTTTTGCGCAAGGGAAGCTGTAGAAGAGAGGGGAGATGCCGGCCAAGTGGTCGGAGAGGGCAGACAGTCAGCTGGTGGAGGAGCAAAGTTACTGCCTGATGGCCGTCAGGTGGCTGTTTGATGGATGGAGATGTCACGAGCTATGATCTAAGCGTGCCGGGAGTGACAACTTGAAGTACCCAAGATCTGAACAAAGGGAAGCTACAGGTACCCTTATCGTACTACTACCCAAATAGGCAAGAGTGGATCGCCTGAGCAACTGCCGTCCCAGCGTATCACCCAGCATCATAGGTATAGTAGATATCAGCAAATAAAGTACATACAGAAAGCTAAGTATGACGTTTGAACTGCCATCAACTCACTTGATAGAATATATTTCAGCTTGTGTATTTTACTATCAAGTGATTAATGAGAAATGAACTTTTCTCATGAAGAACAAATGGATGCATATTGATCCAGATAGATGAACAAGTTGGCTCACGTTATTTCCCCCCCGTGCCATGAGGTACATTCTGATGAAATCTATTTACTATCTTATTTTTTTTCTTCCCCTCTCTCAAGAATTGGAAAGTAATTATAGCCTGTTGCTTTATATAATCTCTATAATTACTGTACTATGCGAATATCCCTTACAGACTGTCGTTACGTTTGATAAAGTACGCTCTAGAAAAAGAAAGAAAACAAGTCAGCATGCTGGAATCATCTTGATATCGTGCCTGTGAATAACGCGCGCAACTCACTTTGAAAACTCATAGGCTGACCAGCAGATGGCGGTGCTGGGCATTGTTGTGACAACCCTGGGCCTGACTCCCTTGAAGAAGCCCCTGAAGCCCTCTCTTCTATACAGCAGCTTGCAGCCTTCCATGAAGCCGCTGACGTTTCGGACCTGGGGGTCGGAGGACGTGCCTCTCGTTTGTAGGATGGTCTTGATGACGTCCATGGGCGTGGTCAGACCAGCGGCGAAGCCACCGGCAACGGCTCCGGCGAGACAGTGCGTGACGGGATCGTATGCCTTCTGCGGGTTCATGGCGGTGGAGATGGATTCGTAGGCGAGGAACTGGAGGGCCGTGAAGGGAACGGTCATGGACAGCGTGGTCGGGTAGGAGATGTAGAAGGCGCCGATGCCCTCGTTTCGGTAGACGTACTTGGCGCAGTCGACCATGGAGCGATACATCTTGCGAGACTCTTGCATCTGCATGCGCTGCTTGATGACTGGAGAGAGATTAAGGAATTAGCCTTGAGCTCGGTCGTTGGTCTCGTTGGGCGCAAACACAATCACATACCGTCGAATGGATTCATGAAAGCATCGCTGGCAATTGTAGCTGCAGCACCGCTTGTGGCTGTAGAGCGTTGGGTCAGTCTGGGAGCGAGTATATCGAGGGTCGAGTCTTTAAAGGGTGAGGCTCACCAGCAGCAAGAGGGTGGTGGACGCCCACCTGATTGCCGCCCATGGCATGTTTGACGGCTTCGTAGGTCGCAAAGTAGACGGCGTGGGCAGGACCTGCGACACAATCATGTCAGTCACCAGGAGAAGAAGGGATGGAGGCCGAACGAGCGCTATAGCCAGCCGACAGCCCGAGGGAAACGCACCGGCTCCCACAATGACGCTGGACATGCCGCGCCATAAACTAAAGACACCCTCGGTCCGCGCGACCTGGAATATATTTCGGACAACGCTGTTGTGTGTTATCGTGCCGTGCGGCTGCAGGACTTGCATTCGCGTCTATCATCGGAGAGCTCAGCGTCAGCAACAACGAGACCGTGAATGGAGCGGGAGCTTGGCCTTCATTACCTTGATCGCATCGATTGGATACATGACGGTGTGTTCCTTTGGCCCTTGGTCAGCAGGCGTCCGAGCAGGCGAGACTCAGACAGTGGCCGCGTCCCAGTTTCGTCCATTACTCACAGCAATGCCAGCAAAGGCACCTGCAGCCATGTTCTGCAGCAGAGAGAAGTTTGGCGGAAGGGATTCATAGCTGCAACAAACACCACAACGGTCAGCCCCAATTGCAACAAAACACCGAGAAGCAATTTTCTCCCTCAAACTCCTCCTCTCGCTCATGTCTCCGCCTGTTTCTCTTTGCATGTCGTCCGTCGCGCAATTGTGCGCAACAGAGAAGAAAGCAAAGCCCAAAAGCTGTTACCAAAAGGGAGGGGCGTTTGGCTCACTCGTAATCCTCCTCCTCCACCGGCTTGCCACTCGGCGGCTGGGCCATCACGGCCACAGCGTCAGGAGCTGCGCCAAAGGTCTTGGAATTGATGGCAGCCAGGTTGGCAGATTGCAGCGTGCTGAGGGCAGCACGGCCGGCGGTTTGAGTTGTGTAGTAGTGTCGAGGGGAGCCCTGGGTTTCGAAGGGCGAGGGGGAGGAGGCGCGCGCGGAAGAAAGCTGCTGCTGCGGGCGGGCGGTCGGTCGGCGGACGGAGCGCAAAATCGACTTTGCGGTTTTGGCGGGCAGCCGCGGCTAGATGGAGAGATAGACGAACAGAGACGATGGAGAACTGACGATATCGGGCTGGAGCTTCTCGCGCGGAGACTTTTGGTCGCAATCAAAAAAATCTCACAGTGACAAGGTCGGATCAATGGCAGGGAATGACGGCAGCCGTGCTCGAGCAAGGCGACAATTGAGGCCGCTGGAAGATTGGGCGACGAGACGGGCAGAAGACGGGACAAAAGTTGCTTGCTTGGGATTATTATGATCGCGACCAGATTTGCCAGAGAGCCACAAGGTCCTGAGCCGGCCAGCTTGCAGAGCGGATCCGCCAGCATCCGGGGCTATAAAAATCAAAATTTCCCACCCTCTTCTCCGTTGACGGCCTCGGAGTCCGGGAGGCAATTGCGAGGTGTGCGAGCGCCCCACCTTTGGCGACCTCGCTCAGCTGCGGAGTAAAGCCGGGATATTGAAGTACCTACATATAAGGTATACCTACCTAGTAGGTGATGATGAGTCTGAGGCACCACAAATGCCGAGTATATCAGCAACTACTACTAGATATTACGAATCATCACTGTATTACTATCGCCTGAATCATGTGATTATGTGAGAGAGGACGTCAGTTTCTTCAGGAAAGACTGGAGCTCTGCTCCTGCAGAGTATGAGTTCATATATTGATGCTTCTGCCACGCTACGCACTGGTAATGGTGATTCATGATGATGATGATGATCGAGTATAGAAGAGAAAGTGAGAAAAAGGACAACCCAAAAGAACAAGCAGACAACAAACAACAAAACGCCACTGCCCAATAGCCACTCGCTAACCTCAGACTTAGAATCCAAACGGCGCACCGTTGAACTGAAACTTGAACTGCTGGCCACCGCCCCCGGGCTGCTGGAACGCCCAGTGCTGGCCTCCTCCTCCAAACGGCGAGCCCTGGAACGGGTGCCCTCGCTGCTCGTTCGAGTTGGGGTCGTCGCCTCTGTCAAACCGCGCCCGCAGCTCCGGGTCGCTCAGCACCTCGTACGCCTCGTTGATGGCCGCCATCTTCTTCTCCGCCTCCTCCTTGGTGACGCCCTGCTTGATTGCCTTGTCCGGGTGGTACTGCTTGGACGCCTTGCGGTACGCCGACTTGATCTGTCTCTCATCAGCATCGTGGGCAACGCCGAGAACCTTGTAGTAGTCCTTTGTCTTGCTCCGCTTCAGCTCAATCTGTGCCTTGTTGAGAAGCGGGTTGATCTTGTCTCTCCTGTCCGGATGCGCGTTGGCCGCGCTCTCCAGCGTCTGTATGGCCGCCTCAAACTCCTCCTTCTTGAGCAGCGCCTTGGCGCGGTGCAAGAGACCCCAAAACGACTCCTCATTCAGCTTGAGCGCCTCCTCGCAATACTTATCGGCATGCTTGCTTGTTGACTGTCGCACGATGATGTTAGCTCAGGTGCTTCCCAATGGCGCCGTGTCACATCCGTTTCCCACTTACCTCAACATAGGCCTGGCAAACCATGTCGACCAGCCGTTCGTACAGTATGACTCTTCCTTTCTTGGGTATTCTTCCCTCCTGGCGCAACTCGTCGACCTGTTGCTGGACGGTCTGGAGAAGGCCAGGGCCTTCCTCAGTCCCTACCAGGGCCCTGCTCGCTGTTGTGTACTGCCCCTTGTTCAGCGAGTTGGTCGCCTTGGTGTATGCCTTCGAGACGGCCTTTTCCTGCTTGTGCAGCTTCTTGCAGACCTTTGAGTCCGGGTCGGAATGGAGACACTTGCGAATCTGGCCGACGCCAGCGTCGAAGTCGGCGAGGTTGTAGAACGAGACGGCCGAGATGACGACGTGGGGAGTGGTGTCTCCGGGTCGCATCTGCAACACGTGGCGGAGGTCGCCCATGCCTTCTTCCAGCTCGCCTCGCTCAAAGCGGCAGTGGGATCGTGTCTCTCGCAACGGGGCATACCGCGAGGCGACGATGATGGCCTCCCCCGCATAGTTGACGCAGTCCTCCCACTGGCCAGCCTTTTCGGCGGCAAAGGCCAGCTTCATCGCCGCCTCGGCCGCATTGAGGCTCTGGACGTCGGGCGAGTCTGACCCTTCGCCCGCCGCCGCGAACTCGGCTCTTGCGTCGTCCCATTCGGCGGCCTTGGCCTTGATCTTGGCGAGCTGCAGGTGGGCGCCCGGGAAGCCGGGCCGTAGCGAGAGCACCCGTTCAAAGTCCTCGGTCGCCAGGTTCGCGCGGCCGAGTGACAGGTACGTCGTCGCTCGCTTGAAGAAGGACAGGTAGTTGGTCGGGTCGCGAGCAATGGCCGCATCGAAGTAGGCCAGCGCCTCGTTGGTCTCGCCCTTTGTGAGATGGTCCTGGGCCGTGGTCAGGAGGGCCGAGACGGGGACATCCGAGGGGATGTCTTGCGACAAGACGGCGCCCGCTGATATCAGTGCTGCCGTCACCAAGAGGTTCGGGAAGCTGAGGCGCATCTTGGCGACAGACGGACGCTTCGCGCGAACGAGGTCGGTAGTCGGTAAAGTTCTAAGACCAGAGACGAGCCAGAGGGAAGAAATAAGTACAATAGCACAAGCTCTTGTCGTCGTCGTCGTCGTCGCACGCTAAGCACGAAGAAGCCGATGAGGGCGATTCGGATATTGAAGAGCAGTCGCAAAGAGTGAGACGTGTCAAGAGAGACGCATCTGCTGTTATATTCTGGCTTCAACCGGGCGTGGCATGTGGGGAGCCAACGGTCGTAAACGGAAGTTCCAGCAAGTCCCCCGGCAAATGGAAATGGAATCCCAGAGAAAAAAAAGAGGGTACGCTGTCCTTCTGCCATGGGCTGACAGGGGCCATGCCTGCATTAGCACCAGGTACGAGGCACTGCACATGTGCTAGATAAGAGGTACTATTGGAATGGCCAGCGCCTGATTTCGCACCGCCAGATATTACTTACAAGGCTGAATTAACCGAATTTGAGTTTGTATGAGATCCCGTACAAGTACTACCTAGGTAGTAGGTATACTGCTATTACCGGCGCTATCTACTCCCGTACCTAAGGTAGTAGGTACCTTAATTGACAGGAGCTGGTGTACCTACTTGAGGTCCTGGCTAACACCGCACCAGGTACAAGTGATGCGATCTCTTGAACAATACAACAGCGTTAAACGACTGGCAAAGAAGGGATTGCAGACAGTTGAAAGTTGAAGCAATGCAATCGATTGTAACGCCAATATTGATTGAATCACAATTTATAGCTAGATCTCTAGGCGATTCAATGGTCTCTTTCTCTTCAACATGACGCAAGAGTTGAGGCCACCGTCAATCGAAGCCGTCGGGTATTCACCAAGTGCCATACATACACCCACTAGTAACCCCAAACCCACCGCCGTTATCGTTATCGGCTCAATGCTAGCACTTTGATACTCCATAACATCTTCCCGCCAACTCCATATTAGCGACATCCCACTTTCAACGGCATCTCGTCCCAGCAGCAAAACGCCGCCCGCCAGGATGGCCTCACAACATCTCAGCCAGGACGAGGTAAGTTACTCTCTCTTCTCTCCAGCCCCAATTGAAACCCTCGGCTATCCCTTCAAACCACCAAACCTCATCATTAGCCCGCGCACGCCTTATGATGCCCAACAGTGCTAACCCTCATGCGCAACCCATCCAGTTCTTCGACAAACTCGGCCACCTCTTCAACCACCGAAAAGGCAGCGACCATGGCGCCATATACCTGATCCAGAAACGCCGTAAGACAAGAACAAAATTCCTTCCCAAAGCCTTCCCACGACTCAGCTGGGGAAAGAAAAGCTGACTGAATATGCGCACGCACGCAGTCACATACGACCCCGCCGAGCAACAATCAACAACAGCAAAGCTCTTCCCCGACCTCGCCCCCAACAAGCCCCTCCCCGTCCTCGTCCGCGCCACAAACGGCAAGTCCAAGCGCGACGACGCCGCCCGCGCCGGCAAGGAGAAGCTCTCCGTCGTCGTCCAGCCCCACGAGCTCGACGCCTTCTACGCCCGCTACGCCGACGTCTGCAAGGCTGGCATGGCCGCCCTCAAGCCCAGGGACAAGAGCAAGAAGAGGGCCAAGGCGAAGAAGAAGAAGGCCGCGTCATAAGGGAGGCAGACTGTGAAGTGAAGGTATCCGAGACCGAGTCAACGACTGAATGGGAGGGCGGAGAGGGGAGAGAGGGGAGAAGGGGGAGAGAGAGAGAAAGAGAGAGGGGGGGGGGGGGGGGGGGGGCGGGGTTGGAGCCGAGGAAGAGTAACAGAGCAACCGGCAATGGCAGGAGAAGGGCACAAACGGCGTGGCAATGGCTCAACTCTTGCTGCAGCGGCTGAAATCTTTGCTGCTGCCCGAAGAGGCATCCTTCCGGTTGACGACAGCCACAACTTCAAACGACAAAAGACCTTTTTTTCGTTGGCATCTAGCGAATTTTTTTTTACAATCTTACGCTCAACACAACACGATGCTCAATTCTCATTCTGCAGCGCTCTGATGACCTGCTGCCTTTTTCAAACACTGGTACGGCGAGAGGTCAAATACAAAGCTTTGGAGAAAGAGCCTGATTTAACACATCTTGCGTTTGTCCTGATCGGAGTATTCAACGGGCTTTGTCCCGTGATCACCTCCTAGCTAAAAGCTTGATATGACCTGTAGTCTGTCCCCAAGTTATCATTACATATGTGCAGAAATTGTGTAAACCATGACTTTTGTAGCACCACCACCCAATCATGATACCGCTGTTCCCCCAAACCATTCACCCCCAGGCCTGAGGCTGCAGCTAGGGTTCCCCTCTCATGTAGGGCATCCTTGGCCGCCCGTCCGATCCATAAATCACGTCACGCTTAAAACACGCATCTTCACCACGCTCTTGTTCCTTACGCACCATTTCGAAAGAGAAAGACAATAGAAACTCGATAACAACATTCGTCCTCCTCGCTGCCCTTGTCTTGTCGGGAAACTCGCAATTCTTTTCCCCCGTCATCCTCCACAATAGCATCCAGTTCCTCCAGACAAAGTTCATGCTGCGAGCCGTTGATATGTCGACGACGGAATGGCCCCACAGCTTGAGTGCAAGGTCCTCCCATGGTTTTATGTCGATGCAGCAATTCCGCAAATCAATTTTTTTCAGTAACCCTAGACGAATTGTGCGAATGAAATCAATGAGACGAGAAAAGACGAACGATAGAGAGTAAAATCCCTGAGAAGGGGACAAGCGTCAAAGAAACAGAGAAGATGTAAAAAAAGGAGAAAAAAAATGTAAAAAAGGGTTGGACAACAAGCCTTGGGATGGGCTGACCGTAACCAGGAGCATGTCACTACATGATCTGGTCCTGCGTCAATCCAGCATGAGCGTCAGTCTCCATGCTGTCGCCGCCGGGCTGGTTCAGGTACTTGACGAAACTCAAGTTCAGTGGTCGACCACCATACTGGTAGCCCTGAAACTTGGCGATTGCCGTCTCAGCGGTTTCCGGCGAGTCAAAGCGGACGACGCCGGTACCCCGAGACCTGCCACTGGGCTCGTACTGGATCTCGGCCTGTTCGACCTTGCCAATCGTCGTAAAGAGCTCAACCAGGTCATCGTTGCTGGTTGACCAGGGCAGCTATGAGACGGAATTAGTAATGGTCCAATGAACGGGGGATTGCTGAGCAGACAAACTTACGTTTCGAACATAGATGATCTCGCTTCTTTCCGTTCCTGCGGTTGCATTGTCGGTAAAGGGGTTGGGCAAAACTGCTGGTGCGGTGGAAGCATCAAAGCCTCCACCGCCACCCCCGGCACCTGCACCAGGTCCGACGCCGCCGCCAAAGCCCCCACGTCCGCCGAAGCCGCCGAAGCCTCCACGACCACCGCCGAAGCCGCCTCGGCCGAAACCACCACCGCCGAAACCACCACGCATTCCGCCGCCATAACCTCCACGGCCGCCGAAGCCCATGCCGCCGCCGCCACCAGCGAACCGGTCCTCGCGAACTTCGAGCAGGCGGCCTTGCCAGTCATAGCCGTTGAATTGCTGGATGGCGCTTCGTGCATCGTCCGGGCTCTCAAAGACAACAATTCCAGAGCCTTTAGGACGACCATCAGGGCCAGTGTGCACATCGGCACGCAGCACTCCGCCAATTCGTGCTGCAGACGAGCGTTAGTGCAATCGAACAACAGGACGACGAGGCGACTTGGAAAAAACGCCGGCTCACTTACCGGCCTGTCGGAAAAGATCTTTCAGGTCCTGCCAGCCGACATTGTAGGGAAGCTAGAGGGAGTCAGTTGGGCATCCTCGGAACAAAACATGGGAGTGAGTGAACAAACGTTAGCAACGTAGATCTGGCGGCCAGCGCCGCCTCCGCCTCCGCCACCTGGCGGGCCGCCAGCATATCCAGGATTGAATCCGCCGTGCATACCGCCGCCTCCGTATCCGCCACGAGCATTGGTTCCCGTGGCGCCGATGAAACGAGGTTCAGCCTCGCGGTCCTAGAGAGGGGAGAAAACGACGAGTTAGAACGTCAACGCCGGGAACAGATACGGGTCCAAGAAGGGGGCTTTGACCAACCTCTCTGACGTAGACAAGTCGACCCATGAGGTTCTGGTTGCTGAGTTGAGCAACAGCCTGTTGAGCTTGCTCCCTAGTTGCATACTCCACAATACTGTTGATCATCGGTGGTTAGCGACGGCAACACACAGAGGGCGTGCTGTCAAGGCAGTTGAGGAGGACTTACCCGCATCCCTACAATGATTCCGAGGACAGCGTCCCACCCGTCAACCCAACCATCCATCAAGACCAGAAAGGGAAGAAAACCACAAAAGAAAGCCACCAAAAGCTATGCGATGAAGCCCACCTTCGACATTCCATTTGGAAGTAATAGCACATCGGCAAAGAGCACCTCTCCAGCTGTGACGTTGAGATATCTCCCGTTAGTTTCCTCGTCTCTGACCGTGCCCATGCTCATAGAATCCTAATCTCACCCTGTCTCATGAAATCCTTGAGATGATGCCACTTAACATCGTACGAGAGGTTGCCGACGTAGACGCGGCGGTCCTGCTGGGACGTCTCGCGAATGTTGCTCATCATCTGTTCTCGGGCAGCGGCCCGTTCCTCGTAAGATCGTTGGGGTGCCTGTCCCCCGTAACCGCCAGCGGGACCACCGGCGGGTGCTGCTCCAGTTCCTGCCATTGGGGAGCGGTCGCGGCCCCGACGATAGTCGTCCCGGCTATTTGATCTGCTGCGAGGGGAATAAGAACGCCGACGAGACTGTCGGCCTGGACTCCTAGAGCGTCGTCGAGGTGATCGAGACCTCTCACGCTGCGGCTCGATCAGTATCAGCAATCCCAGAGAGAGGCGAAGTGTGATGTGGGCAGGGTTTGGGCAAGGCCAAGTGGACGGGTAATCTGGGGAGATGGTCGAGCTACAAGTTGCCCAAAATGGCACTCGGCTTTATCTTTGTATGAGTCGATATAGAAGGAAAATCCTCAACCCAGTGAGACTCTGTGTTCAACGCCAGCTTGAGCATTCGCCACAGCCCGAGCAATTGGGTCAATGGCCTTGAAATAGTCCAACTGAGGCTTACAACAGCACAGCTGAGCGTCTGTAAGGCGACGTCTGCTCGTTGGGTTTCGGAGCAAGAGAACAAGGTGGCCGCTGCGGGGCGGCGTTATAGGATGTGTTCAAGAGGGTCAAGGCCAAGCCCGCGAGCCCACACAGGTGAGCGAGCACCACGGCGAGGGTCATGGCCGCGTGTAGGGTGAAGGGGGAAAGGTCAAGTAAATGAGGTCAACTTACTGGTCGGTAGTTGTCGCCGGAGTCAGCTAAAAGATCAAGAGGTTAGAAAACCGGCGCTGAAAGAGGCCTCTTTGGAAAAGCGAGAAGAAACTGTGCCAAAAGAGATGGAAGAAGAGACGGCCTGATTGAAATAATAGTCATGTACCCGGGTGGTGGTGGGGTGTAGAGTGATGAGAAGCATGCGGAGTAGCAAGGCGGGAGGACATGCAGGTAAGGGGGGTCAATGATAATGCAGTGGACGGAGAGAGGCGAGGCGAGGCGAGAGGAACTGGACGTATCGGCGGGCAACGGGGGGGCAGACGAGTTACATCCAAAGTGGTATCACGTTGAATGGTCTTTTGCTCTGCTTTGTCCGAGGGGCGGCAGCTGCAAGACAGCAAAGTGCAAACAACGGCCCTGGCCACAGGCCACAGGCCACAGGCAGAGCTTTTTCCTGCAGAGCCTGCCGAGACGTGGACAGCCAACCAAGGCAGGCAAAACGCGTCTTGGCTGGAAAGAAAGAGCGTGATATGAGAGACGCACACGGACAGAGAGAGAGTGAAGAGGGTTTGGTGCAGATTGAGAGTAAGGGCAGGATGAGAAGAGATTTGCCCAGCCAGCGGCAGCCGCAGACGCAGACGCAGCAGACAGAGAGGCTTGAGAAGAGCAGAGCAGACGGCAAGAGAAGCGAGAGAGAGAGAGAGAGAGAGACGGACAGACGGACAGACAGACAGAGAGACAGAGAGGGAGATGGGGAGAGAGAGAGAGATAGAGAGCAAGAGAGAGAAGAGAAGAGAAGAGACGTACCCATGGCGATGGATCAACGCGATACAAAGGAGGAGAGGCTTTGTGCCTTTGTGCCTCGAGCCTTGTCGCGCGTGCAGTGTGCAGTCAGAGGCAAGGCCGGGTGTCTCAACAGATTGGAGGGCAGCTCGAGCCAGGTCGCGACGACACGGCAGAATTAATGGGTGGCTTCTGGTCCTGGTCCTGGAGAGAGAGGGCAAGCCACAGCAGAGCAGCAGGTCAGCAGCTGGACCGAAACGGATCTCGCAGGGAAAACGGCACGGCGAGCGAGCGAGCTGCAGCGGCAGTACCCAAAGGTGAGGTAGCTGGAGAGGCAGCACGCAAGCAGGCAGTGCGAGAGGAGCAGGTCAGGTACAGTACCGGTAAGTCGCAATGGGCGCAATGCAATGGGTTGGGGGAGGGGGTACGAGGTAGGACAGAGGCGCATTGCTTGATTGTGGTTGAGCCTGGTGGTGAGAAGGGGAAAAGAACGCGCGGACCGGGAGGGGAGCAGGCGGCCAATCAGCGCGCAGAGGCTGAGGGCGGCCGGAGGGGAGGGGGCCAAGCTGCAAGAGCTCCAGCTGTGCTGCGATGCGACTACCTAGGTACTACCTACTACAGTGCCAGGTACTGCTAGGTGCTGGGTGCTGGGTGCTACTACTAGGTAGGTAGGTGCTCGGTACCGCTACCTGAATCAGAGCCAACCCTGAGGCTGGTACCTATACTTGGACGTTGCAAGGCGCAACAAGGCAGCGGTGCGGCAGACACTCGGCGGCCTTGCGCGCCGTGGCTAGGCCAGCATGTACCTGCACTGGCTGCAGATCTGGCTTCACAAGTATCCGTACCTTTGCGACATGGTAGCCCCAACAGCCTGGGAATCCCTCCACCTGTATGGATAGGTAAGGTACCTTGATGGTAACCTCAATACTACGGGTTCGTCCAGTGCTGTTGGGACAAGACAAATTTCTACTCATACAGGGAAGACTTGTTAAGGTATACTAGGTAGGTATGTAGCTGATGAGGAAAAAGGTACAAAAGAGAAAAATAGTCTGCTCTAGGAAGGCGAAAGAAAACGAGGTGAGATCAGGAAAAGGTCAATGGCAAGAAAAGGCACCCAAGAAACAACCCGGCAAGGTGATGATGGATGGGTGCAGGGGGGTCGGGAGCATCAATGGCTCGTGGATCGGGAGCTGCAGCTAGAGCTGGGAGACAACAAAAACGACAAGGGGAGGGCGGGAGGTGCCAAGCAGCGGCAGCAAGGAAAGGCAAACAGGGAAGGGAAATGATACAAGAAAAATAAGAAGAAATAATAAAGAAGAGAGAGAGGGAGAGAAATCAATCCAGACCGGCGAGGAGCGAGCTTCACGCAGCAAGGAAATGGTAGCAGCTGTGAGTTAGATGCATGCACGTCGCTCGTTGCGTCGAGCTCTGCAGCAACCAGCGTGATGTGATGGTGGGCTGCCCAGAGCCGACGAGCGATCTATCATACGTGCGTGGATATCCTGACGCTCCTCGTCAATTTTAGCGTGAGTTGAACCCGGGGAAAAAAATGCTTGTCGGATGCTTGGATCGCGAGAGGGCAAAAGAAAAAGGACGCGGCGATCGCTGGTCGCATGGGTGTCACGTAGTGAGTGGTACATTAGTACTGTACTTGCGGTAGGAATCTCGGGTCCGGCACCACTCACACACACACGCTCTCTCTCTCTCTCACACACACAGGCAAGGCCACAAAGCAGGCATCTCAAGCGATCCATCCAACCTCGAGGCAGACGCTCCCACACCCGGTCGATGTCGTTTGCTCGGGAGCTTGGAAGCGTGGCCGGGGCGGCCGGGGGAGCTCCCTATTGGCAGCTGCAAGGTCTGGCTTGCTTTGGCGTCGTTCAGGTAGAGTGGCGGGCCTGAGATTTGCTGTACGAGGATGGAGCTCTGTGGTCAGGTAGCGACACGAGCGTGCAGAGAGATGAGGAGGAGGAGGAGGAGCGTCTTGGGGACTGGATGCAAACAACTGATTGCAAAGGGGAGAAGATTAGGACAGACGAGGGAGCTCACGACTGGTGGGGGTGAGGCACATGGAAGTTGCAAGTCGGAAGTGACAAAGCTCCAAGCATCAGGTGTGGTTTTAGCAGCAATCGATTGCCATCCAATCCAAGCTCCTGCCAGCACGCGGCCTGTCCAGTCTGGTCCAGTATCAAATCTCTGTTTCAGGTGCAGCAGTCAACTGCCCAGCGGTGCTAGAGGCTGCTAGAGGTGCTAGAGGTGCTAGAGGCAACCACTGCACGGCGGGAACAGCGGACCTAGCAGCAGCAACTAAGTCGGGCATGCTAAGGTGCCCTACCCGAAAGGATCGGTGAGACGACGACGACGACAGAGGCCCGACGACGAGGTACCGGTACTGCACGGTTTGATATTGAGTGCTTTCATGTTGTCCAGCACAACATGCCTTGACTTGCCTTGCCTTGCCTTGCCTTGCCTGGATCCATATGACTTGCAGCGCTCTCGACTCAAGGCCTGAACTGTGCCTGACCAGGCCCCTCCCTGTCACTCTTCCTTCCGTACTGTAGTAGGTACTATCCATATCCGTACATACTACTTCTACATACTAGGTACCTACCTAGATACTGTATTCCAGGTTGTATGCAGCATCGTGTGGTGCATCCTCACTCACTCGTTCGCCGGTCGTCAAATTGGACCCGTCTCCAGATGCCACCCTCCCCGGGCCCTTGCTCGTATCGGCACTGCCGGTGATACTGCAGCACGCTGGAGTCGTACTTGTCGTGCCTGTTACATACAGCACAGCACAGCACAGCACAGTAGAATGGGTGCCACCTTGTCCACATGTCCGTCCGAGATGTGAGACGCAGCGTGTCGGTCGTCGGCCGCTGGGAAATCGATGGAGGGGAGGGGGATCGGGCCGGCATCAGACGTCCATGAAGGTGGTGCCTCAGACCCTCTGCAGCCCACCACCAACAGAGAGGTCGGTACATCAAATACTACTAATGGTATGGGTGAGGTGCATGTACGAGATCATGCTGGCGTGCTCTACCGCCAGGGAGACGGACAGACAGGACAGACAGGACAGATACTAGAAGACGGACGATGCCCCGGGACCTCAGCCCATCCATTGGCTCGAGTAGAGGCGTGCCACTGCGCTACGAGTGGTTCCAGGCCTGGAATGCAACGCAAGGTGTGTCCCTCATTCGGTTGCCTTTTTTCCACTCCTTTGTTGCCTTTTTTTTTTTTTTTTTTTTTCCTCAATTCTTTCAGAACCTTGCTTCTTCTCTCCTCCCGCCTGCAAAAACCTGGCAGGCCTCTGTTGAGTTGTCTCTCACAGGCAGCTGCATGATGCCATCCGCAGCGTCGCAATTGGGCCAAGCATCTCTCATCTAAGCCATCAACCCCATACCGGTGAGCAGCTTTGCACCTGCAAGGACCTTCTCGGTCCAGTGTGTGTGTGTGTCCAAGTGCAAGTGTGTAACGATGCCAACATTACATGTATCCCTTCCCTCCTCCCCCCCCAAGAGGCCCTGATAATGCGCAGCCGCTCCAGCCTGCCATTGGCCCGTGACTGGATGTGGCCGGGTCAAAAGGATTTCGTATCCATTACGTTGTTCTATCAGCCGTCCGTCTGCTGTGATATGGGCTGCAGCCTAATATTTCGTCAAATGTTTTTCTTTTTTTTCCTCTGCATGGGTGCAGCTCAAGCCACTTGATTGATGTGATGAGCACTTACACATGTGTACTATGTACTAGTACACCCATGATCCATGCCCTCAGCACCGCGATCTGCCTACCAGACGCTACCACCTCAGCCGACGACTCCACTCAGCCGCCGTTCCAGGTTCAAGTTTGCAGAGCCCCTCCAAATCGTACAATCGCAGTCAAATCAGCCGCCAGACAACTGCCAACAGCATCACCGCATTGCATCACGCATCGGCAAGCGCCTGGGTAGTAGTAGTAGTACCAAGCTCAAGGCATCATCACATCACACACCCAGTTCCTCCCTCCCTCCTTGCTACAGCCAGCCAGCCAGCCACAATGGCCTCCCCTTGCGTCGCTCGCACCGCGCGATGCCTGTCCGCCTCAGCCCGCCGCCCTCTTGCCCGCCAAACAACAACAACAGCAGCAGCATCATCAACACCAGCCTCGTCCTCTTCGCTGAGGGCGACGAACAACAGCAGCAGCAGTAGCAGCAGCAACAAAAGAGCCTACCACTCACACGAGCACCCGCCGTCGCCGCCCTTTGGCCCCGTCGACCGCGACATCCTGGCCGCCGCCTACAAGCACGTCCCCGAGCACGGCTTCTCCCTGCGCGCCATCGGCCTCGGCGCCCGCGACGCCGGATACCCCGACATCAGCGCCAGCGTCCTGCCCGACGGCCAGTTCAGCCTGATCCGCTACCACCTGGTCGCGCAGCGCGAGAGGCTGGCCGCCAGGAGCCGCGAGGTGCTGCTCAAGGACGAGGCGCCGCTCTCGGCCGCCGGCGTCGGCGAAAAGGTCGCTGCCCTGACGTGGGAGCGGCTGATGGGCAACAAGGACGTCATACACAGGTGGCAGGAGGTGAGTACTTTCTCTTCGTCTTTGGAACCGGTCTTTTTCATACATGAACCCATCCCCTGGTTGTTGTGTTACGAGTATTGTTGGTTTTCGCTGACGATGAGCGTCTTTTTCTTGTTGTCTTCGACCTGCAGGCCCTGGCTGTCATGGCTCAGCCCAGCTACCTGCCCAAGTCCCTGGCCGAGCTGGCCGCCCTGTCCGACGACATCTGGTTCCTGGCTGGCGACAAGGCCGTCGACCCGTCGTGGTACACCAAGCGCGCGGCCCTCTCCATGGTCTACAGCTCAAGCGAGCTCTTCATGACCAACGACAGGTCGCCCAACTTCCTCGAGACGAGACAGTTCCTGCACCGAAGGCTGGGCGAGGTCCAGTCTGTGGGGAGCACCCTCGGGTCCGTAGGCCAATGGGTTGGCTTCACGCTCAATGCTGGCGTAAACGTCTTGAGAAGCAAGGGCGTTCCTATCTGACGCCCCCTAAGGCATGCTATGCTATCTGCCTCTAATCCACAAACAACCCCCCAAATGCTTCAGTAGTACTCGAACAAGTTCAAAACACACGCAAAGAGTCATGTACAATATCATCATGGGCAGCATCTTCAAGGCTCCCCATATCCCGACGAGTCTGCTCGCCACCACCCTCATGTATATACCATCGCATGTTATCATTATAGCTCAAACGAATGACTGGCGTTCCAACATCAAATGCGCAGACCCCTCAATTCACCTCGTCCTGACACAATTGCACTCGCATGTACAGCCGTTAGTAGACTTAGACAAGGGTTCGCTGGCGGGGATCGGTCAAGCTGTACAGTTATGAGAGATGTTAGCCTCGTTCCAAAGTAGATGCCTCCAGATTGTGATGCTCGTGAGAATCAGATACTGACCGGATAATTTTGACGTCTTTATCAAGCCGAGCGCGGCCCTCAATGGCATTCGGCGTGATCAAAATGTACTGTCGCGATACCGATCGTCGAGCGGCATCCACCTGCGCGTGAGAAGAAAGTCAGCCCATTGATGTTCACATCCAACTCACTTCTTCGACTCTCTCGGCAGTGGCAGCAGCAGCAGCAGCATAACCTACCAACATGTTGGTGCTAATCGCTCGGTTAACATTGTCCATAAAGACATCAAACTCGTCCAGACATCGTATCGGCGATCCAATGGCCTCCCACACGGAGAGGAGCATGCATATCGACGAAAACGACTTTTCGCCTCCCGACAGCGTCTTGGTGTTGCGGCCCGACGAGCTCTTCCGCGTCTTGTCGGGCTCAATGTTGATGTTGACGCGCCTGGCCCGGTGATCAAGGTCAATGTTGCCCCTGAAGCCACGCTCACTGAGCAGATAGGTAAACTGGATGCGTATCCGCGCGCTGATCTGCCTCTGGAACTGTCTCCACAGGTGAAGACGGTGCTCGATGGCTTGCTTCAGGCTCGCAATCGTCTCGTCCACGTCCCGCGTCTTCTTCATCACATCCTCGTACTGCGTCCGCGCCTCAATGGCTCGGTCGTAGATCTGCTGGTCCGTGGCTCCCTGCCGAGCCTCGCGCTGCGCCAGCTGCTCGCAGACTCTCTGGTATTTGATCTCGAGACTCTCATATGTCTCGTCTTCGGGGATGTGGACACGATCCGGCGACGCTTGCTCCGCCTGCCGGATGAAATCGGCCACCTCTGCCACCTTCTGGTCACGCTTGGCCTCTGCTCGGCGTCTCTCGAGCCTCTCAATGTCCAGCCTCTCGAAAGCAGCGTTCTTCTCGGCAACCTTGACCCTGCGAAGACCCTCAAGCTTCTTAATCTTGTCGTCTGCCTTTGCCACGCGGCTCCCATGGTCCTTTTGCACGTCCTTTTCCGCGTCGAGACGTGCCCTAGCCTCCTCCGTCTTCTTGCTCAGCTCCCGCTTTTCTAATTTCAGGTTGCCATACTGCAAGCCGAGCTGCTCTTCTTCGGTGCGCTTCGCTTCGCGCTCCTCCCGCAGCGCAACGAGACGCCCGTCAACGCCTTCAAAGGCATCCATTTCCTCAGTGATTCGCTGGATGTCCGCCTGGATTCTACGGCGCTCGTTTTCCCACTGCTTGATTGCCGAGTAGTGCGATGAGAGGTCGGACTCGCAGCTACTCAGTCGTTGACGCGCCTGCCGCTCCTCGTTGGTGAGTTCCTTCAGCTCAAGACCCAGCTGTCTGAGATTCTCCTTGGCCACAAGTAACCGCTGAGCAGAGTCCGACTGCATCCGAGGATGCAATCCCGACGGCGTGACCGGGCTGGTGCCTATAGTTCCGAATCGGTTCGTGATTCGCAGTCCGTGGCCGCGTTTCCCTCTTCCATCGTGGAAGCAGATACACGCCGCTACGTTGCGAGGAGGACCGTCGTTATCGATCATGACTTTCTCCGCTTCGGTGCGTTCCTTGATCAGTATAATCTTCTCAATCTGGTTGTTGATGACCAGCTGCGACCGCACGAGGTCATCATCAAAGTCCAGGACTCTGAGAATGGTATCAAACTTCTCATCGGGCTCCTGGGAACTGGTGTTGATTGTGCCTCCATACGCAATGTAAATGGGGGGCTGCTTCTTAAGGCCCATCCTCTGTATCATGCTCGACAGCCTGGACTGGTCCCTCTTGCTCTTGACGACAAACGCGTTCAGAACATCACCAAAGGTCTTCTCAAGGATGCTGGACCATTCTGGCTTTCGGAGGGTGATGTGGAGGCCAATGGGACCTACGGGCTTGCTATCGAAACCGCCTTCTCTCTCAATGGCCTTGGATAGCTTGATGAGATCCGCGTCGAACCCGTCAAAAGCCGAACCATTGCTCTGTTCAAGTTCTCTGACACCCTTCTTGGCCACAATCTCCTCCTGCTTCTTCCTCTGTAAGAATTGCTCCGCTCGTCGGAGGGCCTCCTTGGCTTCCGCAGCCTTGTCCTTAAGTGATTGCGTCTTGCTTTTGGCCTCGTCAATCTGCTCGCCGAGCCGCTTGTCATGTGCTTCAGCCTCGGAAAGCTCTTGGTCTTTCGCCGCGCGCGCGGAGGCCGATGAGCCGTCCAACCGGTTCTCTTCCTCCTTGATCTTCTTCTCGCAGGACAGTATGTCGGTCCGCAGGGTCTTCAATCGGATGTGAGCATCGCGCTCTTCGCCCTGCAGCTCCATTTGCCTCTGTTTTGCGTCGCGCCACGCAACCTCTGCCTCCATCACTTTTTCCTCCAATGTGTTTTCCTCCGCAGCAAGAGCTTCGCGAGCCTCTTGAGCCCGGCCCAGCATCTCGTCTGTTTCCTCGAGCACTTTTGTCGCAGCCTCGCAGTCCGCTTGCCAGGAGACAAGCTCCCGGTCACGCCTAGCGAGATCAGCATTGCGCTGCTCAAGCTCCCTTTCACGCTCGACGACCTGTGACCAGACAAGCTGGTTTCGATAAAGCCTTGCTTTCTCGCGAAGGCCTTGGTTCTTTTGGGCAATTTCGGCGAGTCTCTGCGCATCGTCCATGGCCTTTTTCACATGGGCTATCTTCTCGTCGAGATCGTCACGGAGAATGAGCGTTTTGTCGAGCGTGTCTTGGGACATTTTGTAGTCATTGTCCAGCTGCTCTAGCTGGACGCCAGATACAAAGTACTTGTACTTTTGCGCCGGGCTGGCAGAGTTGAGGAACTGTCTCGCGTTGTCTTGGGAGAGGACAGTCAATGGGTTCCCTATCTGCAAAGCGTACCACTCTGAGATTTCTTCGACTTCCTGCTTCTTGGTCGAGACGACCTTGCCCTCCGCTGTCTTGATCTTGAAGCCGCTGGCGCCGTTCTTGGAGAAGTGACGCTCGACGGTGATGGATGGGCCGTAGATGTCGGGTTGATATGCGTCGGATCCGGCGTTTTTGATCTTGACGACGAGACTTCCGTGCTCCCGGCCCTCCTTGACAAAGGACTTGAGGCTGCCGCCTCTGTTGGTGTCGCTGGCCTTGCCACCGAGGCACAGGGTGAGGGCCGTGAGGACAGCGCTCTTGCCGCTACCGTTCTCTCCGACGATGAAGTTGATCAGAGGACCGAGCTCGACATGCAATCGCTCGTGGCACATGAAGTTGTAGCAGGTGATGCTTTCAATGATGCCGCTCTCGGCGACCATGTTGTCAAAAGTCTGCGACGTGGTGCGACGCTTGATCTTCTGCGTGGCCTGCTGGTCGTCCCAGTCCGTATTGGCGAGATGTCGAAAGCCATTGTCTCTCATCAGTTCGTATTGGGTCTGTGGGGGGGATGCGGGCGCGTCGTCGTCCTCGCTGTCGCCGTCTTCGCTTTCGGATTCTGATGAAGAGGTATCGTAGTGTTTCGTCTCTGCCGCCGCTCTGCTACTCGAGGCCTCTGCGTCACCGGCAGACAGCCGGACTCGTTTTCTCTGTCGCCTGGTTAGCCAGCTGAAGTTTGCACAGCACAGCACTCTGTTGCTGCAGGGTTGCTACCGGCCGTACATCATTAGCCATGGTAGATCGCGCTTCCACAACGTCATCTTCTTCGTCTTGGCCCGAGGCCATTCGTGACCGTTTGGAGGGCGGCATGGCTGGTGCCTGCTGGTGGTCGAATTGGCCGGGATTGGGGATTCGCAACGGCTGAAGGAAGTGTAACCGAGGGCTGCAGGGATGCGGCTACTGAGGACGGAAGGGTTCTCGAGCTTGAATCTGCTGAAGCATCAGGAGGTTCTTGTCGTCGTCCATGCGCATCCTGCAGGTGCCGGTGAGCGACTCGCTGGCTGGAGCCTCGTCAATGTCTGGGAATGGATGAAGCTGCTCTTCTTGGGGCGCGTGGACCGCGTTGACCGCGTCGTGGGGTAAATAATTTAGTGGTGGCGGCTGCTGCTGGCTGTCTGGTGCTGGTGGCGGCTACAGGGACAGATAGCGGTGCATGCGGATGACTAATGGTGTGTCTACCGTGCTGAAGCTGGATGGGAAAGCCTTGGCAGGTGACGCTGCAAACGAGTGTCGCAGACGCCTATAACGAAGATGAAAATGATGCGACTTTCTTCAGTTGAGACCAAGCTAGAGAATAAGATGACAAAATCTCCATTTCTTTCTATGAATCATCTTGTAGACACAGTCCATCACTGAAAATATGCCGGCTTTGTGGTGGTGGGTGGTGTAAGAGCCTGCCAGCGTGGGGCCTCTATCAAAGCGCCTCACTTACAGAAACTCCATCTTAGACGTACAACTTGCATCAATCACGACTGCGTATTAAAGCAATCTTTGCCCATGCTTATGGCCACCCCAAATAGCTCCCTATTTGCTTCACGATAAAGCATGTCTCAAGACGGCAACATCGGCGAGGGTGAGACTTCTGCAGAGCCGCTCTCTGAAAACACGCTCGAGTATATGCTCTTCGTGATAGACAGCCAGCAATCAGAGCCTCGCAAAGCACGTACTCGCCTCGAAGCGATTCGCAAAGCCGCAGTCGAGCTCGCCCAGTCACTTACAAAGGACTACATCTGGCAGCGTGAAGGGTTCGAGATCTCACTCAAGAGTGAGCATGGTGAGCATAAGCATAACAACCCTCCCTTTCGTAGCAGAACATATTCTGACAGTCAGCTTTCAGGACTACTTTTCCTACATGGCACGACCGACTACGGAGATGCCATAGAGGACGAATGGCTCATCGTCTACTTACTATGTGAGCTATCCAAGGCTCACCCCGATCTCTGGGTGCGAGTCTCAGACTCTGACGGCGAGTTCCTCCTGGTGGAAGCGGCCAACGTCCTCCCCAGTTGGCTGAGTCCGGAAATCGATCGCTATCGAGTATGGATTCACCTTGGAAAGATCTTTCTTATACCCTTCAACCCTAAGAGCCGAGACGAGCCTGAACATTTGTCGCTCCAACAAGCCGTCACCCTTTTGCGGTCAAACACAGACGCCCTCATCCACCTCCCCGCCATCGATGCCGAAGCCTTTCATAGATTGCGAAAGTATCCCGAGCAAATTGCCAACTCCATACATCATTCCCTCGTCACGATACCCAGAACAGTTGCATACGTCCTACATGCTCTCCCAAAGATTATTGCCCCGGCCGTGGAGCACTTTTACCTCAGAGACGCAAGATCGTTAAAGCCCATCCTCTCTTCATCGGCGCCTCTGCGATTTCCTCCGGAAGATCTTGTCACGGTCAGTGTGAGGTTCAGCAAAACGCTCTATGCGCAACTCAAGTCCCAGCGATTCGATGCGCCGCCACGGTGGCAGGCTCTGCTTCGCAAAAACCAAGAGCTGGATCTCCTTTCGAAAGAAGACCAGAAAAAGCTTGAAAGACTAGAGATGGGAATGAAGCTCACGTGCGGATTTGAGATGCTGGCCGCCAATGCGGAGAATAGCAAGAGCAGAGTCGTTCGGGAGATGGCCATCCTACTGGAAGATCTCGAAGAGGACGGAAGCTCAGCTCTGCCATCCGACGAGGAAATAAAACAGTGGGAAAACGTCGATCGGGACGATGATGATTCGTGGCTCGATATCAATTACGAAGATTTCGAGCGCGAGCTGGAAGGGAAGCAAGCCGCCTCTTCTTCAAAGACGACATCTGGCTTCGGCGAGGCCCAGACACAAGAGAATCTCAGAAAGATTGTCTCTCGCTTCGAGGCTTTTCTCAATGACGAGAGCGCTGGGCTGGACGGTGCTGAGCTCGACCGGATGGATGTTGACAACGATGACGATGACGATGACGATGACGACGACGATGATGATGAGGATCAAGACGACGAGGTGAGCTTCGACGAAGAAGCGTTCTCCAAGATGATGAAGGAAATGATGGGCATTGCGGTGACAGGCACTGCAACAGGAGGAAAGGCTCAAAAAGTCGATGTTGCCGAAGATGGCTTTGACAGCGACGCGGAAGAAGATCGAGACATTCAAGAGATTGCCTCTCGCATGGAAGCCGAGCTCAAAGAGTACGGAACGCTTCAGCTCGACCCACCGACCAAGGCACGCGCGATCAAGTCCAAGGAGAGCTTGGACAAGGGGAAGCAGCCAGCGCAAAAGGAGAGCGTTCAGCAGGCACACTCAACAGACGACGAGGATGAAGAGATTGACATTGACTTCAACCTGGCCAAGAATCTGCTGGAGAGCTTCAAGAGCCAGGGGGGCATGGCTGGGCCTGCGGGGAATCTCATGGGATTGATGGGGTTTCAGCTACCGCGTGACGAGGATGACGAAGACGAAGCCTCCCATGATCGATGACTGTAGCATACAATTCGACGCGGCCAACGTGGTAATAGGATAATGTTTGAATCTGATGCCAAGTGATTCAATCACTTGATTCTTTATGAAACAACGTTCAATGCTCTCTTCTCTTCGTGAAATACTACTTCCAGATGGCTCCTCACTCTTCGGTTTCCAAGCAAATAGATCAAGCCTCTGAACTGGCCTTCACAGCCTTGCCGCCTCCTCCGCTCTTCTGCTCGCCCGCCATGCCATACAGCATATTGATGTTATACCGCTTCAGCTCCTCCCACTCCCGGCCATCGACTACGGAGATGCCGCAAAACAGCTGTAACCCATCGCGTTAGTTCACTTTCTCACAACTGCGTCGCAGAATAGGGGTTTTGCAGTGGGAACACTAGACGAACCTGGAATATCTCGACGAGAATGACCTTGTCTGGGCTCTTGAGGTTGACCTTGTGCTCCGGCTTGATCATGCCCGCAATCATCTTGATGACGGCCTGTGACTCTAAGGCGGTGTGGTTCCTGATTGTGTGTCGTATGGCGTACTGATTCAGCGTCAACATCAGCTGTCCATGACGGCCCGCTTCTCTTGAGGCCTCGACTTACTGTAAAGGGGGTTTTCTGAGATTCCGTCTCGGGTACCGCCTCCTCAGCCACCACATCTTTGACTTCCTCCTCCGTCTTCTTCACCTCCTCCGCCTCATTAATCTTGTCCTCCACTGGATTCTCCTCTCCATCTTCCTTCTTTCCGTCTTTGCCATCCTCTGCATCATCAACCTCCTCCTCCTCCTCCTCATTCAACGCAAAAAACGACTTGAGAACCTTCCTCGCCACCCTCCTCACCCCCTTCTCAGACGCCTTCTCCGTGTCCATCACCGGCGTCAACCGATTAATGTACTTGCACTTCCTCTCCATCGGGCTCCCGCACTTTTGCGCATCGAGACACATCTCACGCACCAGCTGACACGGGTCCACGGGCCTCATCGTCTTCATGAAGAAGACGCACTCAATCGTCACCGACACGGGCGAGAAGACGCCGCGCGGCTGGGGCTTGGGCGGAGCCTTCATCCGCTCGAGCTCCTTTTCGATGGACGCCTCGATGTCTTCCTCTTCGGCTCCGTCGGCCGGGTGGTGAGCTTCTGACTCGTCGGCCGGGGGCGTGATCCCGTAGAGCTTTTCGCCGTACTGCCAACATCGTTATTATCATCCCCGCCGCAACCAATAAACATCTAAAATAGTCTCCCCGTGGGTGGGCATGGGATTATGCAGCTTTACCTCATGGCACATGGCCGTAAACTCCCGAACGGCCTTGTTCTTCATGCCTCTCGCATACGTGACCCAGATGCCTTCGTCGCCCACCTCGAGAGCCTTGCCCATCTCGACCCACGAGGCCTGCTTTGCCTTTTGAGCTGGCGTCTTCCATCTTCCTCCCGTGCCCTCCTAGGTACCCATTCATAGTCCCATTGTCAGCAAGCTCGTTGTCCATGGACATAGGTAGCCAGAGAGAAGGGTGGTGGCATTCTTCGTAAATATGTAAAAGAAGCATTCTTGTCATCATACCTTTCTCTTCTTCAATGCCGAGCCATCTGAGCCGCCAGGGCCCTGTTTCCTCTTAGGAGCGGAATCTGACATTGCAATTGACTCCTTGCAGCTAAATATGGCGGGATAAGTGATGTCCTAGAAGTTCTCCTTACGTGAATGAAGATGGACTCGAAGTGTCAATAAAACAGCTTGAAGATTTCAGGTCGGATGATTAGATACGGTGAGCGGGTACTCAGTACCTCTAGCCTGGCTACTGTTTGTGGGAAAGAACAGGTACCCGAGACTACTGAAGCTTCAGCAACCACGTGATTCATCTCATCTTCAAGAGCCCTTCATCAATTCTCTTCTCGGTCCCTCTCATGCGACGTGCAAGATTAAGGAAGAAAATAATCTTGAGATTTACAAACTATGTACCTCATACTATCCGATTTGACCATAACCCATAAACTCATTTCCAACACGCCTCCGAACCTGCCGGATTGACAATCGGTACCTGCCCGTGGCCTGCTTTATCGTCTATTATTCTATCAAGGTGACGATGAACCCTCATACTACCCGGTCAGACTTCATGCCGGGTTACTCCAGTTTGGCATTGTTCTTGGCGCTGGCTTCCGCAGTCATAATCAGTGCCCGTGGAGCATCTTCCTTGGGCATGTACAGCTCGACAAACTGAAGACATTCGGCCGCGTTGAACGAGGGATCCTTGAGGAGCTGTTCCAATGACTCCTTGGTCTTGACGGCAAACTTCTTGCAAGTCTTGGATCCGCCGAAGACGTCGACTAGGGCCTTGAAGTCCCACTGTACAATGTCGTTGTAGTTGGCGTCCATTCCGTGAATGAAGCGCTCAATGGTGAAGCCGTCGTTGCAGATGACGAAGCTAACAGAAACATGTCAGCGAGAATCTCTGGAAGCGCCGTGGCTATTTAGTGGATAAACTCACATGATAGGTTTCAGCTTGAGACGAATCATTGTGCTCAGTTCTTGAGCCGTAAGCTGGAACGAGCCGTCGCCCACAAAGAGAATGGTTCTGCGGTCGCTCTTGTCATCGGCAGCGGCAAGGCAGGCTCCTTGGCAGGCACCGACAGACCAGCCAATGCTTCCCCAAAGGACCTGGCTGAGGGCGGTTACACCAGTCGGGAACTTGGTGTCCCAGATACCAAAGTTGGCCGTTCCGGTCTCTGTGACGACAATGTCGTTTTTCCGGAGGAACTCGCCAACGCGAGGCCAGAACCAGGCCTGTGTAATCACAGACGAGTCATCTAGGTTCTTGGTGACCTCGTTTTCGACGGTGGGCGATGGCTGGACGCTGAGCTCGGATTGATTGATCTTCTTGATGACCTGTCGCAGAACACCCCTCATCGCTACGCCGGGATATGTGGAATACTTGACAACGCAGTGGTCGCTGTGGAGGTCAATGGTGTTTAGCTGAGAGGTGCGGTAAGAGAAGCCCGCAGTGTTGAAATCGCTCTACATTGGGAGGTTAGCAAATGGAAGGAAACAGTCAAAATGAGAGCTCGAACAGGTGTACACACCTTGAGGGCACCAATGGTGAGAATAAGGTCTGAGGACTCAACAATGTCCTTGACTTGGGGCGGGTGGGAGCCAGCACCGGCGTATACACCACCATATGTCGGGTGCTCTTCGTTAACGGCGCCCTTGCCCATGGGGGTGACAAAGACTGGAAGGTTGGTCTTTTCGATGAGGCCGTGGACCTCGTCAAGGACGCGATGGCGGATCGCGCAAGCATCCACGAGGATGACGGGGTGCTTGGCAGCTCGCAGGTACTTGAGGACGACATCGACGACATAGGCTTCCTTCTCAGGCTCGTTTTCGGGCTCTGACAGGTCAATTGGCTGCTTGAGCCTGGCACCCTCAACCTTGGCCTGGACCATGTCGGTGGGGAGCATGATGTAGACGGGACGGGACTTGATGAAGCAGGTTCGGAGGGCGTGGTCAATCTGAGTGGCGATTTCGGCAGGGTTGGTGAGCTTTGCAACGTCACAGGAGATTTCGGCGCTCATGTTGGCAAAGACGTTGAAATCGCCGTTTCCCAGAGTGTGGTGGAGGAGCATGCCGTTCCGCTGGGAGATGGTGGACGGACAGCCGACAATGTGAACGACGGGGACGTGCTCTGAATAAGCTCCGGCAATGCCGTTGATGGCGGAGAGCTCGCCGACTCCAAAGGTGGTGATGAGGGCTCCCATCTGCTTGACGCGGGCATATCCATCAGCAGCGTAGGCTGTACGAAGAAGTATGGAGTCAGCACATATTCATCTCATGCAGACATGGTCCGCGGTACATCATCAAACTCACCAGCATTGAGCTCGTTGACGCTGCCAACCCACTTGAGGCCACAAGTCGGCAGGTAATCGAGGGCAATGAGATTGTAGTCGCCGGGGAGGCCGTGGACGGAGCGGATGCCGATTTCATGGAGCCGCCGGAAGAGATACTCGGCCACGTCCACGGGCTGCTCGAGACTCTGTTCCCTTATGTTTGTCATGATTGTGCTGTAGCTGCGCTGCTTTGATCGTTTTGAGGTGCTTCTTGGATTGTGGAACGAAGAAGGACGAGAGCTTGATGCGGTTATTTATACTGGTGACGACACTCTGAGGCGCGAGGAGATGTGGATCAACGATGATGCAAATGATGTTGCTCGTATAAGGTGGTTGATGAAGAAGCTCCTTGTGATGGAGACTTGCAGGATTCCAGACGTGTTTTGAGAAGGTATTTACTTTGCAGGAGGAGGGGCGGAGGATTGGAGACGTGAGCCAACACACTGACAGGGCAATGAATGAGGATATATAGATGTTTTTTATCTACCTAGACTTCGAAGTGTTGAATCATCCATCGGTCTCGGTTTCAACCATCAACAGCTCGGACAAACTCAAATGGGCAGCGGCACCGGAGACGGCAGGCAGGAGCCCCGCCAGTTGCAGCTGCTCGTGCCATCGGCAAGCATGAGCTCACTTTTGGACGCGCCGCTGTCATGATAGTGATGTAATGGGGCCATTTCTGCGCGGGTGGGCAGCCGCTAATGCAGCTGCTTCTACAGCGCTCGACGATAGTGGACGGCTGCTCCTCCAGTGATACTAGATAGCCTCAGGTCCACTATAGCTACTAGAGAGTTGGAACCTATCCATCGTAACATGGATCCCGGGTGGCTTCATGCACGGTACATACAGCAGAGCCGGCAATCCGAAGGAGCGGCCGATTCGCTCGTCGGACAATTAACGACCACCTCTGACTTCACTTCCATCTTCGTATCTGGGACACCTTGCCAGGCCGCTCAGCGGTCCATCCGACAGACATCTCGATTCCATCGGGGCTGCTTCGGCACATGCAGCCATCCGGTCAATTGCCTGCCCCTGTCGCCCCGGTTTGCCCTCTGGCCGGGCTTTACTAGGTAGTCGCATCACGATATCGAATGGCCTCAGACATGGATACGACGTCGCACATTGATGAGCCACATCACCACAGTTGCAAGGCTTTCATCGTCTACTTGATAAGTCGATAGGTTGAGAGAGCCTCGACAAGTGAGTGAAGAGTTTTTTCATTGCTCGTCTCCCGTGGCATGGCTCGGAATCTCTCGCCACCATGCGCACACAGGTCATGATACTGGCTGACCTCGTACCATTGACTCTGTCTGGCTCGGTGTTTCTAATTGCCCCTGTTTCCAACGCTTCAACAGCATCCCAACGTTTCCAAACGCCGTCCTTCTAAACATGATTGCGAATACATCGCCCGCGCTTCCAATCGTACATGTGCATGCAATTGCCGCAAGTCGAAGAATGCTCCCTCCTTTCATTAATCGTACAGTATCTTCGTCCGTCCTCGAAAGATGGAATTCATGGCCAATCAGTCGCACCGACCGTCCTTCCACCCCGTCCTCCACCGCTCGTCCACCCGCGAGCAGTCAAACTCGGGCTTGCCCAGCTTCCGGTTGACATCGTTGTGCGCGCGGCACAGCCACTGCGAAAACTCCTCCCGGCTCGACACCTGCGGCTTCTGCCGCGCCAAGTAGCCCTGGAAGTCCTCGGCGCACACCCAGCACGGGTACAGCTTGGAGAAGAGCCCGACGAAGCTCAGCAGGTCCGACTGCTGCGTCCGCGACGGCTGCTCGGGGTACGTCGCCGCGATGGTGTGGAGCAGCGTCCAGGTGCTGCGCCCGAGGGTCTCGACGTCGGGCGGGCAGTCGGGCGGAGGGCCAGAGGCGGCGGCCGTCGTGGATACGGCTCTGCGGTCGGCCGGGGCGTCTTTCTTGGTCACCTGCTTGGCTTGCGCGGCCCATGAGGCGAATGAGGTGCAGCTTCGGCATCTTGAAAGCGAGATCTCGTCAGTATAATTGATCCATCGTGCAATTGGCTGAACAGGCAGGAGTAAAGGTGACAAAAGGACCGGGCGTAGATACAAGGGCATGCATAACTTACGGCTTGCCATCTTTTCCCAGCACGACTCCCTTGGGAAACTTCTTGGGCTGCTGATCAGCGGCAGCAGAGTCGGAGGCAGACGAAAGTCCCGGTCCTGACGCAGCCGCCGCGGCGTCTCGAAATGAAGCTTCTTCGGCCATTTGCTTCGTCACTACCCGTCTCAATATCCAACAGCTCTTCCTTTACTTTTTCTCTCTTATGCTTTTCCCTCACGCTCACAAGCTCACACAAAAGTCCAATCGTGAAAAAAAAAAAATAAGAGTGTAATTGCGAATGTATATGTAAAGGAAAGAATGCGTATCTCGGCGACTTCAATTCAGTGACATGCAATTTGTCAGCCCCCCCGGGCCCGGGTTTTCCAGGCTTTGCCGCAGTCAGGACATTTTTCGTTATCGATAGAAGCTGCGAATTATTACTAGCGTCAAATGCCCCTCTAAGCCCCTCCAAGCCAAGTGCAATCGATGCCAAGCCCCTCCGTCATCCCGCGGCATCTCATCCGAACTACCTACGGCTATTGTCTACATGAAGCCATCATGAACATAAGACGGAATTTTCCACTCATCTTGTACTTGTTTTCCCCCTTTCGATCACCACAACCCAGTGCGCAATCGAAGTAACTCAGGGTGCTCCAACATCACATATTAGCATCTTCACTCAATGCCATTCTCAGCAACCACCACCATCCCCTCATAGCTCTCCCACAATGTCATCCCCAACTTCGTCAGACCAGCAGCCCATCCCGGTCCTCCTCCTCAAGACAAAGTCCAGCCCAACCGACGCATACGAAGATCTCTTCTCCTCACAATCTACCAGCAAGCCATCCTTTGCGCCAACCTTTGTACCCGTCCTACAACACAGATTCGAAGACACAGGCGTGAACCGACTCCGCGACCTGCTCCGCCGGAAACGCATCGGAACCTCTCCCGACTGCGACTTTGGCGGCCTGATATTCACCTCTCAAAGAGCAGTCGAAGCATTCTCGCATGTAGTCCGGGAAGATGAGGCCTCAAAAGGTGAATTTCTCCTATTCATTTGCCTCATCGTAACTCACCCCTCTTTTCAACTCAAGATTCATCGCGAGAAAATGTAAGCTGACGATGTTGTTGAATCAACGTAAAGACCCCTCATGGCCGCACCTCCAACATATTCCCATCTACAGCGTCGGCCCAGCCACCACCCGCGCCCTGTCCGCCGTCCCGCAGGATCCTCCCCTCCAGATCTTTGGCAGCCAGACCGGCAATGGCGACGCCCTCGCGCACTTCATCCTCGACCACTACGCCCAGTGGTACCTCTCCGATGACACCAACAACACCAGTAACAGCACCGGCGTCGAGAGCAGCAGCAGCAGCAGCAGCAGCAGCAGCAGCAAGCAGCATGATGACAAGAACAACCAGCTACTCCCCCCGCTCCTATTCCTCGTCGGCGAGCAGCGCAGGGACATCATCCCCCGCACCCTGACGGACCCATCCCTCCCAGCCCACCGGCGCATCCCCGTCACGGAGGAGGTCGTCTACGGAACAGGCGAGATGCCCTCTTTCCCGGAAGACTTTTCATCCGTCCTGAACAACAACAACAACAACAACGAGACGCGCTCCTCCAGCTCAGAGCGGTGGGTCGTCGTCTTTTCGCCCACGGGATGCGACAGCATGCTGCGCGGGCTGGGCCTCTTGGATCCCGAGACGGGCAATTTTGCGGCGGCGGGCGGAACAACAACATCATCAACAACAATAAGGGACGGTCGGACGTTTGTTGCTACGATTGGGCCTACGACGAGGAATTATCTTGTTCACAAGTTTGGCTTCGAACCTGATGTTTGTGCGGAGACGCCCACGCCGGAGGGCGTGTTGGAAGGGATACTGGCGTTTCGGAAAAGGAGGCTCGAGAAGACGACATGACTTGTGACGGAGAATTGCTGTAAGAGTCTGTGCAAATGTCCGGAGCAAAGAGGAGGAAATGCGAAGCGGCAAACCAATGCTGGGCACATGTAGATTTGATGACAACGTCTTAGGGGGAGGGTAAAAAGACACATCCAGAGTCGGAGGCGGCGATAGAGTTAGAGAGGGGTGCAGCGTTACTTTCATATTGCGTAGGAGGGTATCATAAGGTAGTTTGAAGAACTGCCTCGCTATCTGTCTAGGCACTTGATTCCAGGCATTCAATCTCTTGGGATGAGTTGACTTCTTTCCCTTTTTTTCAATCAGTCTCTTGCGATGTGTCTTCTCTTCCCCATCGACTCACCCTCTCTTGCATGAATTCGTCTATCAAGGATTCCAGCATTCATATGTAAGCTAGAATCACACACATGGCTCGAAAAATGTTGAGCAGAGATGCAGATGCGTGATTCTCTTTCCATTAGAACTTTCAAAATGAGTTGGAAAAAGAAAGATATCTCCCAGGAGGTGTCGTACAACGGTGACATGCACAAAGGCGCCCGAAGAAGCAGGTAATGCATATCAGAAATGGGGTGCATATATCTGCGAGTCCTGACGGTCTCCAAATGCTCACTTGGCGCCAATCACCCACAGCTCGACGCCAATGACGCTGAACTTGGGCCCTGCGTCGCTCAGCGGCTCGTTGCCAAACGTCTCGCAGGTCGAGCTGTGGCCGACGTCGAGCGAGTCGTCCAGCCACAGGCCGTAGTGGCCGCCGCCGGACCCCACGCTGAGGAAGCCCGTCTCGCAGTTGATGTAGAAGTCGTTGAGGCCGCTGTAGGGGAACGCCTTGAAGCGGATCCCGGGCGTCGTGTCCACCGACCGGGGCGTCGAGGTGCCCGACTGTGGAGGGGGAGCAAGCGTCGTGCTGCGCGTCAGGTGCGTCGTGTCGGCCGAGGGCGGCGGCGGGAGAGACGTCAGGGTCGAGGCCCGCCACAGGAAGCACTCGCCGTTGCCAAAGTAGGACGGGGCCGGGTGAGGGTATTCCGAGAGGTAGGCGCCAAATGTCTAAGTCTCGTCAGCATTTGATCGAATTTGCCTTTCTTCTTCCCATTCCTCTTCTTCTCCTCGTCTTCAGACACCAGCCTCGTCTTTCCCCCGCCGAGACAAAGAGAGATACACAACTCCAAGACAGACTTACCCCTCCCTCCTGGTCCTTGACAACCAGCACAAAGCCAACCCTCATGCCCTCGTACGGCCGGCACTGCTGATACAGCGTCGCGAGGCTCGTCCCGTTCTGCGCGAGGCTGTAGACCAGCCGCCAGTCCTCCGAGATGCGCAGCCGCTCCGGCACCATGGTGCGGATCTCCTCGGCCACCGCCGGCGTCAGCAGCCGCGACTCGGGCGGCGTGCTGTCCTTGTAGCCGTGCAGCACGACCGGGTCCAGCGGCGGCGGGCGGAACGGGCTCAGCGTGCGCGGCTTGGGCGTGAAGACGTCGTGGACGCCGTCGTTGAGCGCGGGGCCGGAGCGCGGGGACGAGGCGGCGTCATGGCGGTGCTGGTGGTGGTTGTCGTCGTCGAAGTCGCCCGACACGCGCGTCTCTTCGGTCGAGAAGCGCCGTATCAGGCCCGTCCACATTGCGGCCGGCTTTTGCTTTTTGAGTGCTTCTTTTTTTTGGTGGAGGGCCCTTGTCTGAGCGGCCCTGTAGCAGTCTCTCTTGTCGTGCCAATAGGTAGCTAGAAATGTGGCTGGCTACCTTGGCAGGTCGCAGGTTTGGGTATAGCTGAATGGACGTTCAGTCGTGGTGGTATGATGTGGTGAGGAGACACCGCAGTGTGTCATGTACTCGATCGAGCCAGAGTTACGACGTATCCAAAGAAGAGACCCGCCAGCCGTGAGATGGAAGCTGCTGAACGGCCATGAAGAGGGCCAAAGAAGAGAGGCGAGAGGGAAGGGGGGAGAGCAGGATGAGAAAGGGAAATAGTAGAGGAAAAGAGACTGCGAATCAGGTAATATAAGAGGGAGGAGGAGGAGGAGGAGGAGAAGAAGAAGAAGAAAAGGAAACACGAGGAGATTGAACTTCAAGGCGCGCAGTTGGAAAGCTGCGTGTACCTGCGCAAGAGGTGACAATGACACCGGGCCGGTAGTAGGTAAGTATTACTTAATGCCTGCCTGGGTGGTGGTGGAGGAGGTGGCCATCGAGTGATGCGCTGTACGTGTACATGTACTGCGGCAACTTTGCTGCCTTTCCTGCCTTATGCCACCCGACTATTGTTATGGCCTGTCACTGGCCAGGGAGGGATTCTAGCGTTCCACGGCGTTCCAGTGCCTGTCAGCATAGCAGCGGGAACGGTCAGAGGAATACGCGCATCTGAGCCGGGAATATGAGCATCTCTGCGTGAGTGAGAGTGCTCCAGACTACTCGTATATATAGGCCAGCATACATGTAGTGTGCTTGTTATCATGTCACGGGTGTCCTGATTGGTTTGATACATACCTATACATAGTAGGTAAGGTAGTTGTCGGTTTATCTTGTCACTTGGACCGGCAGCCTTCTTTTCCATGTGGGGATCGTTTGATGCAAGGACAAGGACCGGCCACAGGAACAGACCGCAAGACAGAGGTGTCGATCACCAGCCTTGGTCCCGCAGTCCAGAGCTAATACACATGAGACGGAATCACGCGAGTTTCGCCCATCACTGACCACACCTACTATTAGTTTGTGATAGTATTCAGCAGGGTAGTCACCGTGGATTGGAATGGGAAATGATAGGGTTTCAAAACGTAGTGTCAAAAACGAAAAGAACGGCCATTCGAGGCCAGTGTATTGATTTGTTTCATATCTCGTCTCATTCCTCCATGCCAGCCATTCATCCGTCCATCTTGGCCCGGCCAAGACAGAGTCCCATTCTTTGCCAGTCTTTGTTTGCTCTAAATCATCCACAAAATGTTCTTTATACGTGGCAACAGTCTCGCTCAACAGACAACATGCTTCATCAAGCCCAGAAACTTCAAAAAGGGGAGGGGCCCGGCCTTTTTACCGCATAATCTCCTGGTAAATCAGTTGCTTCAGCTGCTCCTTGCTCAGGGTATCTTTGTGCTTGTCGAAATCGAAAAACTCCTCGGGAATCGGAGGCGCGGTGGGCTCGTCATCCGGGTCGTGGTAGGGCTCGAGGTACGGGTGCTTGAGGGCGTCCTCCACCGTGATTCGCTTCACCGGGTTGAACGCGAGCAGCTTCTCGAGCAGGTCCAGGGCCAGGTCGGACGTCTTGGGGAACAAGGTGCGGAAGGGCACCTTCTTCTTGAAGGGCAGCGAGCGGATGTACTCCCTCGCTCGTCGAGATTTGATGCCATAGTAGTCCTCCATGGTGGGCGTGCCGAGCACATCCAGGATCAGAGTCAGCTGGTGGTGGTCTGGAGGGTTATCTGTGTTAGCCAACTTGATTTTTTCGCATAGATCTCGCTCCGGGCAATGCCAACTTACAATCCTTGCCAGGGAACAGAGGCTTGCCGCTGAGCATCTCAGCCAGGATGCAGCCCACGGACCAGACATCAATGGCCTTGGTGTACTCCTTGAAGGTCAACATGATCTCGGGCGCGCGGTACCATCGCGTGGCGACATATTCCGTCATGAAGCCCGAGTTGTCCTCCTGGGAGGCGGCGGACCGGGCCAGACCGAAGTCGCAGACCTTGAGGTCGCAGTTGGCGTTGAGCAACAGGTTGGACGGCTTGAGATCTCGGTGCAGCACGTTTGCCGAGTGCATGGCCTTGAGGGCTCGCAGCGTCTGGTAGATGAAGTATTGGCAGTGATCGTCGGACAGGTCCTGGGTTCGGATGACTCTGTGCATGTCCGTCTCCATGAGCTCCTACAAGCAAGATGTGGTGAGCACACAATCTAGGCAAGGCAATGCCAATACTAGGTAGGCAGAGCTGACTGGGACCTGCGAAACAGCAGCTGGGGACGTACCTGGATCAGATAGACCTCGTTAAAGCTCTCATAGCTCCGGGGCTTCTGGATGTCAAGGATGGAGATGATGTTCTCGTGGTTGAAGTAGCGCAGCAGCTTCATCTCTCGCAGGGTTCTCAGGCAGAACATGGAGTGGTCGAAGGGAGTTATCTTCTTGATGGCAACCTTTTGTCCCGAGGGCTTGTGGATAGCGGAGCTGTTTGTCGTAGGAAAAGCTGTTAGATACGGCGTGTGCACCACCCCCTGGGTCTCTGCCTCTCTTCAGAGGTAGCACACCAGACACTTACCAGACAACTCCGTAGGCTCCTTCGCCAACAACATCCTGAATGTCATACTGCTCGCTGACGTTGAAGGAGATCTTGCGCGACGCCGAGGCGTTATTGGGGGGGTTCGACCGAGACATGATCGGCCGGAGTGCGCTCTGCGCGACTTGGGGGGGGAACTGAAGAGGAGTTGAGGGGCGGTGGGCGGGTTGGCGATGGCGGCCGTTGGAGGGTTTGGGGAAGTCCGAGCTTGAGAGCGCTCTAACTACTACCTCTCTCTGTCTCTGTCTCTGCGGAGGCCGGAGGTTCTCGTCGATTGCCCGCAGGCTAATGTGCGGATAGCAGCAGTCGACGGGTCGAGGCAGCCTAGCGAACGGCAACTCCACTCAGCGAACTAGAAGCGCAGGTCAGTCAGTCAGTCAGTCAGTCAGTCAGTCAGTCAGTCAGTCAGTCAGTACTACTATGTATGGAGGCGTGCCGAAGGGTGATGTGTGTGAGGGCCCCTGTGGCAGCAGGATGAGGGGGTGATGGAGGGTTGGTGATGGACGCACGGGAAAAGCTGGACAAGGCGACGACACAAAACAGATGCGGCTGTCGACGCTGTTACTTTGGGATGAAGAGATGGGAGAAGGTAGAAGGGCGAAGGGCGAAGCAAGACGAGGAAAAGGAAAATGCGCTCACACACAGACAGACCAAGGACGACAGGGACCGTGGGCTGGGACGACTGGCGAATGATATGGGCGTCTTCGGTGTGCGAACAAGAGGCACGAGTGACTTGGACGAGTTTGGGCTGGGCTGCGGGGTCAAAGGGTTGCAGGTTGCCAAAGTGGGGATGGACGGGTCAGGTTTTCAGTCGGGGCTTTTTCCAGCAGCAATTCAGCGGGTTGATAATATTGACAGTTGGAACGGGTTCAGTGAGGCCTTTGTATAAAAAACCACCTGCAGGTAACTTCTTCTACAGTAAGGTAGCACGGGTACTGTATCTGCATGTGCCGTGACTGGGGAATGGGAGGGGATGGGAGTTGCTCTCAGCTGAGCTGATTTAGCGAGCTGTCGGGTGCCCTGGGCTGGGCTTCAGGTCTGTATGGAGGGACTGAGCACCTGCAATCAATAATTCAGGAGGGCCGGCGGGGGCGGGCTAAGGAGCTGGAGCACAGCGTCGGGCAGGCCAGGGGGGGGTTCAATGGAGTCCCGTAGGTGCTTCGTCTAGCGGGCTGCGGTGCCTGTAGGGCCACTGAAGAATCCATGGATTAGATGGCCGGGATGGATGCATCCCATGACTTGAGGCATCGATAAGACGGAGCTGGACGATGCATGCGGTTGACACAGAGGGATCAATGGGATGATGATGACGGATCAGCATAAACGGGATCGAGCATTGATGCTGCTGCTGCTGCTGCTGCTGCCAGCAATATGAAAGGCCATCCATCTAGTATCTACCTTACCTAGTTATTAGGCCATATGCATGAAAGAAAGAGACTGGAGTTCCAGGTTCATCCCCATTTACTTAGGCTCAGCCCACCTGTAACCGTCCTGTGACATAAAGCTGGCGATCCAGGGCATCCCAGATCGAGGCTCTAGATGTCCCCCATCCTTGCCCGCATCGAGAAGTCAACACCAAAAGCTGGTGAAGCAGCAAGGCTATACGAGTATTACATACGCAATGTCCTTATCCTAAAGAAAGAAGTGTAGGTATAGGTAGGGGGGGAGGGAGACGGGGGGAAATGCCGTGGGAATGGCTAGCATGCAACGGCAATGCAATGCGGTTTCATGCCACCGCAACCTGTTTTGGTTTGTTTCGAAATCCTTTGTCCCCCCGTTCGTTGAAACGAAACTTGGGAGGGGGTTTGCCTGGGAGTGCATTGGACAAAGCAAAGGGCTTCGATGCTTTCACTGAAGACGAATCTCTCAACTTCTGGAGAATACCTACCTTAGCTTAGGCAGCTCTGCAACAAGCATTCCAGTCCTTGTAAGGTTCAAAGCAAGGTTAAACACACAATGAACGGCACCCAACGTACATGACGCAGTGCAAACTCAATTGCAGATGAACTGCTGATCGTAGGTACCTATCATCTTGCTCTAATATGGACCTCCTTCGACACGGCTGCTGCATCGGAGCACGTCCGTCGCCTGACCTCTTGGGGTCCTTACATAGGTACTTTCCAACATCTGCAAGAATAAGCACATGCAACTGGCGCCACTTGCAACGACAGGGGCACATCCTTGCCAGCTCTGTGCCATTAAAAGTACTATCAGTCTCCAATACATCTCTCTCTTCGCAGGTCAAACTAATAGGCATAGCTTCCACATTGTCAATAACCACAGATAGATAAGTATCTCATTATCATCATCACCATCACCACCATCATCATCAACACCATCACCATCAACACCATCAAGGAAACATCCTCATCACATCCCATCACCACACAGCCTCTCGACTCCCATCCATCCAATAATACTACCTACCTACTACATAGTATCCATAGTAACACCCTCCAGACTCCCCAAGACCCCTCAGTTTCACATCCCACCCATCCATCCCCTACCAAAGCGCCTAATCCCCCTCCCCATTGGCCCGTCAAGCGTCGGCCCCCTTTCGCCTGTTTCAGCACACCAGCGACAAAAAGACTCCATTTCCCACTGAGCCCGGAAAAAAAAAGAGAGGGGGCTTGACCCGAACCTCAAACCTCGACGTTAGAGGTCCTTCTCCAGCGCTGTTTCAAATGTCGGCAGAATCTCTTTTCCCCAGTCTTCTTTGTCCCTTGTCTTTTCAGGTCTACCGAGATCATACCTAGACTACCTTAGTACCGTATCACTCACTACCTAGGTGCTATCAAGGTGCACGCCGTTTCCACAACACAGCACAGGTAGCCATTGGAGCTTCAACAGCTTCACAGCACCCAGACTTTTCCACCTCGTCTTGGTCACAACCTCTTATTACTCGTATGCCAAATGTTTCATAGCGCAACCCCCAAGCACGTAAAACACGCCACCCTCTTCCCGTCCCACCCACTTCGTCCGACGCCGACAACCTTGGATCGAGAAAGCTCTCGACTTCGCAACAGCCGCGCCGCCGTCCTCCTATCTCCGTTCACCTCACTTTGTCCCGTACTGTCTGTCGTTCTAAAGATAGATGTTGTCCTTGAAACTGACGCACCTGATAAGGCTGACAAAGAGCTGCGGAGTGCGTAGGCTGGTGGGTGAAGAAGCTCCATGATTCCTTGAATCAACGTGCTCACGAGCCAAACTTGTGTCAATCTCAGAAGTAACACTTTCATTCTTTTGTTTTTTTCTTCTGTATTTCACTACATAGTAATGTTCATTTACCATAAAAGACATAGTCCATCTCATCTTGCTCGCCCTCTTTTTGCCAAACTCGACACCATACGGCCCCCGTCACTACCTAGTCTATACAATGATTATTGCAACAACGCCTCCCCCGTCATCCTCGAAACATTACTGCACCACCTGTAGCACTCGCGCGTTAGTCTGTGAGATAGACTGTCCAAGATGCCATGTTTAACATACCTTTTCTCGGAGTGAACCAAGCCACTGTGCCGCACTCACTCCCTGATCCGCCCGGTCCTCAATGAGGAGCGTCTGTGCCCACAGCTTGAGCAGCGGCTCGCCATCCTCCCGGACAATGTACAGGTGCGGCACCGTGATGCTTCCCACGCCAAGGGAGCGATGGTCACGGCTCTTCTGGATCACGGCTCGAATGCGCTCGTTGAAGTCGTTTTCGAGTTCCGGCACTCGTCCCTTGCCAACGTGGACCTGCGTGCGGTCCTCCACTCCAAAGACGTCGGCGATGAGCTGCGGAACGGCATCCCGGCCCACCCACAAGAACTGGACCTGGCCGTCGTCAATCAGATACAGGCCATACGAGACGAGTCGCTCCGAGGACAGGTTCAGCGGCGGGGGTAGGACAATCTGGCCCGTGGCCTCATCCGGGATGCCGGCATTGTCGGGCATGTCGTGCAGCGAGTAGAGTCTGGGGTAGATGTATCGGGTCAGGAGCGGGATCGGAAGCGTAGACAGGAGACACAGGGCGGCTGATCTAATGTCGGAGGGAATCTGCGTAGATTTCCGAAGGCCAACGTTCTTGGTCAGGCCAAGGAACAGCAGGGGGAGTCCTCGGAGGTTGGCGGGGAACTGCAGGCCGCCGCCCATGCTGCCGCCGGCGAGCTCCTTCTTGAACGTCTGGAGAAGCTCCGTGACCTTAGCCGCCAGGGCGTCTCGGGCAGCGTCGAGGCCGCTGCTGAGCGCTCTCTCCACGGCCTTGTGGCTGAAGTAGGTGGTGATGGCCAACTGGTCCGCGGACGCGTAGACGTCCGACAGGTTGGTTGTCGTCGGCAGCGCGAGCGTGAGTACCCTGATGCGGCGCTCGCCGTTGCATGTCGTGTGTAGCACAGCAGCCTGGAGACACACCACGTTCTTAGTAAGGTTCTCGTCAATGGCGACTTCGACAACGTAGCATTGGTCGCGGGGAAAGGCCGGGAACGCGCAGAGGTCGGAGCTGCGGTTGAAGAAGTTGCCGTAGAATGCATTCATGCGCAGACCCGTAGTCGCACGCACGCGGAGCACGGCCTCCAGCCCAATCTCGGACGACAGGTAGTCGCTAAACTCGGAGGCGAACTTGAGCGCGTCCTCGGGTCGCGAGGCGTGCCAGCCGGGGTAGAACCACGTCTGTCCACCAGTGTACCTCGGCAAGTTACTCAACGAGGCTACATCCTGGTATTGAGACGAGAAGAGGAACATGTCGATCGACACCTGGTTCTTGGAGCACTCGACGGCAAAGCTCTTGTAAAAGCTGTTTGATGTCTGCAGCAGGCTGCTCTCCTTGGACGTCCCCAGTAGCTTCTTGTCCTCCCTCATGTCCAGCTTTCCGACGCCCGTGTTAGGGAGCGAGGCGGTGAGGACGACAATCTTGCCGCCAAGCGCAGAGATGAGCTTGTGTCCCGCGCGCAGGGCCGATCCCATGCATGAGCCGTTGCTCTGGTTGTTCTGGAACATGTCCGGCAGCTTCTGGAGGAACTTTTCGATGCTCTGACGGCTCTCCGTCAGCGGGACGAGGAGGTCGTGGGGCACCGGCAGGAAGGGCTCCTCAAGGTCGCTAACGACAAGCATGCTCGTCTCGCCATTCTCATCCGTGTCCTTGGGGATGGAGAAGTAGTGGAGGCTGGAGTCGACGGCGAGGAAGCCGAGGCGAGTTCGGCGATCGGCATTGGGTATCCTGCTCAGGCTGTCCAGAATGGTCCTAGCGCTCGTAGCAAGGAGGCCGTTGGAGACCGCCGCATAGCTGACGTCGAAGAGGAACAGGTAGACCAGGGGCTGGGGCGGTCGAACCATGTACTCCTGCGGGGCAACAAACTCGACGACGGCGTGGTTGAGCTCGTGGCGCTGCCATCTGTCGGCGGCTTGCTGAGCGGCGGCATCCCAGTCGAACGCCTGGGGCACGTCGTTGCTCAGGTTGCACATGTTGCATCTCCACCGGTGGCCGTGGTCCAGGAAGGTGACAAACGGGTTGATATACGTCCTACATCTTCGGCAACGGGAAATGACCTGGTCTTGGACCACCGGTATGGGGTCCTCGTCGTCGTGCAGAGCTCCGTAAGGCTGGATGATGAGCGCGAACGGCAGCTTGGACTTTTTCAGCAGCGAGTTGGATGTGGGGACGGCATTGATTGTAGATCGAATGTATCGCGAGGAGCAGTTGGCATCCGGCGAGGCAGTCACGCTGGTCTGTAGCAAAACAGGACTCGTTAGCACAAGCTCGTACACGCAGTGGCACCAAGCGAGTTGGGGGGGGAAGAAAATGGGGGACGCCGTTTCTTACATTGGGCGGGAGGATGATGGGAGGCGGCGGCAGATCCAGCTCCGAGGGGTTGAAGGGCTGCGTCAAGAGGTCCGTAGGATACAGCTGGTTGAGAACGGTGGGCCTGCCCTGCTGGGCCACTTGGGGAGGCTGCGGCTGGCCTCCGACCTGCATGCCGGCCATGCCCTGGGTGATGCCCGCGATGCCGGGGGCAGGTCCTGGGCCAGCCGGCGGCTGGTATCCCTGGTCCGGAGCTTGGTAGCCGTACGCAGGCTGCGCCGCGGCGACGGGCTGCGGTGCGCCATAGCCGGCCTGGGGATACTGGTAACCAGGCGCCGAGGGGACGCCAGCGACGGGCTGAGGCTCGACTGGCGGATAGGCGCCGTAGGGAGCAGCGCCGGGTTGCATTGGCGGCGCGCCGTACTGCTGTCCGACCGGGAGCTGGCCGCCTGCCAGAGCATTGGCCCCCGTGCCGACCTCGAAGGCTTGCGCCGCATATCCTCGCTTCTTCTTCTTGCCCGCGGCGGTTGTCTCGTGGGGGGCGGGCTGGCCATCGTAGGGCGGCTGCTGGGCCTGCTGGTCGAGCGGCTGGCCGTAGCCATCGCTGGGTGGCGCCGACATGATGAGGTTAAGCTGGCGAGGGCGTCGCTGGTTGCGCGAGTAGAAGTGGGAGGTGTTTTGATGCGGTCCGATGCGGTTGCTGAGAGCTGGGCGAGCTCTTGACGAAGAGGGCTCTCTGCCTTGTGATGTAGAACACGGGCGGCAGCTCGGGAGAGGGTTCAAGAGGCCGAGGTTGAGTCAGCCAGTCGGGAGGTCGAGCAATCTGATGTCGAAGCCAGCCGTCTGGGTGGATTGGCAGGCGAGAAGATGGATCAAGATTGTTGGTGGGCAGGGCCAGCTGTCACTGGCTGTCGTCCTGCTTGATAGATTGTCTGTCCTTTTGGGAAGCCGCAGGCAAAGAGACACCGCCTCTCAGCCACACGAGGAGGGGCGCTGTGGCTGGTGCGACTGTGCAAGTGCTTTGTATTACGAGTAGGTACCTAGTATTATGAGCTCGTTTGTATGAATTTCTAGGCGAGTGTTGTGAAGGGAGAGGCCGACAATGTACCTATGGAAGGGACAGGGCGTCTGGATTATCTGATCTTGGCGTGTTGAGAGCATTGAATACGTACCTAGGTAGGTGACCATGCACTTGTACTGAGAAAGCAGAGGAGGGAGCTGTGGCTGCAGCTTAGTCACAGCTGGAGATGATGATGGTGCACAGATCGGTTCAGCCAGGCAACGCTGCTAATTTTGAGTGGAATCTCACATCAAGCCACGTGGTAGATCTACGAAGACGCACAAACTGCGGATTAGACAGATTGCATGAGGCAATGCATCTGGTCAAACTGAAAGACAACTGATGCATCTGAAACCACATTGCGCCTGCAGAGTGCCTCTCCATTTCCAACACGCGCCTCACGAGCCAAGCTCTAGGGTAGTCGTTAGAAGCATCGCAGCCGCAATCGCAAGCTCTATACATGCATTCAACAGCAATGTCGTCCTTGCGGCCGAATGGACCATCTTGGGGCGGGTTTCGACAACCTGGCCGGAACCCGAGAAAGATATACATGTATTACTGCATGCTGCAGCACCCCAGCATCAACATGCGTCTCTCTCTTCGTCGTCACCGTTGCAACCCGGTGAAGGACATGTTTTGGCTGTGGGGATACCCAGTCCTTATTACCGCGTCCGAGCTTTCGGCTGTGCTGGCGCGATTCATTACCTGTACGGACAGATACCGATGCCTTTTTCCTCTTATTCTAGATGACCAGCAATGAAAATATTAGACGCGAGGACAAGGGAACTCTTGATTATTATGCTGTATATACGGTACGTGCTATGGTTGTAAAGCGCTTGTAGTATCTATTTGATGCTCAGATCAGACAACCTTGGAGGCTTATTAATAGCAGACGCATTGGATGTGCTCTAATTACCTACCCCAGGAACCTCCGCCAGGAACCACCTGGGTACAAACAATGACATCGCCGCTTAGCCGGCCACAGCCCACCTGCCCTCCTAGCCCACAGGCGCATTAGCGTCCCATCGTGCACTGAAGCCGCTGTATCCCGAGCCCTGGTGGCCTCCCGTGGCCGTAACTTGTACAGTAGCACTCAGTGGACGGGAGGGGCAACATGCAGTCAGCAGCCCCCGGCAATGGATCCCGTCCCGTCTTCCTGGCGTGCACTTTTTTTGCCAGGGGTAATAAACGAGCAAGGTAAGAATGATGATACCCGTAAGAAAAGATGGCGCTATATCATAGTAATATCGCAGGAACAAAGACTCCAAGGGTCAGCTCAGATGCCATCTTGTTGATCGTTTGTGTGTTTAATTTCGCAGTGCCACCAACGGCAGGTATACCTACAGTACCTTAGTACTTTTGTACAGACGGTGTAACGCGGTCCTGTGGGCAGAGCCACTTGCGGCAAGAGGTAATGAATCAAGTAAAACAAAAAAGTACATGTGCGCAAGAGACAAGAGACCTTGCGAGACATTGAAAGCACACGCACAGGCACACAGCCAGCCAGCACGTAGAACAAAGCAGAGGCCTCCTCCTCCTCCTCCTCCTCATCGCCTGCGCCTCGCGTCTTTTTATCCATCTGCATTCCCTCTCCCTCCCTCCCTCCAACAAACGCCATCCCTCCACCGCTGTCTCTCTCTCTCTCTTATTCTTTCAGCTTTCACATCTCTCCTTCAGAACCCTCTTCAAACCTAGAAATTTCCACCTCTCTCTTTCAGCTGCCTGCTGCCATTCTCTCAAGCCACACGCCTGCTTTCACTACACACTACAACTTTTCTTTTAACTCTCTCTTCGCTCCTTTGACATCATCTACCTTACCTATTCGCGCCAGACAACCTCATTCAACAACTGCTTCGTCCCTTTGCAACGAGCCTCTTTTGCGCCTCGTTTTTTTCCCGTCCTTGTACAACACAAACAAACGACTTCGATACCCAGGCTGTAAATCGCCTCTCAACAGACCAAAAAACCACACAATCACCTTTTATTCCCTCTACGTCGTCACATCCAAACCATGGCATCAATCCTAGGGTACATCTCTCTCTCCCCCCCCCTTCCCAAACAAGAAGACGATTTCGCTCCAGCTGTGTAAGAAGTAAGAAATAAACAAACTGACACTCGAACCCCCTCCTTCTCCCCTACAGCCAAATCATCCCCCTCGTCATCGCCATCGCCCTCCTCAGCGGCACCGCCTGGGTCCTCTACCAGATCTACCTCTCCCTCGCCGTGATGCGCGACTCCGCCTCCGAGCGCATGGGCCGCAGCAACGTCGTCTTCACAAAGGACGGCGTCCGCGTCGGCGTCCGGGCCATGCAGAACGAAAAGTACGTCGACAAGACGCAGAGCTACGTCGTCAAGGCGTGGAACTTGGGCACCGCGCAGAGGGACGAGGAAATGTGAGTTTTTCTTTTTCTTTCTTCTTTGACCCCCTTCATTTCTTTTTTTTGTTCCCCACCCCTTGCATCCCAATCTTTACCTGATCAACATCCCATGTGGAAATTGTAAAACAAGTATCGGCTGTGTCTGTTGGGGGGTCTAATGTTGGATCATAGGAAACGAAAAGGCTCGAAATAATGAAGCCGAGGAGGAGAGTGAGGAACGAGCTTGAGCTGGGGATGATGGCAATCTCGACGAATTGACATGTGACAGGAGAGCGCGGCACGTGCAGTTACTTGAACTGCTTGCAGTGATGGGAAACGCTGAGTACCTCTACCGTTTCTCTAAAGGGTCGTCATGCATATCCTATGATGTAGCTCTCTCTATCTTGAAACGAATGCACACGCATACCGATAACAATTCCAATACAAGCAATATGATGACCGCACGACGATACCCGAGCAAAGGCACGCCGCGGGCCTTTGCGCATGAATCAGCTTCTTCCTGGCTCACTCGCCAAACGCCCATACGTCTCTTGAGATCCAGCTACGACCTGGTTCATGGTGGCTTCAGAAGCTCAATCACCCTCTGGACTCGTGTCGTCGTACGTCGAAATGGCTGCATGTTGTGGCATCTGCCGCGGCCTGGTTTTAGATGATGTCTGGCACCCCGAGACTGCATGAGATATAATGTTTGCTTCACTTACTAGTACAGTCGGTTGTCCGTGAAACACCTGCTGCCGGAACAGCTGGGGCGCCATTGGCCCCGTGGCAAGGACCTCGGACGGCTTCGCAACCTTCATGGACAGGAGCTTCTCGACGTTGACAGATGGGCTGTTGGCCATTAGGCCATCCATTCTGATGAGCATGGATGGAGTCCGGTAGTTGAGCTGGCGGTCAGATGTTGTTAGTTCAGGCCAGTTTCACACAGCTACCTCGTACGTAAGGAGTTGCGAAAAAGAAAAGAAAAAAATAACTTGGAACCATACCTGCGTCAACATGAGCGCATAGGAAACGCCGAGATGCTTGCCAATGTAAGTGAGCCGTCCCTTGACCCACGCTCGCTGATTGTCCGTCGTGTAGTCTTGCCCCTGAATGCACGCCAACGGCCACGTCAAAAAGTAGCCAGACAGGCTCTTCGTGGTGTCGTCCTCGCCGCAAGCAAAGCTGGAGAGACTGGCCTGCTGGAACAGGTGCTTGCGCGTGCTGAACCATCCGAGCTGGTAGGGCACCGAAGCAATGAGGTCGGTAATGCTCTCGACGCATATCCGCCTCGCCGTGGCGTACTCGGGCGCCATGCGGTAGTCGACCGGCGAAGAAACCCAAGCCGCGCACCGGATCACGAGAGACGCCAGGATGATTCGTGAGACTCGCATCATGCTCCACAGGCTGGCCACCCACAGATCCGGATAGGCATCGACACGCCCCGGGAATACCTCGAGCTGGTAGTAGTCGGCGTCGGGAATCTCGTCCTGCCAGAGGATCGTCCGGTATCGAAAGTCCTCTGGGAGCGTCTCCGCCCACCGGATGCATTCAAAGTCCACCGCCTGAGCCTGCCGGATCATGTCCCGAAGGGCTTCCACGCTTTCCATGTTGCGAGGAAGCTGGCTCATGAGCCGGTTTACCTCTGCCCTGATCTCTCCGGCGCGGATGGCGAGTCGTTGGCACTGAGAGGCATACATGTCCCGGACGGCATCTGAGTTGATCCACCACTCGACTTGCATCAGGGGAGGTTTGGCAGTACTGAGCGTGTGCACAATCTATTGAGGCTCGAGTCAGATTCTGGTCGGGGAAGATGGCAGCAAAGGAGTCGACATACCATTTGGGTTCGGACCGCTATGAACAAGGCTACCCCTATCTTGGTCCGGAGTTGCTTGCGGCCTCGCTTCCGGACGAGCTGGATGGCCGCACGGATGTGTGGTCCCCAGGCCAGCATGCCGAGATTTCTGGTTGTTATGTTCTCAAAGAGACCCAGCAAGAGAATGGCTGCCAACGTGGAATCCTGCTTGATGGTGTCGGGATTGTTCAAGGCTACGTTTATGGCACCCAACGCCTTTGAATGCGTGCGTAGAGCGCGCTCGACCAGCAGCTGGTCACCTTGTGCGTTGGCATAGCTAGCCATGGCACAAGCATCGAATGCGGCCTTGAAGTGAGGCGCCACCTCTTCTGCCCTCAGCAATGGCACGACGTACTCGAGGAACCCGCGCCCGTTGCCAAACCGGGGAATGAGCACATAGTTGGATAAGAAATGGCAGGTCACCTGGCCATCGAGGTCCATCTGCGGCTTCTGCAGCAGTGTGTAGAGGCCGGTCCAGGGAGTCTGCTGGTTCTTGCGGCCACACGAGGCTGTCACGGAGGGCATATGCTGAGACGGCCCAAAAGGGGGGTTTGAGCACCCCGATGAATGCGCGGCGTTTGGGGAGATGGGCTCTGGCGTTGAACTGGCGGCAAACTTGCTCATCCTCTGCGCGAGGGCCTTTTTCGACGCCCGCTGCGCTCTCTTCTCCGTTGCCTGGGTCTCGTTGCGAAACACCAGGTCAAACTCATCTCTGTATCCGGGGCATTGCCGGCGAGACTTGGCACACTGCTTGCATGTGGGCTTTGTCTCGTCACACTAGGTTGATGATGAGTTTCGGCGTGAGAGTTGACAGCGAACGAGAGGCAGAGAGAACATACCTTGATGCGGCGAGTGCGGCACATCTGACAGCCCCTCGAGGGCTTCCCCTGATAGACCATGGTGTGATGATGTGGCGGATCTGGGGTTGCTTATATCAAAAACTTTCTCAGATTTGATGCTGAGCTGTTGATTGCATGGTCTTGAACAACGAAGCGACGGCCAGGAGATGGTTATCGAGCCGGGTGTGTGGAAGAGAAGGCGAGGATTTGACGACAATCTCTATAAACTGATATATGGAGAGCTAGTATAGCCAAAACCGGTGTAAACCAGTCTAAATTTAGGATTGGAGTAGCTGGAAAGGAAAAGAAGCAGGAAATGGATGGACGAGGAGAATCGGTGACTGGCAGTGAGAGAAACCAGGAACAGATCGGCGTGACGAAGTCTGAGGGATCAAGTTGCAGCGGGCTCTAATAAGCTGAGCTCCGAGGCCGCCTATGCTTCCCCGTGACGTGATGTGACGGTGAAGGAGAGAAGATTCGAGAGACGAAGATCCGAGGGCGCCACGCAGCTCCCGAGACGACGGGGGAGAGAGGGAGAGAGAGGGAGGGGGGGGCCCGTAAACAGGAGGCCACGAAAGGAAATGTTTGCTCAACCTGTCACAAGGCAGGCAGGTGGATGGCGGTGCAACAGTGAGTGACGAGAAATGCCGAGCTTTGACAGGTAGGCGAGAGGCGACGTATCTTGAGGACGGGAGACGAATCGAGGAAGAGCAGAGAGGCGTAGAGTCGAGTAGATTGGCCCTTTGTGGAATGGACGTCTGATTTGCCGAGGCCGGGGGTTGTGAATTGCTGGCTGTGCGTCCCGGAGCGAGTGGCGAGTTATATCATGTACACGGCAGAGCAACGACGGAGGGCCGATATGGGGTATCAGAAGATCAAGGCCGGACAGGCGTCTGCGCGGAGAATAGCAAGACAGAAGGCCGTATATACACGGGGCCTGAGCCAGATGGTCCCGGCCTGTGAGGCTATGGCCGGCACAGCTGGAGCCTTCTGTATCCCGTCTGCCAGCGCTGCCGTAAGCGAGTCCCGGAGCCGGGAGGCAGGATGCTGGCGAACCGGGATCTTGGGGTCAGATTCGGATGCAGATGCAGGCGTATTATCAGCCGGGGGGGGATGGTCAGCCAGCCAGCCGCCTGTCTCTGGGTCCTTGCCCTCGCCTCGACCTCGTCGTCCTTCTCACTCAACTGAGGTTCCTCGGAAAGGCGAGAGTCTGGACAAGAGAAGGTGATGTGGGGAGAGTTGATGAAGTGAAGCCCAAGACCGAGATCGAGAGACGCAGACGCAGGCAAAGCTCTGGAATGTGCGGCGAATGAGGGGGGCCAGGTTGGATGGAGAGTGAGCCTTGGAGACGGGCCAACAACTGAGGGCTCACCAGAGCAAACAGGATGTGCAGAGAAAAAAAGAAAAGAAAAGAAAAGAAAGACAGAGAAGAGAAGGAAACGAAAAAAGGAAGAGGAAAAGCAAGACGAAAAGAGAGAAAGCAAGGTGAAGCGATTGATTCGATAAGAGAGAGAGAGAGAGGGAGAGAGAGAGAGGAAGCGGAAACAAGATCGTCACCAGAACAAGGCGCGATCTCTCCTGGACTGGACTGAAGAACGCATGATGGGAGCCTCCAAGTACCTTACTGCATGTTCATGTACAGGTGACAACGTTGGAGCGATGCGGTACCGCGACCCAGCACGAACCCCCGGAAGCGAGCGCTGGGATACCCAATAACGACAGCCAGCGCCAGCGGCTCTTGTCTGCCAATGGTTGGTACGGCTACAGGCAGCTCGGCGCGGGCGCTGCGCTCGGGGTGCGTACCGGTACCTGCGCCCCCCCTTGTCTACTGGACGATCGTTGGGGTCACCGAGGTGCGCAGGCAAGTACACCGGCAGTACCGAGTACCGCCCCCTTGGCCAGATGTAACCTGACGTGTCGCGGATCTCAAGTCTCTTCTGGTCCTGGCTTTGCCTTGTCCTCAGACACTGGCAACTGACAGGTGCCAGGGGAGGTGAGGGGAGGGGGCGCGCAGAAGAGGGCCTGGGATTGCCATTGGGTGCTGGCAATGAGGGTTAAGGTAGGTAGGTAGGTAGGTAGGTAGGTAGCTCGCAAGTCCTGGTTCTGGTGATGCTATGGGCTGGCCGTGGTTTTGGTGATGGCGTACCTTGGGTTGCAGTGATAAGGCAGCCGTACATACCTTACATACCTACGATACATGTATGCCACTTGACCGCCAACTTCAGGTTGCTGGGGAACAGGCACTAGATCAGGGGCATCTACAGGTAATAGTCATGTTCGGGTACTCGTACGTGTGTTTCCCTCTTGTTGTTCGTGTTGTTCGTGTGGGCAGGGAGCAGTCTGATGGTTCTCTACATTCTATACATACTGCACATACCTAGGTAGGTAAAGTAAGAGAAGAAGCATGTCAATCAACGTCAGCTCATGGCAAATGGCAGCATCTTGCCAAGGCGGGCCGGCGGGGGAGACAAGAGTGAGTGAGAGAGATCCATGGATCTCTTCAGCGGGAAGCAAACGTCCAGGCTTTCCTTTGTACTACTACGCCTCTCTCTGGCCCTTGTGGTTCGACCCAGACCAGCAGCCGGCCGAGGATTTCAAATTGGCTCGCCGCCCCTCCCCCCTCCCCTTCGTATGACCTGCAATGTATTACCTTACCTACTACTACCCACATTCAGTACATCGCGGCCAATTACCGGGATTTCGACGCTACGAAAAGTACCGGACTGGCGCGGCATCAAAACGAGAGATCGAGCAGGAATCAGGTTCAGGTCTGGAGCTCGATTTTTTTTTTAGCGCGGCAGAACGACGACCCCTGGCCTAGCCAGAGCTGTCTGTGGTCTGTGGATAGCCTCAGTTTTCGGTCCTCGGGCTATTCTTAGCTGCGACAAGATCAAAGGGGGGTTCCCGGCCTTGTTTGATCATCCGCTACCAAGTACCTGTACCCGTAACGGTAACTAAGGTACTATAACCACAAGGGGGCATGGGGTTGATGAAGAGAGCCAGGTACGAGTAAGGTAAGGTATGAAAGAGAGAAGAACAGCAAGCAGCCAAGCCAGGCCAATCGATGGGCTACCGATCCGCAGAAAAGAGGCTACGTGCAGTTCCGATGTGGGAAGAAAGAAAGACAGACAGACAGACAGACAGGGGGGCGGGCAGTGAGGCAGCAGGGGATTGGACCCGAGAATCCCGTCCGATTTGCTGCGAGTTTGCTGCGAGCCATGATCGGGCATATACTGGTATCTGAGAGTACCTAAGGTACATACATGAAGCTATGAGGGACTCTGTATGCCTAGGTATCCGCCGCATGTATTTAGACAAAGTCAAGATGGGTTCAATTGACTGTAATGATGATGATGCTCATGCTCATGTCCATGTCCATGTCCATGTCCCTGTACATACAGCAACCTCATCACATCACCAAGAAGAAGAACCCAGCAGCCAAAACAAACCCCGGGCCACCTCGCATAAACCGCCAAGCATAAAGACACCACCAGTTCAAAGTCCCCCCTCCTCCTCCTCCTCCTCCTCCACTCCCCCCGCCATCGCCCATTCATGCATTGCATCAATACTACCTACCCTCTTCTTCTTCCTCTCTTCCCTCTTCCCTCTTCCCTCTTTTCCTTTCCCCCGGTACTACTACTAGTAATAACCACAGGCCAACACACGCGAAGCGAGCAGAGACGGGGGGGGGGGAAACGGATCACAGCGTCCGTCCAGCCCTCTTCTTCCCCTTTCCATGTCACCCGCTTGTTCGACAAAACAACCCCCCTTTCAATCATCCAATTCGCTCCCGACCTCTTTTGCAACGTCACACAGCCCGTTTCTTCTTCTTCTTCATCAGATTCTTGGGTCGCCGTCTTCCCCCTTCCCCACCCCAGACCGAGTCCGGCTCAACCAAGTTCGCCTCTTTGTCTTGCCCTTTCTTTGCTCTTCCCTCTTCTGCCCTGGCTGAGGGATTCGGTTTATCCGTTGTTCTTTTGCTCAATGTTCTCGTTCTTGTTCGCCTATTTTTTTTTTTTTTTTTTTCCCGGAGCATGTATCATCAGGTCAATGTCCTTGTGCCCCTCGCCTCGCCTCGCCTCGCCTTCCCACCTTACTCTAGATAGCCCAATTCCCTCAAAAACATGACGACTTCGTGCTTCCTAGTTAAGTTACTAGATACTGGCAGTCACACAACCGGTGGGCCATCCAAACATCATCCAAACAAATCTGAAAGAAGTGCAAAACCCACCGCCGCAATCCGGGACTCCGGACCGAACCTCGTACTCTTTCGCTGTAATGTAACTGCACTGCCTAGTACTGATCAATAGGTACACCCGTGTTTTTGCCACCAAGAGATCAAACACATGCCCCCCCCCCCCTTTCCCCCTTCTCTCACTCATTGTGCCTTGGCATCATCGTTCGAGATAGTAATTCCATTCTTCAAGGTCATATTAGGCAAGCAGAGCCAAGAATCACTAAGCAGGGGATAGGGGGCCAAAAAGGACCCTCCCTCCAAGGCACGCACTACAAGGAGGGCCCTCGGCAGCATCCGTGAATCTCGCCGTCATCTGGTCTGAAGATCGATGGCGAATTCTAATAAAACTCCCGGATCCATCGTCATTGTGGTGGGTTAAGGCAGACGTTGGTAGACTACCTTGTATAATTGTCATGTACCTATAGCTTGATCATAACACAACCACGAACCACCTCGCTTTATGCCTTGTAGTAGCTCGAGCTCCTCCCTTGCGTGCCTCCATCTATGGTACCTTTAGCCCACTGTCCCTGCAGCGTCTCGAGAGACACAATGCCCGACTTTACATACAGGTGTGCAGCCTCGATATCCTCTGCACCCTCCAAAACTGACATAGATGACGTGTATGACACAATGTGTCGTCTTTTCTTCTGACAGCAAGTCTTCACCCCCTTTTGTCAGCTTCTCTTCCTTCACAGATCTTTGTGCTCCACACACGGCTCTTGCACCACACACTCTAATGAAAGCAAGATTCTCGTGGGCAAAACAACGCACGGCACTGAGGGTCCCCTCAGTAAAGCAGCTCGTGGTGCGCCCCATTGCCGCC